CTAACATAAATGAAAATCAAAACAAATGGAATTTCCAACCTTTTTGCTGTGTTTAGCAAAAATATTTGTAAACGCGTACATGTACATATTATGTTTTATTTCTGGAAATTTTTTGCAACACATACTAATTACGTGATTGTGTATAATTTTATTGCTTATATATACATTCTTGTATAACATATCTATACATATGGTATACATTGTTCACGTTATTTGTACAAAATGAAAACGATATTATATGTAAGGTACCTTGAGATTATAAGGCCTAGCGCTAATAAAGCGTCGAAAAACTTTAGGGAAAATCTTCGAAACTTGAGAAATACTCTAAGAATAAGGCAATGTATAGTCATTTGTATTCATCATAAACAAAAAATGGTTTTAGAGCAACTAGTATCTACCTTCTACCAGCAGCAATTTTGGAGAATGGCCTTTGCTCTTCTACACAGTACAAAATCATTAATTGTAATAAATATGAAATTTTATGTAGAGTTCCTAATCCCATATACATATATAATATATCAGGCCATCAAGCTAAAGTTATTTTCCGCAATATTGCAATCGGAGAACGTTACAAAAACAATTCTTAATGTCGTATGTTTTTGAAGTACGACATTAAGAAATTATTTAAATAATTACGACATTACATTATTTTTTTTTTTTGTATTCCGAATGCATTTTTTTATTTTTTTGTGAAATTTTTGAGTATACTCTCATTCAATTTAGTATGGTTTCAAAAGCAATTTAGATTATGATAATTTGGTTTTTCCTTTTTTTTCAATTTTTTATTCAAGGAATTAATATTTTAACGCAAAAAGGTTAACTGCGTTAAAAATTGCAATTTTTTTTAATGCATTTTTCAGACAGAAAATACCAACCGATTTTTTTTAAATTTAAATTTTATATCAGTAGAATCAGATGAACTATAAATTATCAGTAAAATCAAATGAACTAAATGAGTACAGATGCAGAATCAGTAGAACTAAAAATATTAATCAATTTCCTTCACACAAATAATTTTCAATACTCTGCATTAGAGTTCCTATAATTTTATGTTTTGTTTAGTTACAAATGAAGTACTTTACATGTAGACCTTATTGTTAAAGTTAAATAATATTTATTACCTTATTTTTGATAATTAGTTAAAAAGACTTTATTTTTTAAAAACATATTAACGTTGTTTTGTAAAAACATATTAAAAATAAATTGTTTTTGGTTTTTTAAAGGGCTTCCTAGTATAACGCATCTTACATATTAAAAATACAGGATTTTCTACTAAACCGCAGTAATCTTTTCTGGTTTAACTACATCTTTTATTAAATCGTTTTACTTAAATGATACAATATCTTTTTAGGATGATATTTATGTAGATGTAACATCAAAGAGAAACTAAAAAAATTAAAAGAACAAGTTATGTTCAACAAGTTTAGATTTCATAAAAATTGCAACTGGATATTTATTTGAAAAAAATAGAATACCACTTGGCCATCCTTTTAAATATTGCAGTTTGGATAAACTAAACGTAAAATGACCATTTTAGGTTAATGAGTCAACTTATTTAACTTGATAATAAGTTCTCATTTACATTCATTGTAAATATGCTATAGCCAAAGCAACTTTCTTTTTGTGTTTTATTAAATCCCGGTCATATGAGTTTACTCTTACATTACTCTTGACAAGTATGGTGATCCTACTATAACAACCCTACCAACAGAATTTACCAAAAAAATTTTTATTCAAAAACTAACGGAATTAGCAGTGTCATCAAAAAATATAATCAATAAAAATATAAGCAATTAATCCTTAAATTCAGCATTTAAATGTATGCAACCTTTTGAAATATTTTGATATGCGAATGAAAGTAATTTAAAAAATCTGATGCGGTCAGCACATAACCGACCGCATTGTGTATTGTCTAGTTAAGTGAAAGTGTTACGGAATATTATAAAAATGTCTGTTAAATACTGCTTTCCAATTTTTAGGGCATTAGTACGCTTATAGTTAACCTACCTAGAAAAATGTAAATTTGACTCTTAGTAGAGTTTCGCTTTGTGCTACCCGAATGCCCACCAGTTAGTTTCGATAATAACTAGAACTCAAATATCAAATTTCAAGAAATTCCATCAATTCGTTCCAGAAATTCCATATCAATTATATGGTGAAAAATGTAAAATCGGCCAGCAAATCAGCTTTCGAGCCCTGATCTTTCCAAAAAATTTACATGTTCATTGTTTTAATACGAGGAATTCAAATATTAAATTTCAATGAAATCGGTTGATTATTTCTCTTTATATACACAAAAATGTACATTTATCTCATAGTAAACGTCCAGTTGCTGATGCCTGATTTCTTCCAACATAGGAATTTTCGCGAACGGTCGAGCTTAGATTATATATGAAATTTCAAGTAAATCGGTTAAATATTTTCTTTAAAATGGTCAAAAATGTAAAACAGGCCCGCTAAAAAGTGCAGTTCCCGATGCCTGATATATCCCAAAAGTTGATCAACCCGTGCCATGGTCGAAATACACAGGCCGACAGACCGACAGGTTGCTAAAAATAGTTCACTTACACTTCCCTACTATGGAGAAGTGCATTCCCACCGAAAACTCGATATGCAAAATTTGTTGCCATCACACTATTGTATACACAATACGGTCGGTAATAATACCTAAATTGTTCTTAAAAGAAGTATTTTCACTTGTTAAAGGGGCAATGAAGGTAAACTCTAAAAAATTTTCGCTTTTACAATGAAAAAATATAAACTTGAAATTTGTTTCACTTTGAGTTTTATTTATTTTATTTTTATTTTATTTAGTTAGTTCAATTGTAGCCATTTTTAGTAAATCATACCACTTTTTAAAATTTTTAAACCTAATTTTAATTTACAACTTTGAAAAATTTTTGAAATGTTTTGTAGCACAAGAACTGTTGAAATGGACTTGTGCCACTTTCCACATGAGATACCTCGTTTGAAATCCAGCTCATAATCCGAAGCTTAGCAAGACTGTTTATACACCCATGTACGTTGCATCATTCATTATTATTTCTCAATGGTAAGTAATGAATTAATAACAGCCTTCGAACATAATTCTTATTGGCACAAGATTTCAGTATCAAAGCTAAATTTTTGACACAGTTATCCTACAAAAAGTAGTTTTTACTAAATTCCCCTCTACCTAGCATGCGTTATATACATATGTATGTGTACATACAATTAAATATTCTCAACTCTACTTATGAAAGTGCCAACTTAACATACATACAAAGTAGTAAAGAAATTTCAATTGATAATTGTTTACTTTTTAATATTATAAAAACATCTTCAGTGAAATATTTTTTTTTTTTTGAAAATAGAAAACAGAAAGAAACAAACACTTATTCAGTTTTTTTGAAATTTAAACAAAAAACTGTAGGAATTTTTGTTAAGTACCCGTGACTTATAAAACTTAGTATAAAATACTTTAATACAGTTTAAATACCATCCTAATATAGTTTTACAACAACAAAAAGCTCTTAAAACCGTTGTATCTTTGTAGAGTATATTGCAAAATGTACCTTTCTCTACATTTTGCATATACATAAATGTGGCGATAAAAAAATATTGCACATTATATCGCACATTGTGAAGAATAACAACACAACTCAAAAATATAACTTCGGCTTCCGAAATTTAAAGTATTTATAGCCAAGTGTAAATTACTATCGAAGGCTAAAAAACGTTGGTATAGAACTATTCTAGAAATATATGAACAAATTTTCTGTATTATTTTGTTACAAAAAAGCTTTATCTATTATAATAATAGTCCAATATGGTATGTTAGTTTTTTTGTCGGTCGATCATACTCTTGATGACATTTTTTGAATGGTTCTAACTTGAAAACGGCTTAACGTAGAAAACTGGGGTTGGACACAGCTCTTCGTCCGGATGGTTTGAGTATTTTTTTTTATTGCTTTTTTTAGGGATTTTTTAAGGGACTTTTTGAGAGTAATGTTCTCATGGTAGAAAGCTGGGGTTTGGTCTTTTTTAGCTAGAGAATTTTCAAAGGATTTTTTAAGTGATTTTTTAAATGATTTTTTCAAGTGATTTATTGAGTGACTTTCTTCATGTTGATTTTAATAAAAATTTTGATTTCTTGATAATAAACATTATTATTCTAGAATATACTTGAAAAATCTCTTTTTATTAAAAAAATCTCGAAAAAATAACTAAAACAATTTCATTTAAAATTCCTGATTCACTCATGATGCTTCCACTTATGACGTCATCACTAAAAAATCACTCAAACTCTAAAAAGAAATATTCAAAAAGAAATTAAGTCTGCGTGGGATAAAAAAGTTTTTAAAAACTTTTAAAAACTTTATAAAGTTTTTGCATTTAAACTGTCTGGGATAATACTTTTTCAACAAAAATGAGAGAAAATGATGACATTCTCATTTTCTCATTGTTTAAAGTTTTTTTAAGTTTTGTAAAGTAAAATTTAGTGTTTTAAAAACTTTTCAAAACTTAGAGCTGTCGAAACATATGTGTTTCTTGGTAATGTCAGGAGGTTTTACTTTTGAAAAAAAAAAAAATTTTTTATCAACCACAACTTTTTTTTCAAAACTTTTCAATTAAAAATTTAAATAAAATTTAAATAAACCAAAATGGGTTCATAAATGGTCTTTTCTAAGTTTTACACTTTTATAATCCAAAATCAAATTCTCGGTAAAAATTATCAATTTTTTGTTTGAAATTTTTGGAGTAAGTACCCTTGTAATTAAATAAGTATAATAAAAAAAATATTAAAAGATTTTCTAAAAGACTTAGTAATTTAATTGTTACGAGTATAATTTGTTCTTGCCTTTGTAATATTTTAAAATATTTTACTCTTATATTTTCTGAAAAAGAAAATTTAATAATTCGGAAATTAATAATTCTGGCAAGTCTTTTTATGACGTGTCTACAAAAAGAAGTCACAATTTTTTCGCTACACAAACGTGAAAATAGTAAAAGCAGCTTACTTTCATCGGATAGTTGCCGAACATCTTCAAGTGAACTGGCTGAACTAACATTTGCTGGCGTTGGTGGTGCAGATGTGCTCAAAATACTGTCTACAGAGCTGCCAGATATTGGGATTGGCGCTGGTACTCTTAGGTATCTTAATTTATTAAATATTATTTCAACGAAATGTAAAAGAAAACAATATTTAGCAAATAAATAATTTACCTAGCGACCTCATTATTAATTGGTTTTAACTGATTTGAATTTGCTTTGGATAATTCTTCCAAAGACTGAACATTGGCCTTTTCCCACTTAAAAGCAGCCTTCACTTTGGTCCATTTTGAAACTTTTACTTTATTTGAATTAGTTGCATATGCACTTTGACGTCTTGGCGTTGAAGTCACTTCGGCATGTTGTTTTGGGATTTCATCACAAAACACAGATTTACTGCGCTCACGATTATGCCTATATTAAAATAATTTAAAAAACGTTTTGAATTTAATTTGTTTTAGAAGTTAAAAAATATTGATTATTAAAATAATTAAACTATGTCTGCCATTAATTCACATTATTTGTATATTTTAAGTGTCTCTTTTCTCTCAAAAAGAGAACAAGATCTTTTTTTTTCCCCAAATTTCACAAATTTCACATGATAAGTTTTCGACGGAAATGTGTTTCTCCATGCTAAGAAAGCGTAATTAAACTATTTTTAGAGATATATCTGTCGGCCTATCAGTCGTCTGTCTGTCGGTTTGTCTGTCTGTTTGTCTGTACAAATCTGTATCTCAATTTTGGCTTAACCGATTTTTACAAAAATTTATATCTGAGTTCACTTTAAGGATGAGGCGATTTGATCAGTTGCCAGGTTTTTGGTACTACAAATTACACATTTTTTAGCAAAATTTTTATTCTACATCCTTGATTAAAGCTTTTTAAATTTTTTAAACACAATATTCTTATTATAAATGCAGTTCAGCCATTTGATATCTAAATGATCTCCTTTTTAGCACTTTTCCAAAAAAATTTTGAAAAAAAGTGCTTATTAGTTTCACTCTGTCCGTGTGTCTGTTTACAAAACTTCTACACCCTTGAAGATAGAAAGCTGAAATTTTGTATGTACATAGATCTTTACTAGAAACTTATTTCCGTACTACAAAATTTTTACCTATCTCCCCCCCTCTAGAAGTTATACCCCCCCAAAACCTTAAAAATGGCCATTTTTAACTATTTGTTGCAATGAAACCATAAGCATTTTTGAAATTTTGCAAACGCATAAAGGCAGCGGCTTGCTTCCCCTATCGGGATATACTATAGCTAAACTTTAGAAAAACAAAATGGCCGTTCAAATTTACCGTTATCTAAAGTCTTTTTTTTCCAAATTTTTGATTTCGTTTTTCTTTTAGACCCCAGCCTGTAGAAGCTTGAAGTTTTAGGGGCTTATACACATTAACAAATAGTTCATTTCGCTAGAAGAAAATTTTTTTCCATCTCCACCCCCTCTCAAGTTATCGCCTCTTGAAATTTGTAAAATTTGAATTTTTGGCGCCTTATATTTCCAAAACCGCAAACGTTTTCAAATTTCTATAAACATAAAAAGCTAGCGGTAAATTCCGTGACATTAAAAAATATAATTATTTTTCTTAACTCACACAATTAACCCTTAAAATCGAGCATTATGTTCCCTCTTTATATTAATTTTTGCTTTATTTCAAAGATTGCATGAATGCATCATCCTAAATATATGCAATCCTAGAAATAGTTAAATATGAATGAAAATAATTTTATAGTGTGATAGGTATGCATAGACTGTATTTAAAAGCAGAATTTTCACTTGTTGAAGGGAAAAGTGCTACAATACAAACCATTGGTTTGACCCAACTTTATTAAAGGCTAAAAGTAACTTTTTTTAAAGATTTTCTTGTAAAGGCTCGCTTATACACTTTTGGATATGGGCAACCTAAGTTTAAGCAAAAGGGTTGTATTCGCAGTTATCTAAAAATGTGTTAACAGTAGAAAAAAATGAAAACAGTAATTAAAGAAGGGAAATCGTTTGTTTTGTTATTAATAAATAAAATATTATAGAAGTAGTTGTTTCAAATTTATTTTTGTACTAAATTATTTCGACACCATTCGCCAATATAAAATATTTATCAATTTAAAAAAAAAAGTTAATTTATATTTATCAAACTATTTAGTGTTGTCTTGGAAATTCAAACTAATAGAAAAATGTTTAACAAATGGCCAATTTATTGTTCCTTTAAAAGCAAACGAAAATTTTGAAATCAGTTTTATGATAAAAAAAATCAACAAATGTAATATAAATATGTATGTTATTTAAATAGTCAAACTAATAAAAAACAATTTCGTATTTGAAAACTACAGAATTTATTGTTGGAGAAAGTAGGTGTGATTCTCTCATACAATTTCATCCAGTCTTAAGCTTTTCTATCCTACTATCTTTCTAATAAAAATATCCTACTATCTTCCTAATAAAAAGTTTAAAACTTTTAAGCTAAAAACTTCTTAAGAATATATTATTAAGAAAACGATAAATCACCTTTTAGCGAAATTTCTTTTACTTGAAGCAGTATTACCAGCTGCCAAGATCGTATTTAACAATCCACCATTATTAGTTAAATTTAGTTCCTTAGCATACAAATCTTCGGATTCGTCTAACAAATCATTTGAATAATTCTGTAATAGAGAAAAATACATTTTTTGCTTCATTTTATAGACGTGCAAATATAGTAAAGCTTTGCAACATTACCTTAGTCTGCATTGCCTTCAATTCAGATAGCATTTTAACGTCTCTAATGTATTTAGCCATCAAATAATTTTGCTCTTCTAACTTTAAAATCTTATCAATTAAACCATGCAAAGAACTTAGTTGTTCAAAAGCATCATATGCGGCTAACGCAGCTGATATAGTTGAACTTGCTCGATTAAGTAATGGCTTTATGAATTTTTCACATTCTTCTTTCAATTCTTCATTTTCTGAATTTTGAGGAATTTGCTGTTCGAACATTTGACAAATGGGGAAAGGCGGTGTTATTGATGAAGTTTGTTGGTTTCTATCGGACATTAATGGTTTTTTAGTTTTGTCCATAGTAGCTTCCGATGCTGCTGGACGATCAACTATGTTGTGTGTTGACAAATTAGCTATAATATTGTTCACTGAATCGCAATCGTTTGATGTAGATAATATTGAAGAATTTTCATTTCCTAAATCTGATTTTGTGGCTACTTTTATTGGTGTTAGTTCATTTTTTTTTTTCGTCAGAATTTTACAATCCTTAACAATTGTTTCTTTCAATTTTTCAAGAAACTGTTCCTCGCGCAGTTTGTAGTCATTGATATATTGAATGGAGTCAGGCAAATTTTCTCTTTGCCTTACTTTTGTATACATAAATGATGTTTGATTCTTGTTAGATTGACTTCGCGGTAAAGAGGGTGGAGGCGGTAAACCCAGCGTCGTTATATCGGAATTCGTTGAAGTAGTTCGTTTTCTAGTTGGTAATTTCTCCATATTAATTTTATATGTACATAGGTATTTATAATTACCTTCAAACCATTATTATTATAAAAATGTTTATTACTTATTTATTAAAACCCAATTTCAACTAAAATTTTCTATAGCTTTAGAAAAGTTAGACGTACGTTAAATTTAATTTTTGTCTAACATTTTAGGTTGAAAAATCGAGCAAAATATCTTAAAAGCAAGCAACAGCCAATATTACAAAAAAAAGGAAGGTAAAAAATTTTCATATGAAAAGAACCAAAGATACGCGCAACGCGGCATTAATTAAATGTCAAAGTGAAGTGGTGTAGGAAAAGGAGCTTTATAATTCGGCTATGATGTAGTATTCCGCTATGATCATTCATGTTTCTATAGAACCTAAAAATATCCGTTAGATAGTAACGGGTTCATAGTATGTAATCAAAATTTTTTTAAAAACACATTATATTCAATTTGTAAAATAAAGATTTTTTCGAAAAGAGGTCTTATTAATATATTGTTTTATTTATTAGTTTATTTATTTTTTTTATATAGTTTTGACGGCTCTCATCGTCCTTCAAGGACATCAAAAGCCAAAATTGTATTTATCTTGTGTCCGTAGCCTTACTAAAAATCACTACTAATCCGTTTAATCACCATTTAACTTTACGAACTTTTTTTAAAAATCTCTTACGATGGCTTCTGAAGTTAGCGTAAAAATCAATTTTTCAAGTCGTTTAAGCTCTGTTATATTAAGATGTGATTATCTTTTGGCAACATATGTGATTATACGGATCAATGATGCAATACTTTTATTCTGGTGGAACCCCAGAATCCAAAGTACAAATTCAAAAACAAAATATGTTAAATATAATTGTACTGACAGTACAAATTCTGTGTGAGTTATATTTGATAGATTTTAATAGGTTTAAAATAAATTTATCATGAAGCCTACAGCCATCATCTTGAAGGTCTAAAACTTCCTCTGAGAATCTTAAACATGAACAAAATTTCATTATAATTTTATGGGATTGTAAGAGAAAGATCTTAATGAGTTCAAAATATTTGTCTAAACATTAGAATAAATTTAAAAAATGCAAATTTAAAATTGATAAAATAGATTTAAAATCATATGTAGGTACTTAAATATGTTTAGCCTTACCTACAACACAACTATAAATATAAATGTGAAAAGTTACATATATGCAAAATTATAACGTTACACATTCGCAACAAAATGTTCCGAACACTTGCTCCTGACTATTTTATGAATTTTTTATTATTATAATAAATTGCAGCATTGTATATACAAGTTGATGCCTTTAAAATACATATATTTACGTATAAGTGTTTATAAAAACAAAATATTTTTTTTATGAAAAAAAAAATTTAATAACGCTAAAATTGGTGTGTACCATGTTATCACAGAAAATCGTTTAAGATTATAAACATATTTAAATTATGTTCATGTGATATGTATAAAATAATGTCCATATAATGTATTACAAACAATTGCAATATATATATGCAAATATATTTCCTTTTCAATTACTTGCAATAATTTTTCATTTGCATATCTGATTTCTTAACACATTCATTTATAGGTACCCAACTATACACACATTGTGTGTGATATTTATAAACTTCATATTAATAAAATTAACTTATACGCAGAAAGTTTGAGAATTCAATTTACAAAATGAGTCCAATATCCGCATTACGAAACAATATTACTCTTTAATTTTTAAATCAAATAAAGTACACATTATTATTTATTTTTTAATTATTTGTGTACATATCTATATTTACACGCAACCTTTTTGTATTCAATCTTTTTTTATATTAATATTTATTACATAGAAAGGAACACTTTGATTTATCAAATAATTTGAACACCATACTTTGTTTAATTTGCAAAATGAATTTTGAAACACAAAGAAAGCATTTTGGAAAACAAAAATAACATTATGTAAAAATTAGTTTAAACAAAACTAAATTTCTATTTTTAATAAGTATGTACTTATATGTATGTAAAAAGTGAAAACAAAATAAAAAAGAACTAAAGTACTAAATTTGGAAACAAAATTATTTATTTATTTTATATTTTTATTTATCCATTTACTTTTTTAATTTAGAATTTTATAATAATTTACACCCGCTTTAAAGTATGGAAACACGCACGCTTGCTCGGAAAATTCAAATAAGAACAAATGAAAAGAGATTTTCTTTAATTTCCCTACATTCAAAATAAAACTTCGAAAATTTTCGGAAACAAAATATACATGTATACATATGTATGTATATATGTCTGAAAAATTTATACGAGTACATAAATATATTTAAATATTTTCAACTAAAACAAGATGATCGTGTAATTTTAGTTAATTTAACAATTTTAATATTTTTTCGAAATTGCTCTCATTGCAAGCAGTTTGGCGTTATTGTTATACATTTTGGTATGAGCTGTGGGGCACATAATATTGACAAAATGTATTAAGAACATATTGGATATTATATTATTTTTCGTTAATATAATATCCAATATGTTCTTATGTCGTTAATATAACACTTTATTATTCTCTATTTTATATGTCTTTTGAAATTACATACATACATGTGTACACTTTTTGTTTTCACCGATCACATTGTATGTATGCAATAAAGCAGATAATGTGATGGCACTAAAAATTTCTCATGTCAAGTGGGTAGAAAGCCAGTACTCCATGGTAGGAAATCGTAAATAAAGTATATTTGCTGAATATCAGTCTATCGATTTGCAAGGTTGTGTACTCGCATATCTCAATTTTCACTTTCCGATTTTGATGAGGACTATGTTACGGATTGATCAACTTTCGATACGGGTTTCGGCTAATAGACTTTAACTGCCAAATTTACATTTTTGCACATAAGTATACAAAGAAACTATAAACCATAATTAGCACAAGATTTAATATTTAAATTGAGAATGTTAAAACAATGAACTTATGAATTTTTTGCGAATGCCAGGGTTTCTAAGCTGAACTTTATTTAAGGAACGAACTTATTCGCCAACCTTATTAACGGAATTTCTTTAAATTTCGTATTTGGGTCTGCTCGCGGCCAAAACTAACCGACCATTTTAGGAAATTCAGATAGCATAAAGTGAACCTCTACTAAGAAGTGTTTAAATGGCAGTTTCAACTCGCGCCGGTTCCTCCTTGCAACCGTATGAGTAGATCGAATATATTTTAAACATATAAGACAAAAAAGTAGCACATGTGAAAATAAAAAGAGGTTAGAAATTAGCAATTACAAACACAATTAAATAAACAAACAATTTTAACAAGTTATATAATACTTAATATATAAAACAAACAATTTTATACAAGTTATTTATAATTTAACAAGTTATACAATTCAACAATTATATAAAAAAATCAAAATAACAATAAACATAAAACATATTAAAATTTTAAAACGTAGGAAAAATGCAAAAATTAATCATGTATGCACCATGTACATAAATATTTTTAAAAATTCCAGTCTTTGATTCCTTATACTGCTGAACCTGCAAGAATTTGGTAACTTACGATGAAATTTGAGAATTACTTCTTCTATTAGAAACAGTATAATTTTTTCTATTAAATTAGTTTTTTAAATTAGACGAAATTAGTTTTTTAAATTAACCAAGAGATTTCACATTCTTCAAATGTGCTAAAAAAATCAATTTAGAGTGACTAACCTGAAATTGTGAATTTAATAAATTTAGTAGTGACAGCCTTTTGTTCAAAGTTATTAGATTTATTTAACTTCTAATTATGGTTAAGATAACAGAAAACATCTTCCCGTCCACAATTATTGTATATGTACAAACTAATTTGCTTAAGTGATAAAAAAATTTTATATTTGTACATAGTAAATTTATTTTTATGCTTTTTTTCTGATATGCATCATAAACGTAAATGTAAAGAACTTTTAAATATTCTAATATTTTATTAATTTAAATATTTTTATCACTATATGTACATATTATATCGATCCATAAAAATAAATAAACATTAAAAATCTTTAATGTAATCTAAAAAATAAAAAAATATGTAAATATTAAATTTGTACATAGAAAATTATTCATATAATTTTTCAAAGTTTTGGAACAAGTTTTTTTATTGTGTAATATTAAAAACGGGGTACTCGTATTTTACTATCTACCAGTCAACGAACAATAATTATTTATTCCGAAATCATTTAAACTAATCCTAAGTTAATGCTTTGTGTAATTATAAGAAATTTTATATGTACAAATATTTACATTAATAGAAACCTATTTCAGTAAAAGAAAATTTTTACCTACATCCCCCCTCTAAAGATTATATCCGGCCAAAACCATAAAGATGCCATTTTTTAACTATTTATTGCAGCGAATCCATAAGCATTCTCAATTTTTGATATATTGCAAACGCAAAACAGCAGTGATTGACTTTTTCTACCTCAGTGTACCATATTTGAACTTTTAAAAAACAAAATGGCCGTTAAAATTTACCTATTTAATTGTAGAACTCTGAAATTTTAGCAGCTTTTAGACACCAGCAAACGTTTTCTAAATTTATGTATTTTGTTAAAAGAAATTTTTTTTCCACCTTCACCCCTTTCAAGTTATGGCCTCTCGAAAGTTATAAAATTTGAATATTTGAGACCCTATATTCCAAAACTGCAAGCTTTTCCAAAGTTCTATAAGTGTTAAGTATTATGTTAACGTCTCTTTCAATTGTTTTTATTTCAAAGATTGTCTACATTGCATGTCTTAAAAGTATGCAATCTTTGAAATACATTCGTATGTGAATGAAAGTAATTTTAATAATGTGGTACATAGATTATTTTTAAAAGCAGTATTTTCACTTGTTTAATAGAAAAGTGCTATATTACAAACCATTGCTTTTACTCAACTTTATTTTATTACCGTATATTTTTTTTTTCCTTTCAAACTCCTATTGAGGAGCATAGGGCTTCGATTAAACCTCTCCATCTCTCTCTATTTTGGGCGACAGATCTTATTTGCGCCCAAGTCTTGCCTGCAGCTGTTATTTCTTTTTCCATTGTTCTTCGCCATGTATTCTTAGGCCTGCCGATGTTTCTCCTACCCTGGGGATTTCATTCCAATGCCTGCTTTGCTATGGATAAGTATGTGGCCTACCCATCTATATTTTTTCTGTCTTATTTGGTTTTCTATCGGGTCTGTTTGCCAAGGGCCCATAGGTCGTTGTTTCTTATTCTGTTGGGCCAGAATATTCGGCATATGATGCGGAGGCATTTATTTGTGAAGACCTGCATTTTATTAATGTCTTTCTTGTTCATGAGCCAGGTTTCACTGCCGTACAACATTACTGACTTGACGCAGGCGTCGAAGACCCTCGGCTTGACATTCCTTGAAAGTTGTGTGGATTTCCAGATCTTCCATAGTCTAGCGAATGTCGCCCTAGCTTTTCTGAGCTTGTCTTCTATATCAGCACTTGCTCCGCCATCTGAGCTTATAATGCTCCCCAGGTATGTTAAGGTGGTTACATCCTCAATTGCTTCGCCATCAATCTCAAATGCTTGGTTGTTTGTGGCATTCATTCTGATGGTCTTTGTTTTTCTTGTGTTTTTTTGTAGGCCAACTTCGCAGTTCTTTAACTTTTCTAATTTTTGCTTCATATTTTCATATGTGTGTGTGAGGAGGCATACATTATCCGCATACTCAAGATCATCCAGCGTGTTGAAGATATTCCAGTTAATCCCATTTCTGATTTCATTTGTTTTCCTTATTATTTCATCTATAACAATGTTGAAAAGGACTGGCGAAAAGGGACAGCCCTGCCTAACTCCCCGGATTGTCGTTATGGGCTCACTTTGTCTTCCCTTGTGAAGAATCTGAGTCTCTGCATTTTCATACATCGCCTTGACAATTCTAATTATTTTGCTAGGGATTCCCCTTAGCTCTAGAGCTCTCCATATGGTATTTCTGTCTACAGTGTCGAAAGCCGTTTTGAAGGCGATGTAGAGCGGCGAGTTGAATTCCTTAGACTGTTCTACAATTATTCTTATTGTGTTGGTGTGTTCAATACAGCTTCTTCCTTCTCTAAAACACGCCTGTTCTTTTCGTAGTCGATTTTCTATGTGATCTTTAATTCTTGAGTGCAGGATGATGGGTAGTATTTTGATAACAGCATTGAGTAATGTGATGTCCCTCCAGTTGCTGCAGTTGCTAAGATCGCTCTTTTTTGGTAGCTTCACTATAATTCCTTTTTTCCATTCTTTGCATATATTTTCAGTTTGCCAAATTTTGATGACGATGGGCTCGTGTTTATATTGTTGTGTTCTTCGTTTCGACTTTTCCAGACCCCCGGACTGAAATCTGGAAACTGCGTGTTGGATGACTCATTGAAGTGCTCAACCCATCTCTCAATTTGTTTTTGTGTTTCTGTTATTATGTTGCCATTCTTATCTTTGATGGCATGTTCTTTGTTGAGACCTTTATTCGAAAGTAACCTTACTTTCTTATATAATTGTTTGGTGTTGTATTGTTCAGCTGCGACCTGTGCCTCTGCAGCGATGTTATTGTAGCATCTTCTTTTGTCATTTCTGGCTGCTCGTTTACCTTCTTTACAAATTCTTCTATGTTGTTCTCGCACCGCACTGTTGTGTGTGTCTGTAAGAAGTTTTCTTCTCAAAGCTCTTCTTCTATTGATTAACTCCCACGTATCGTCGGATATCCACAACTTCCTTTCTGAACTTACAGTCCCAACAACTTCTTCACCAGACCTTCTATATATTTTTTGGATTCCCTCCTCAGTTAGTGGAATCTCAGTGACGATGAGTTCCTGTACCTTTTACGACAACTCAAATCTCTTTGTTTCTGTTTTAAGTTCTTCAGTATTTAAGCATTTTCTTCTTCTAGTTGAATTTCTCGCTAGGGCTGATAATTTGAGTCTTATTTCACAGGCAAGTAGCATGTGATCCGTTTGAACATCTGGTACTCTCCATTTGTCTGTGAACAATTCGTTTAAACATCTGTGAGGACCTCCATTTTTTACTAATGCATATGTGGTCTATCTGGTTCCTTGTTACACCATCTGGAGATGTCCAAGTGTATTTGTGAATATCTTTGTGTGGGAACAGTGTACCTCCTATTACTAGATTATGTTCTCTACATAAGTCTCTTAATCTTTCACCATTGTTGTTTAGCACACCAAGTCCATGTATTTCATGGCTGAACATTCTTCTTCGGGATTCCTTTGTCCAATTTTTGCGTTGAAATCGCCCATAAGTATCAGAATGTCTGTGCGAGGTATCTTACATATTGCTGCCGTTAATTGCTCATATATCTCGTTCTTCTCATTTTCGTCAGCCATTTCTGTTGGTGCGTAGCAATGAATGATTGAAATCTTCTTAATTCTCGAGTTTAGTCTAATGGTGATCAGTCTGTTGGATATGGGTTCCCAGCTTATCTCTATTGTCTCCGGAATATATGAATTGGTTACCTTCATTCACATAGCCAAGAATGCTGATTCTGTACCTCCTCATTTCTTTTTCTACTTGGTCTACACCAACCGTATATTTGGTTGGTGTAATTTATTTTAGGTTTAAAGGCATTTACACATGTACTTTGCATTTCAAAAAATATCTTATAAAAACTCGCTAAAAGTGTGTACCCTACAGCTTACAAATTCGTACGGGTATCACAGGGTTGACACGATCCACTCTATTTTTTCTCGTTTTTCACTAATTAATTCTTTCTAATACAATTTATAAAATAGACCATTAAAATTAAAATTCGTCACTGTATCCATTTACTGATAATCTTAAATAGAAAATGAATATGCTGGCATTGAAAAGTTGGTATACTTTTAAAAAACATTTTATTTTGATGTTGTATATAGATACATACATACATATATATATATATATATATATACGAGAAAGAAGTGCCATCATATAAATACTAACAGCCTGTTCGTGTATCTCATTTTTTATTCACTTTTTATTCACTTTCAAATCAGAATTCTCAATATTTTCTAATTGATATTTCACTTTTCCAATAAGATTACTCATTTTTTCAATTGACGATTATCGACTGAATATCTCACTTTCAAAAACAAAAAAAAATTTCGTATGCATTTTGGAAAAAAACGAGATACGCAATACCAAATAATTCTTCTTACTCGAAAATAACAGTATAAAAGTATATGAAAGTTACTCACTTTCTTCTCGCTATCCGACCTAAATAACGATATAGCCGATCAGGCCCGAAATTGTTTAGCAGCAGAAATATCCTTTGGTTCTAAAATACTCTGAACAAACTAAAAATGGGAGCTCAGTGAAAAGTAATTTTTTTGCACTACCAGTCTAACAAGCAAAGCAAGTCTTTTCATATAAATAAATACGTCATTCATCATGTAATATATGTATGTATATATCCAAGAATATCCTCACCTGGCAAATTCGTTTTTAAAATTACCAAATGACAACTGACAGCTTACTGTTTCTTCTTCAAATATTCTTATTTATTACCCAACAACCATTAACATTTAGATTTAGAACATTATACATACGAAAAAACGTGAACATTTTATTTTTCTACTTTTCAACTTTTTAAATTCTACTTTCCAGTTTTTTTGGATGAGAAATTTTTACTTTTCAGTTTCTAAGAAAAATGTACTGAAAATTACAAAATCTATAAAAATATTAAAGTAGGTACAAAAACCAAATAGTAAAATTATAATTTCTGACTTGAACCTATACGCTTTTTATAAAACTGAAAAATAGAAATTTCCTTTAAAAAATTTTATTAAAAAACATTTTTATGTATATAATGTATTTATTAAAAATCCAAGCGCAAAAATTCAAAGTATATCTATTAATAAGTAGCTCGATTCTGCGTTTACATCACACTAATGCCAATATTTGTGTACAAAAAATACCCTTAGTCACTCACCAATATTTGTATACAAAAAATTCCCTTAGCTAAAAGAGTTAAGCAGTATTCCTTTTTATTTTCATTTTTATACACATAAGAATTTTTGGGAGAGGGAAAAGATACGCAATAGATATCTATATTTATCGTATATGAAATATAGGAAAAAATATTAAGAATTTTAAAAGCGGGAGTTTTATTTCTGTAACTTATTCCAGTACAAGTTGGCAAAAATGGTGTATTCATATTATAAAAACGAAGCGATTTAAGAACAAAATTTCACTATTAAAAAAAAAAAATATAGTTTACATATTATATGCATATATTTTGAAAAAGACAAATAATATTAACAAAAAACTTAAAATTTGTAATTAGTAATTGCCATTACATTCATTGTAATATAAACTATGAATTTTTTCAATAGATATCTATATTTCTCGTATATGAAATATAGGAAAAAATATTAAGAATTTTAAAAGCGGGAGTTTTATTTCTGTAACTTATTCCAGTACAAGTTGGCAAAAATGGTGTATTCATATTATAAAAACGAAGCGATTTAAGAACAAAATTGCACTATTAAAAAAAAAAATATAGTTTACATATTATATGCATATATTTTGAAAAAGACAAATAATATTAACAAAAAACTTAAAATTTGTAATTAGTAATTGCCATTACATTTATTGTAATATAAACTATGAATTTTTTATTTTTAATTCAATTTTGTTTTAAAAATTTATAACAAATATTTCTTATGAATATACATACATACACGCCTATCGGTAATAGGCATTTTTTTTATAAGTTGCTTAATTTCTATGCCTTGTCTACAATGCGGTTTGACGTAAAATCAGCTCGAAACTCAAGCTGCATTCTTACTATGTTAGCTTAAAAGCCCAAAAACGATGTTTAGCTATTAAATTTCAAATCTTTATTAACATTTCAAGTCAAGTAAGCGACCTGAGTGAAGCCGACTTCAGGTAAAGTAATGTTTATATAGACAATAATAAGCTTGAAGCAGCCACATAAACGGGGTACATACATATTGCTACATCATATTTTGTATCTCCTTGATATTAGTATGTACCGTATAACAAAGTATGTAAATTGTATAACAAAGTATATGTATAACAAAGTAACAAAATTTATAACTATTACTTCCATACATTCTAATGTTTTTACCTAACTTTTGTGAAATGAAAAATAAATTTTGTTGTTATCAAAATAAAAATAACAAAACTTTTACCTAACTTAATTTAATTTTATTTCATTTCGATGTTTTTGATACACTCGTTTGTTTACAATATTTTGTTTCTTTCTTGCCTACACAACTTTTATTACCATCTATTTCTAAAAAAAAAGGAATATTTTAAGAATTTGGAAGCAAAGTGCAAACGAAAACTAACAGAATGGAACGACTCAAACTACTTATTAATAGATATACTTTGGCAAAAATTTACAAATATTTTTGTTAGAGATACATATCGTCCCAACATAATTACATACATAAATGTTATAATTCAAACATAATTTTATCAGTATCATATGCACAGCCATCTTTATATAAGACTTGACAATACACCATCTACTAATGCATTCATACGGTGTATTGAAAATTGATCATCGTACTTTTTGTTAAGAAATTTATTTTATATTAAGTATTTTCGAATAAATTAGAAATGTTGATGTGGTGATTTGGGATGTTTGTAAAATAAAAAACGATTAAATACAAAAAATATACAGAATTTATTTTATTTCATTTAAATATTAAAAAAAATTAAATTTCTTGTTCTTACAAACTAGTTACTTATTACAGGTAACAAATTACGTTATAATAATGTATACGTAACAAAATTGTTTTTGAAAAAACTACATGACATATTTACATAAAAAAATAAAATTTTTAATCAATATTTCTTAAAACTAGTTATATTTGATGAGAAAAGCAATTAATTTTAGGACATAAATGTGCCTATGTATTCAAATAAATTCACAAAATTTTTTAATTTTCTTTATTAAAGATTAAATTACATACTTATTTAAATTGTTAAAATCTTAACATTAGTAGGTACTTGATTAAATTATATTTGCCACAGGCAACAAAATAAAATTTAAAGTTCCAATAAAAATACTTCGGTGGTGTAGAACTCCTTTTTCCTAATGCTTGTGTCCATTTGTCCCTGATGACTTCGTTCTTTGGCAAAGTAAATGTAAATATAGCATTTACGTTCTCCTTTTCTCGTAGACTATTGCTTCTGCATCCTTCGACGCAACACTTTCGGGGCATTTCTATTTATATGAAGGTAATCAAATATACTATTATATTTTATTTAAACATTATAATTAAAACTTTTAAAAGTACACCAATTCTTACTAATTTATTAAGTGAATTTTCTTTTTAAATAAATTTTAGTACTATTTTTTCAAAATCCACCTGTTTCATACCAAATGTGACTAACAAAAGAAAACACATAAAGTATATTATAGGAGTCTGATACGATTTAATTTTTAATTTTTTTTTCAAAAGAATACTGTTTTCTTTTATTATAGAAATATAGTTACATATATAAAATATTACATATAGTTAATATGTAATATTTTATATGAGCAATAATGTGTAGACACACACATTCATAGATACTTTTTTTAACGAACAATAGGTTTTGTCGTAAAAAAAGTTTCTATATCTTTACCCTTCTTTTTTGTGAATGTGTGTGTTAAGACTTCAAGTGTATTTATATATTGTAGTATTGTATTCAAGTGTATTTATAATATATTGTTTTTCCTTTTTTTCAAAAATGATTAGTTTTGCTTACTTTCATTTCGATTTCTTTGAAAAAATTGACTAAAACCTAACAATGTTTATATTAAATATATTTCGAGTTTTTTACTCATTTTTTTGAACCGCCATGTCAGGCAACGTATCTGAGAGAATTGAGAATAAACAATAATAATACACTGAATAAAAAAAAAATGGGGCTATAATTTTTAGTAATGTCTTTATAAACAAGTCCCAATGCTCAGAGAGAAACTTGAAAGCACCACCTTATTTGATATGGGTTTTTTTAAATCGAAGTGGCTATTTTTTGAGAAGAAATATTAAAATAAATTCACACTTATTATAAAGCAGGTAAAATTTAGAAAATATATTTGAAAAATCAAGAAAAATCAAGTGGTGTCAAGTTGAAAATATAATTAATGAAAGATAATTATTAAATATTGATATAAATACGTAGTAAAGAAAAACTTTTAAGAGGGAATTAGAAAATAATATCTAAAATACAATCAAATATTATTTTTTAAATACAAATTTTATATACACTTCTAAATTTTACCTCTATTTTACCTCTCTGGCGGTAGATTTTCAAGTTTCTCTCTGAGTATTGGGACTTGTTAAATATAAAGACATTACTCATAGTATTTCCAGTAAAACGAGTTGAATGTATTTAAAAGCATGTATGTATGTATTTAAAAGCATTTTAATATTTTTATACAAACTAACATACACTAAATATTTTTTTCGTTTAAGCTGGATTCATTGGTTCGTCGCTTTTGCGACGAGCTGATATATTTTATATGAAAATTTGAATTTTTGACATTCTTTTTATTTTCAGTACAGCTGTTTTTCTCTCTCTCTCAAAAAGTTGAATTAACTTCAACTTTAGTGCGGAGGTTTTTTAAAAAGTCAAATTTACGTTTACTGAACTATTACAATCACATATGTATAATTCTTGCCAAAAAAGTAATAAATGCATCATAATAAAAAAAACGATCAGCTTTTTACAGACGAACCAATAAAAAATCAAGAGAAAAAATAGTTCGACTACAAATAGCTCAGCTCGTAAACGGTGAACCAATGAATTCAGCTTTAGTAATATGTACATATAATAAGGAATCTGTCACTGACATTCGTATATGTTTTTAGTTAATGCTTCTTTTACTTTTCTTTCTTAGATTCTTAAATTAAATTAGGGCGGACCAGTCTACTGACCAATTTTTTTTGGCCGAACCGTATTTTGATTTAATCAGTTATTTGAGACGACTTTGAGAGAAGTATTGACACCGACCTTTTGTTTATTCGTGATGGGATTAGGAATTTATGATTTCTAATCATTGGTCAAATTTTACGTTGCAGCTGTAAATACATACTATCTAAATTTCTTTGTTTTTTAATTTTGACATTTTATTTGAAACAAATTTTAATGCTTGGTAAAAAAAAATATCAATTTAACGTGAAATCGGTGGGAGAAAAATTAAAAAAAACATTGCTCTGAAGTTGCAGTTTCCCATAGCAAATTTCAAAACTGTTCCAATACATCCATCCAATGGTTGATTTTTCCGAAACAAAATTTTTTTAGGTATAGGTTCTCTTTGCTTCTAAAGAGAAGTAAATCAGTTTTGATAAAGTTTACATACGCACTTTATCAAAACTGATTTTCTGTTATATTCGCACGAAATATATGTACATAAGTATGTATTAGCAAAAATAAAAGTATTTTTTTCCGAATAAAAGGGAGTTTTCTTTCTAGGAGCTCAAAAAATAAAAATTCAACTATTGCAGCTTAAACAGCCTTTATGTACCAAAGCGTTACACATTCAGTACATAAATTTTATAGACCCTTGTTTTCCATCGTTATTTTTCTGTTTAGTTAAATTTCACAAAAAATTGTCACAACTTCGCGTTCCAACAAAATGACGACCGTAACATAAACATACATATGTATGTATATATGTACATTATGTATTTAATATTTTCCTTTTTTTTACAATCTCTAGATATGACTATATGAGACTATGAGATTAAAAAAATTACTTGATTATTCGACGGGAACCGGACTCTGATAAATCCAAAAACATCATCAAAAATTTTAGAACCTCACCTCCTGTGCATAGATACATACATATGTAGCCCTTCTGTTTCTCGCACTTCAACCCAAGTTCGAATAATATTAAACTATGAATTTTAAAGTGGGATTCAGTGCTTCATCGTGTTCGAATTGAATTAAAAATTTTAAATATAAATCGATATTTTACAAATTTATACATAGAGTGTTTTGCACCTCCACATTTATATTTTGTAATATTAGCAATATTTTGAATTACACAATTATTAATTATTACACAAATCAAACAAATAAATATGGAAGGACGAGCATATCCAGTTTTCACATCCCTGTCGCGTAACAATTTTGAACACAAAAAAAAAAGAAAACATTCTTGAAATACAATTGATGACTAGAATTCTTTCAAGCTCAGCTTAAAGTATGTAAGCATGTATGCATGTATTACATGAATGTACATAGTTACTTATGTATGTATGAATGAATTAATAAAATTCCGCTCTTCGCGTTAGTTATATTTGTATCTTGTTCTGTGTTGTATCTGATATATTCAATTCATATATATACGGATCGCGAATTATTTCAATTAAAAAATTATTGCTGCGATAGCATTATAACACTATCAAGTTTAAAAAATATTTTTGAAATGAATTTAAGAGCTCTATTTTCAAATATTTTTTTCAGATCTGCTCCAAAGCTTGCAAATAATTTGCCAAAAAAATGCTTGCTTATATCTGGATGTGATTCTGGGTTGGGGTATGTATTACTGATATGTACTTAAATTTATGCATATGTATGTACATATGCATGGTAAGTCCTTATATCGAGGTGACAGAAGTATGTATTATAATATATACATATATGTATACATAAGTATGTACCAATTATTGTTTTTATAACAAACAGGAAAAAATTACGTTCGCGCAATCTACCTACTCATGCTTAGTTTCGGTTGACATTATAATAACAGAACAAATTTGTAATAACACTAAGTATATAGTTGGCTTTTTTAAATTAAAAGCTTAATTTTAAAATATTTAATGCCTACATACATACATAAGTATATCTATTATAAAATTCAAAACTCAAAAAAGTTGTGTTAAAATCGGGGACATAAGAACAAAAAAGAATGAACTTTAAAACTAATATATGTATATGTACATAAACATACATACAAATTTTACATATCGGCGGATGAGTGCAATTTGATCCACACGCCATAATTTTTGAAAAATTCTTAAAATATTTTTTGTTTAGTTAAGTACATATGTGAAAAAAACAAGTAAGGTGAAAAAGAGATGGATCAAAACGACAACGGCGTATCTACGAAACTAAATGAGATAACGAAAAACTGATTATATAATGCTGAAAAATCGTCGTTGAAAACCTATGAAAGTTTTCTTAAGTCAGAAATTTCGAAAGTGGCATATTGATCAAAATAGCACTCAGCCGACGATATACCGTTTAAAATTGATATTTTGTGATAATATGATAGTTCCAAGCTTAATTTTGAGTTAATTTTGTGTTGCTGTAAGAATACAAGATAGTTCTTACATTATAAGATTATACACTCATCCCTCGCTTTATGGAACTAATATGTTCCGGAAATGTTGCCCGTAAATCAAATCTTTTTACTACATTACGTTACAACCACATAATTTTTTACCTAAACTTACATGGGTACATATATTTCTTGTTAATTTGCAAAAATTATAAGGATATTGTTATTTGATTTTATTAAATTGTAATTTTTTAGACTACTTTTTTTTTGCATTTTAAAAATGTTTTGTTAATCGATTTTTTTTTCCATAAAAAGAAACTTTGATTTAATTTTTGAATTCCGTATAACGAGCTTCGGTTAAGCGAGGGAATAGTTTTCTTACATTATATAAGTTTATGTATGTACATACATATACTTATATAACATATGTTCATACATATGTATGTATGTACTTTTCTTACATTATAAAATCATTACGGCTATACTGTTAGAATTAACGTCAGGAAATGTAACAAAAATATCTGCTGAAAACTAATAAACAGGATTCGAAAAATTATAATATAAAAAAGTCACCTTTCATATTTAGATTTGCAGTACTATTACTTACATATGTATGTACATATATTTCAAATAATTAAATTATCAAACAATTTTATGTTTATTTAAACATTTACAATATTATTATAATTTTATTACAATTTTTACAGCTTTAATTTGTCATTATTTTGTTCAAAAGCATTAAAAATTACCGTAGTATCCGGCTGCCTTAGCATAAATTCGGATGGTGCCAAGTTATTAAAAAGGGAAAAAAATATTATACCAATTGAACTAGACTTATTGAATCCTGAAACAGTTCAAAACGCATTTCATACGATAAATGGATTAGGTGAGTGCAAATATATACCTCGCCAGCAGTAAATTTAGTAGAATGGAAGTAAATTTTATTATATTCTGTTATGTAGTATTAAATGGGTATCAATTATCAGCCATAGTTAATAATGCTGGTATAATGTGTTTTGGAGAATTTGAATGGCAAACTCCAGATATATTTGAATCACAAATCAATGTTAATCTTCTAGGGACCATGAAACTAACGCACAAATTTCTTCCCCTAATAAGAACTCAAAAAGGAAGAATAATTAATATAACAAGTCACTGTGGATTTCACGTAAGTTAAAAATACATCAATACATACATAAGTAACAGAAAAATAGGGGAAAAAGAATAAAACTCTTGCAAAACCTTAGAGTTTGCCCAGCTTAAGTGCTTACTCGGCTTCAAAAAGCGGTCTTAAGTCATGGAATGATGCTTTACGAATGGAAATGTCAAAATATGGGGTCAAAGTAATAAACTTCGTACCAGGGTCGTTTATAATGTTAAGTAATATCACTGCTAAACAATGCATCTATGCAAGCATTATGAGGGATAAATTTAATGATGAACAAACTATATTTTACGGAAGATATTTTGAACAGTATAACGATTATCTACGAAGTTTATCAAAATGTAAAGCTCCGTGTGAAATAGCTGATAACATTTTATACAAAAAGTTTCAAAAGGCTTTGCTTTCTGAAAATCCAAAAACGATTTACATCCATGAACCGTGGAGGTAAAAATTCTCATTTTTAACATCTTCTGTATGCATATATATCACAATATGCACACATATGTGTATATGTATATTCTTTTTTTTTTAATATATTATTTTTAGGTACAAAATTTATTACTTTTTGTTTAAGATCTTCCCTGTAAGAATTGTTGACTGGTTGACACAAAAATTTGTTTCCATGCCAAAATATATACCAAAGGTTAATAATTAACTTGTTTCCTTTTTTTTTACAAACCAACTTGTAACTAAAATTAAAATAAAAATTTGAGTTAGTATTTTTTAAAAAATTAAGTAAAACCAAAAATGACTTTAATTTTAGTGAACCATAAATTCGGAATGACTTTTATTATTTTGCCATAATTCTATTGCCTTATTTACTATCAAATCATCTTGGTCTTCTTTTTTCTAAAATTATAATTAAAATGGCTTTGTAATATTAGCCTATATATGATGTTATCTGTCGGAGAAATAATTTTCATTGATTTTCACATTATATTTTTCAACCTAAAAATAGGAAAATCACGGCACCCCTGCTTACATTAGATTTAATAAAGCCAACACATCAAAATACAATTTTACACTTATTTCTACTGTTTCAGAATTTAAATTACTAAAACTGTGATATTAATTGATATAAAATAGAACTATAGAATCACAAACTATAGTTTCTGAAATGTAGCACATTTCAGAAACACATTATTAAAAACGTTGCACATTAGTAAAAAGCGTTTACTGTACATATTAGTAAAAAGTATTTACTAATATTTACTGTTTCGTCTTTGCAAATTAGTAAAACTCTAGCTGCAGTGCATAGTGGTTTGTATACTGAAAAATCAAATCCTTATATATGTAATATATACATACAATATATATAATGTAATTCATTCTCGAAAACATTCCCCGACAGACCTTTAATACTACTATTTATTTTACTTTTTCAATTAATTCTCTTATCTGCTGAGCATTGGTGCATTTCATCAAATTAATTTTTAAAGTCTTTAAGATTACTAGCAGTACAAAAACAACAATTTTCCTTGATCCGCCACATATTTTATCCCAAACTCTAATCAAAGCTGTTTCGCTAATTATTCCTGAAAAACAGCCGGTGTACCATTTTTCCAACGGCAAGTTATTTAAAATATTATGCTTTTCTAAATAACTAAATTAAAAGTTATATTAAATGTACATTGTATATATGTATATACACTGAAATATAAATTATGTATGCTTACGTAAATATTGTAGTATCTTCCTTTTCCAAAATATTTAAAGTTAATTCTTTCAGCTTAGAAAATTCACTCCTTATTTCATTAGTAAATTGAAAAAACTCCTTTGTTATCCAATAAATTTCTACATCGCTGTAAATAAACCAATCGTATAAATTCCAGTGAAATTACAGTAAGCATATTACCTTTCAAACACTTGCAGCAATGTTTCTGCGATATCCACAAATTGAGTTTCTTCCTGCATTAAAAAATTTCCGTTAGATAAAAATTTTTTTTATTTCTATAAATACTTACATATATATTAAAATCTGGATGCAATTTCCTTGTTTCCAAAAGCCACATCACATAAAAAACTCTAGCTTTAGGTGTTTTATCATTGATATACCTCATAATGTTCACAGCTTGAAATATGTCTACATAGACTGCGATCCGCTGCTCCATAACGTACTTTGTGGAATCGGGATAAACAGGCCAAACACCTTGTAATTAGATTTTTTAAATATTTCATGAAATAACAACTGCAGATATAAGTACCAAGTATTATATTCCATAGTAGCGACCTCTGTGCAGCAGGGACACTAAAACTTAAACAAAATTGTTTCAATTTAATTCTATTAAAAGGTTTATCTTTTAATAAAATATTCAAAGACTTTTTTTCTTCAACACTTCTGCAACCAACTTTTTCATAGTAGGTCGAACGAAAATTTCTCTCATCCGTCATTACAAAAATAGTAAAATTCTTTCAGGTTTTGTTACAATATACAATATACATTTATATCTATTTGATTATCCGCAAATTCTTTAACGTCAAAATTTTGTTTTCAGTCTGCAAACTGTCTGACGTATAAAACTTTTATAGACAGAAATGTAGTAAACTTTTTACCCGTAATTGACTATGAATTTTGATCATCCGTAAACGTCAAAACAAAAAAAAAATTTTTTTAGATTTAAAATAATTTTATACTTACATATTAAAAATTAACAAAAAAAATATTTTTTATATTATTTTTAATGTAATGATAGTCACTCAATACATCAAATTTATTTACTGAATTACTACGTCAGACTGTCTGCATGTAAAAAAAATCTACATTTAAGAATTTAAACTTTGACTGAAAGTAAAAACGCAGTAGAGTATTCGTAAACTCAGACAACTCAGATTTTGTAAAATTTGACGTTAAAGAATTTACCATATGATAGATCGAGATCACAAACAGTGTTGGGATATTTGGTCTTGTAAATTGCGCTAGATGAGGCAAAATACAAATACATTTGTTCCAAATTTCAAAAACTGGGTAGTTCATAAGAATATAACAAAAAACAAACAGTTTTTAATTCATTTAATTTATTTTACACAGCTGTAGATATGTAAATATATGATACCAATTTTTTAGTCTTAATATTCAAAGTAAGAAAAAATAAGAAGTTACAAAACTCAAATCAGTAGCAATTGTTGAATAAAATAAATACGTTATTTTATTCAACAATTGCTACTGATTTGAGTTTTGTAACTTCTTATTTTTTCTTACTTTTGAAACTTTTGAACCTTTTTTTCAAAGATTTTTCAAAAATGCATAATTTTTTAAAAGCTCAATGCAAAACCGAAATCCGTTATGCCAAATTTGATATCAAAAATGGTTATGTCCCAAAACTGATCATACACAGTTTCAATCAGGGAAATGCTATGTGCGTTAACCCTATAATAATACAATTCGGTAAGCTGGATTCATTAGTTCGTCGTTTTTGAGCTGAGCTATTTAAAGTCGAACTATTTTTTATCATTTATGCAGACGAAAAAAGCTGATCGTTTTTTTTGTTATATAATGCATTTATTACTTTTTTGACAAGAACTATATGTTATTGTAATAGTTCGGTATATATAAATTTGACGTTTTAAAAAAGCCTCCGTACTAAATTTGAAGTTGATTCAACTTTTTGAAAAAAAGCTGTACTAAAAATAAAAAGAATGTCAAAAATCTAAAATTTAATCTAAATCAAAAATTTTCATGTATAATACAGCAGCTCGTCGCTTAGGTTGAGTTCAAGTTTGCAGATCTTAAAAAGTAGTTCTTATGTTTTCAGCGCTATTCTGCAAAAGAAAATTCAAAAACTGAAAAAAAAAGTTCTGAAAATAAAAACGTCCCACTGCAACCATCTGTTTTTGACATTTCAATTTTATTTTGTCATTTTAGTTTTAAACCTTGGTGTTGGTATGTTAATATTATTAATTTATTTTAAAAAAAAAATTAATAAAAAATGGATACGGATGGCAAGAAAAAGATAAAGGAAAGTAATTTTCTCTTAAACAACATCTTACTAAGCAGCTTCCAAAAAAAACTTAACAGAATAAAACATCGAAATTTTTTACAACAATCTACTTTTACTACCACTCAAATTTTTTACTACTCCCCACATCACACTCCTCTTTCTACGCCCCGAGCAGGAGTCGTTTTCTAATTTCAGTCTTTCAGTTATGAGGAGTTTGGTTTCTGCACTGGACCATCTTTTTATGCTATTTTCTTCATCCTCAAATCTCAATAATAAGAAAACCATTTCAAATTTATTGAAAAATTGAATTTTGATAATGTAGATATGTACTTACATGTCCTCACTAGTCTCGAGTTTTTCAGACATTATACAATTTTGAAAATTAGCAAGTTTTTTTTTTAGAAGAAACTATTGAATTTTGTTTTAGAAGAAACTATTGAAATTTATTGAAAATTTTTGAACAAAGTTAAATTTTTTTAAAGAAATTAAAAAATTTTAAGCGGTCTTATTACGCGGTCTTATTTCATACTATTAATATTTAAGGTTATATTTTTTTCTTATTAATGACAGCACAAATTTAATGCTGCAAATGCTGCTGAAGTTCTTTTCAAGTTCTAAAAGCAAAAACGTGCTACTTTTTGCAGTATAAATACAAAACCGCACTGCATTTGTAGAACTTCATAAGATCTGCGAACTTGAACTCAACTTTAATTGACGAACAAATAAATCCAACTGTAGTATTTACAAAAGCAACTGAAACTAGATTTCTGTATCTTAACATATGTATATTTGCTTGATTGCATATTTTTGTCGTTTGTTTATATTAAAATGCATTTAGTAATTTTTTAATGGCTTTCACAACGCCGTTACGACTAGCAGAAATACAGGCTTGGATTTTAAGAGAGAGTGGCATTTCACAGCTGGCGAATTTGCACGTATTCTTATAGAAGCTATTTATTTTAAAAAAACCTTGCTTAACAGAGCCTGTTCATTTTTTAAGGTTTCAATAAATGGTACACTACAAGAAAAAAAAAACGTGTTTCGTTTATATTTTCAGATTTGAGAAACTGCACATTTGATATTAACAAATTTGCTAATTCTGTATGATATGTCTCCAGTAATACTTCGAGACTATCGGTGGACTATATGATTATTTTAAGTCTTTGTGAAGTTACTAGTATGGGACATATCTAAGTGATGTTCTCATAATATGTTTGGTAATCCTTAAAGGTTTTTGATTCCATCAGCTCTAAGTGTAGGGATGGTTATCCATTTTAACTATAATTTTCCAACAGATTATTCAGAGATGACAAAACTCTAGTTTCTTCGTCTGCCACTTTTCGGATGCTAATGCTTCGGTTGGTGAAAATGATATACTCCAATTTTGGACTATGCGTATTGAATCTTTCGAAATTCCTGCGATTTTCTTTGGGCGGTTTGGCCTGGTCTTATCCTTTTAGGTAGCTCTTTTATGAGGCTAGGTTATTGTTGATCGATCATCAGCCGTTAAGGGCGCGTAGGCTTGCTGCTGGAATAGTTTTTATCCATCACCTTGTGTTGGGGTCCATTGTGGCTGCTTCCTTGTAACAGCGAGTTTTTATTAGTGATAATGTAGGGAATCTTAAGTAAGTTTAATTGTATAATGTTCGCTATAATTTTACTGATTATGAAATAAGTGAGCCAGTGACTAGAGTGCTGGGTTGTGTTAAATCTAATTTTTTGGTATTTGATCCTAATATTTGTAAGCGTACTCTTAGTGTAATTTAAGGCTTTTTCTAAACGTTTTTATGTAATTTAAATTTATAGTAATATTCGTTTTACTTGTTTGTTTTTATTTATATATTTTTTCTTTCTTATCGCGTTTTCTAGTATTGTTCATATTTTTCTTGACGTTTTCTAGTATTGTTCATACTTTTAAACTTGAGTTTGGTGGTTGAACATCTCAGTTTTTTTATTTTCTTTTATTTGCGCTCATCATTTTATTTTAATTGCCTTTCTTCTCCTCCATCTATTTAACCTACATCATCCACTCCTTTCCCCTCCCTTCCTCGTAATTTCTATTGCGCTTGTTTGCTTTAACTGATAGTTGCTTAGTTGCAACTAAATAATGTTTTTTTTTTGGCGCCTTTTAGCAATATGCTGAATGTTTGATCTAAGCAACAGTTGTTCGATATTATGTTCGTTTTTATAATACGAGACAGCTTGAAACAACGAATTTTTTATTATAATTTATAAAAGAAATTTTTTATTATAAAATTTAGAATTATTTATACATAAAAGCATTTTATAATAATTATAAAGTGTTACAACAATAATTATTAAATTATATAATTATATAATATAAGCGGGTAGAAAATATGCAGAAAAATGTCAATCAAAGCAAAGTAAGTGATTTTTATAGAAAAGTTAAGCAAGAAAAAAGGGGATAATAAGAGAAAAGGGATAAAAATAAAAACGGAGTGATACTTACAGAAGAAAGAAATAGATAGATGGCAAAAATTTTTTTTTATTCCTGTTTCGCTCCTGGGAGGAGCACAGGACTGACGCACGATATTGTAGACAAACATGAACACAAGTTTTTTACATCATTGAGTTTTACTAGATAGGTGACGAGAGATAACAAGAATACTTTTATTAATTCTACAACGTGAATGCTGGCGAAAATGATATACGTTTGAACGACGAACATAACAGAAAAGAAAATAAGGTAGTAGAGAGGCCAATATATGATGAAATTGAAGGAGCAATAAGTAAATTGAATGATAGAAAGGCAAGAGAAGAAGATAACATTGCAGCAGAAATGATTAACGCAGGGAAAATCGTTTGTGTAGAATATACATGAGCTTGTTTCAAAAATTTGAAACACCAAATAAATACTGAGTATTTGGAGAACTAGAGCAATTATACCTGTACATAAAAAAGGTAGTAAAAGCGATTGCGAAAATTACAGGAGTATAACCCCGATAAACGTTGCGTACAAGATTTTATCCGCTCTTATTGTGAAAAGTCTAAAACTCTAAAAGTTTACTCTGAAAGGATAATATCATATTATCAGTGTGGTTTTCAGCAAACATGTGACCAAATTTTTTGTTTAAAGCAAACAATGGAGAATTGTGCTGAATATGGGAGAGACCTACATATGGTATTTGTAAATTTCAAACAGGCTTTTGATTCAATTAAAAGAGTGAAAACTAGAAGTGTTTTCAATGACTTGACTATATCTAAGCAAATCATAAATTGCATAGAAATGACTCTCAAGAATACAAAGGCGAAAGTCTCTCTTGGAATCACCTGCACAAACTATTTCGAAATTCAAAACAATGTCGTGTATTCTAGATTAAAAAATGCAAAACTTTGTGCTCACATAGGATTCCAAAATATGCGGAAAAAACTCGAAAACGTGTTATTGCAAAAATAAAATACAAACTAAAATTTTTAAAAAATTATTTACAAAGAATATAATGTAACGATATATAAAATATGAAAAAAAAAAATACGAATTAGTAAGAAATATAAAGAAAACGAATTCAATAATAATTTATAAAATAAATAATTAACATTATGTATTAAAATTAAAAAGAAACTAAGTTCAATATCATTTAAATAAAAAGCAAAAATCAAAAGAATTAAAGAACAAACAAAAAAAGAAAACAATAGTTCATTTCAATATAAGCGTAAAAATTATTTAAAAAAAATTAAAAACCAATTTTACTAAATTCTTTACATCAATGAAACTCAACTTTTTTAGCCAAACTTTTATCTTTCTAAGGAAAACTGACAGTGACCCGATAGTTCTTATGTCAGATGGTAATCTAATAATAATCCTAGGAGCTAACAAAATATAAAAATATGGAGAATGGGAAATTTTATACTGAGGAATAACAACAAGACGCCATGCATAAAGGTGGATTCACTGATTCTGATAAATTTTATATGAAAATTTAAACTTTTGACATTCTCCTTATTTTTATTGTCTTTTAAGATATATTTTTTTATTTTTTAATGTTTTGTTATATTGAAATAACACATTACCAAAAACAAAAATTATAAGGACTACAGATTTTTTTGATTACTTTGTTTAAAAGCATCGTAAATGGAAATAAAAGACGTTATGCGAATTAATAAATTTAAGAAAATAAAACGTCGTAATTCAAATCGTCGTATATTAGGTTTGTCGCCAACAAAATCTAACTTAAAATAATAAATTTAAGAAAATAAAACGTCGTAATTCAAATCGTCGTATATTAGGTTTGTCGCCAACAAAATCTAACTTAAAATATTTTTCACTTTTACCAAAACGAGAAATTAAATAATAATATAGTCTACATTTCAATTGGATTTTTGCGTTTTTTTCTCAAATTATCGACTGAACGTCTCACTTTCAAAAACAAAGTAAATAAATTTTGTATGCATTTTAAAAAAAAAACTAGATACGCAATGCCAAATAATTCTTCTCACTCGAAAATTACATTATACAAATATATGAAAGTTACTCACTTTCTTATCACTTTCCGTATAAAATAGCAAGATAGATGATCAGACCCTATATATCCATGTGCTATTAGATTCATAGAATGGAGTAATTTTTATTATTTTCCGTCAGACTAAGACTGATAACAATTAACAGAAAAAAATAAAGTTTGACGTCAAACATTGTTGTTAGCTTTTTCATGGAGTTACACAACTTTTTAAATTTTTGACAAGTCGTATTAATCTTAATATATTTTGGCGTTATAACTCAGTTATTTATGAGCCAATATATTTTAATATAAACCTTGGGGCTTATTATTTATTAAATTTAAATGATTTTTTTAATATTTTCGTCTCAAAAGGAAACCCAATACATTGTCGGTGGCAAGTATTTAACATATAAAGAAAATGATTCGGCAGAAAGCGTCAGTATTTCGTTTACTTCAAGTTATCACTTTCTGTTCATAATGGACAACTCGCATTTTTTTGGGTTTAACAAAAATAATATTATTTGTATTATTTTTATAATACAAATATGGAGTAATTTTATATAATAATATAAAAATTAATTTACTTTTTGAGAAAGATTGGGTTTATGTTTACAATTCAAAATTGGAAATGCAGTTACAATCCGTTTTTCTCACTATAATGCACAAAGAAGTCCGTTTTATTTGGTAAATCTGCGAAAGTTCTATCAAATTCATTTCTGAAATTATGATAAAGGAAAAAATTGAAGTAATATTTAGGCTAATTTCCTTTTGTTATTTGCAGCTCAAATCTACTTAGTAGGTTCAGTAAAAGAATATGAATAAATAATTTAATTTTGGGCTTAATAATTTTAAAGCCACATCAATCCAAAAAAGAAAGCTTGTCAGTTAAATTATACTTGGGATTATAGAAGACCATATATAATATATTACATGTCTATCACCTAATATTTTTCGTACATTGTTTTCACTTGTATTAAAATCTTATTTTATTTAAGCAAAACTATTTTAGGCTTGTTTTTGATTAAAAAGCGTTAATATTATATTAAAATATCGTTGTTTACAATATTAATTGTTTACCTAAATACTATGTACCTTCGTATACATACATATGTATGTTATATTTAAAAAAAATATTTGATATATATAAAGTTTTAGTTTTACTTTGACATATTACCCATTATAAGTATAAAATTTTAGTAGCACTCAACTATAACATGTTAACGACCGAAGAAGGCTAATTATCAATTAATTCATTACTAATTTTGATTGAATTTATGCAAAACAAACCAATTTTTAGTTGTTTTGCATAAATAAATAAATTCAATTAACTCATTTTGCGTAAATTTCGTTGATTTTCTCATCAAAGAAGCATATGTGTCAATAAAATTTTGCGCATATTTATAAAAAATGTAAACCCACTATTTCATAGAAAACAATATTTAATAAACAATACAATCCGCCATGTTAGTTTTAAAATATAATAACGACATTGATCTCACTCTTTCTTATAAGAGAAAATGTTGTAAACGTCAATAAATTTTTTTTTCATATCTAGTATTCGGTGGAAAATTTTTAATGCGTTAAGTTATTCGGACGTGTTTACCTTCTAAAAAATTAAAAAAAAAAATGGCTAAATGTAATTAAAAATAAATCTTTGGATTTTGTGAATTTATCTTGCACATTTGTGTCATTTTAGAAACAGAAAAAATAGTTTTTATTTTCTCAATAACAGCTACAACTATTTTTCTATATTTAATTTTTATATTAAAATTGTGTTATGACGCGTAGAGCAGGTGTTGTCATAAATGTTTTGTATCCATTTAGGTTTTTGGTGGCGAAAATTTAATTGGGTATACAATACGTATATTGTCAAAAAAAGTGGAATATTTATATATGTGTATGTATGTATATGTAATTAGGAAAAGGAAAAAAACAAAAAATGAAAATTTTTATAAGCGTATTGTATTAAAAAATGTGTATAATATAGAAAAAAAATAAGATGTGTACATAAATATAAATTATTTATTTAGTTACAAAAAATTAAAATTTATATTATAATTTTTATTCGAGGCCATAAAATATATATCTCAGCTGTGATTTGTTTAGAAAAAATTATTTTATACTTTATATACATTAATTGCATACACACATATTTATATAATTAATTGTTCCAATGTTAAATAAAAAAATTAAAGCTCTGGCCTATAAAAGTTTAAATTGATCCATTGTTCCAAGTGAAATAATTCAATGCAAAGCATTAAAAGGTTATGAAAGTTATTTAAAAATGAAAATGAAAGTTGGTAATGATTCTAAAAATCAAATTTTTTGTACAAAACGGTATAATGGCAACATGAAATATTTTTAAATAAATTTAAAAAAGTGAAAGTTATAATGAATTTACTTAAAAAGGGTTCTTTTAATAGATGGTTCATGCAGTAGAATATGAGTCTAATTTTATACAAATGCCAGGTAAAATTATAAAATCGAAATCGAATAAATAAACTTGAATTAAAAGTTTATTAAAATATTTTTAGATCAATTTTAACAAAAAGTCACGTTGCATTATTACTAAATTAATGGCTGAAAAAATTAGGTCATTTAATTTTTCAAAATTTTTCTCTACATGGTGAACATCTTTACGTGTGTACATAGGTGCACTTTGGTAAATTGTGTTTAAATTCAAGACCAGTTGGATAATTAAACTCAAAATTACAATTTAAGTAAATCCATTTTGAACCCTCAATAGTGCCCAGATAATTGCAAACATATAAGTACTTAATAGGTATAGCTATTTTAAAAAAACTGCGATATATGTAGGTAGGTACCTTTCACTAAATACGCACCTAAATAAAATTCAATAATTTATTTAAATATATTAATATTTCATTCGTTACTTGTTTAAACAAATAAAAGCTCGTAAAAAAATAATTTGCAGCATCATACATAGGTGCAAACCACTATGCTTATCCGCTTAGTCGTAAATGATAAATTTAATAGAAATGGCAAATATGTAAATTTTTTTTGGAATTTCTGAATTTTATTTCTTAATTATATGAGTGCTCATAATATTTTTCGTTGTGCGACGCTACAATATTTAAGCTTTATTTCTAGAGCTGAATCTCTTATTCTTATATGGTCGAGCTACAATATTGAAGCTCTATTTTTAAAGTTGAATCTCTTATTCTTATATGGCTCGAAATTTAAATGAAGATGAAAAAATGTCACATAGGATGGAACTTGTCGCCTTAAAACTTTTCTACGACACTCTTCCTGCGCAGTAAGAGCATTTCTCATCGATAAAATGCATACCCGCAAGGGTACCTACTCCTCGATTGAATAAAACATATTTATTTAAGTAGTACTATTTCAATCTTATGAGTTCTTATGAGAAATTATACCTTATATTCCTTTGTTCAATAGTGGGAAAATATTGCTTTGGCCGCATTTATATCATTGAAACTTTTCACTCAGGTGAAAATTCGACTCAAGCCTTTACTTGCATTTCCTTTAAAAAGAATTTTTTATAATTAAGTATTTTGCAGGTGTAAAAATGACTTACATAAATCGTGACTTTGGCTGCAAAAAGACACGCGGGCTATGAAAGTTATGTATAGCACAGTTGTAGAGGATGATTTATTTCATCGAGAAAAAAATAGCTGACTTATTTGATATTTTCAAATTTTTAGTTTTCAAATCCAAAATATTGTGTTTGAACACTTATTACTTGAAAGATGTTTGTGTCTGACATCAATCATCAGTATACTGTTATATAGGTCTATCAGTTAACAGCAAAGTTTCCAATCGCAACTTTGCTTTAACTTCAACCGGATCCAAGCTATAATGTATGTTCTGCGAACAGAATTTTTTCAATCTAATTCTTTTTAGGAATGAAACACCAACTCCAATGAATTACCTTCCGAGAACCTTAACACTAGGACCAGTCACCCTATATATATTGAAGTCTATTTTTACCTGGCCACCCTATATATTGAACTATATCTAGCTTTTATAGGCAGTTGAAAAACGGAGCAATATTTCACTTATATTTCAAATCTTAGTATCTTCTCTTAATCATTAAATTATTTTTTCTTTTCATATTTTTTTGTTTTATAATATAACCGAAAATAATACACTTTTGTTTTACGTTTCTATATCTAGCAATAATTTTTTTTCACAATTCTATTGAAAAGCCGTAATAAGCCGACTATTACGGCTGAACATAAGAAAAAAAAGTTTTTTTTTATACTTAATATATGTATGTATTTACGCATATACATAAATCATTTTACTTATGTGTAAAAAACATTAAAAAAATATTTATATTATTAAAATGCAATAATCCAAGATTTAAAAAATATTCGCTACGTTATGTCAATAATATAACAATATTAAACTCCGTAAAGTGCCGAGCATTAGGGTCCTTAAATTTATTAATTTTTCTTTCGCTTTGAAAAGTTAAGCTTCAACTTGTAGATCTTCAATAAAGATTGTAGACTGTAAACGCGGGGTAACAATGCACTGCGACCACGTAAAGAATCTATTGTGCCCCCACCCTTGGGTTCGAGGCGTGGCTCTACAGCACCCGCTCGAGATTCGCCACCCTGATGTACTCGAGCAATTTATGGGGCGCGGAGAACCCTAACTGCGCCGGCGTTATGGTAAAGTCCCAAATATTTGTCAGAAGGTGTACTGATGTCTCCCTATCTTCCTCACAGAACCTGCAAGTATCTTCGCTTTCCCGGCCCAGCCCGCTGAGGTGCCCCTAAGCCAGCGAATCTGCTTCCTCATTACTCCTCATTGAGTTTTTCGAGACAGCCCATACTGCCGCGGAGGATACTGAAAACGAATTCAGCGCTCCGATGGCAGCCAAGCTATCCGACAGAATCACTATCCGAATATGTCCTATACCCGATACCTTCTCTCAAGGCTGAATTACGCGCACATCAATGGCGTGCATTTCGGCCTGAAACACGCTCGGAAACGTTCCCATAGGTTTGAAAAATTCGGTTCTTTTCCCATGCAGGTCGTTAACCCATCAGTGTACCACCTGATAGTGTGGGACACCACCAGGTGGCTCAATAATCCGGGATCCCAACTCGTTCTGTTACCAAACAATAGGGTAAACATTTTCTCGAAGTTGAATCTCCTTACCATATCATCCCTAGGAAGCGCCAGGAGCGGAACCTCCCTGAGAAAACGATCTCGATCTCCTGCACAATCACATCAACTCCATTCCTTCTCAATCTCAGAATGGCAGAATTCGCTGCCCTTTCAACAACGAGGTGCAGGGGAGTCAGTCCTAAAATCACCTCTATTGCCGCGATTGGGCACGTTCTCATAGCCCCTGTGATGCAGATGCATTGCGAGTCTCTGCAATCGTTCCAGATTTTTTCTAGCCGTACTAAGAGCTACCCTTCTTGCCCATGCTACTGCTCCATATGTCATGAGCGGCCCGACTATCATGGTATACATCCACCACATGATAGACGGGAATGGCCCTGCACACTATAAAGGCTTGGGTAGCCCGCACACCTACAGCCTTGTTATTACTTCACCAAGGAAACTTGAAATGAAATATCACCCTCGGATTTCCTTTCAACAACCGCCCCATTCACACGAATTTTGTGCAGGTATTCTAGCCTCCTTCTTCTGGTGAATGGCACCCGAATCGTCTTGCTAGGGTTAAGTTTAAGCTTTAACTAAACAAGTTAAGTAAGTTTTTTCAGCAAGCATAGATTACAAGACTTTTGACACAATTAATAAATAAAATCTTAGAAAATTAATACAGTGCTTACAGTGGAAACGAACTTTTTATGTCCCACAGAAACTGAAAAATTAAATCAAAATCATTTGAAAAGCGCTATGGACCCGAAAATTTCCTTAATTAAAAAAATAACTTTAAAAATTTAAGATTTTAAAGTTATTTTTTTTAATTTACTTGCTAGGATTTTTTTAAAATAATTTAGATAATTGAGAATAATGTTTTTTAGAAAATTATTTAATCAAAATAAGTATATTTTAATTTATGATTTTTCGATTAAAGATGAAAAGAAAAAGTGTTCCTAATATTCCTAATATTTTTTTGTGTTCCTAATACTGACAATGTAATATCATATGCTGTAATCTATATTTCATTTATGAATAATGGTTTTAAAGGGTTAAAATGATAATATTCAATAAAAATGGAATAATAATTTAGATATCTACGGATATTTTATCTTGTTAAAAAAAAAATTAAAAATGGATCAAATTATAATTCAAACAAAAACAAAATCATATATTTTATACACAAAACATGTCAAATTCAGCTGACTTGAATTTATTATTGCTATAAAATGTCACTTTTACTAGTAGTCTTAATATGCAACAATAAATAAAAATTTTTAAAAGATATGTATTTATGGTAATCCAATTTGAAATAACATAATTTTTTATAAAGTATTATAAGTAATATTTGCTACAAATGTATTTTTATAAATCATACTTAAAATACGATGTAGCATATCACAAGAAAGTATAAGACCTTATATCAATTGCCTTCTGTCCATTCAAAAGTTGCTGGATACTTTACTGCTTCTTGTTTTAATTAGGGCTATTTATACATGCTTCATAATAAGAGCAACCCATTCTTATTTTTTTGAAAAACTTTTTGGGATATTAAAAAGGACCACTTTCTCAATTTAGAGAGAACCATTTCCGTTGTGATATCTGTTACGACGTGAACGATTAGAGTAATTTTAAAGGACTTTTTTAAAATATTTTTTAGAGTAATTTTAAAGGCGAATCAAGATAAAAAGGTCGTGGTCAGAAATAAGTTTTCAGAAATATAATCAATTTTCGTTCGACAGAAATCGTTTAAATAATTTTTAACTATAGAGAAAGTATTTTAATTAATTAAAATGAATATCAAAATCAAAACTTTGTACTGACATAATTTTGTACATAATACTGACTCTTTTTAGAACCCTTTTAAAGCTAAAATACTCAGAAACTGTAATGAATTCTTAGTGTCAGAATGCGGACATTAGAAAGAAAATTCAAATTCGATTTTAATTAAATAAATACGAAAATAAAAACCTAAATATTTTAAATATGACGACATTTATAAATATACGGGTTTTTGACGTATTACTGACACATATGCCAGAAATAGAAGCAGGGTCGAATTTTAAATGTTCCTAATACTGAAAGAAATAATTGTTTCTTATTCATTTAACGTTTTTACTCCGAATAACTTATAAAATAAGCAAAAAACTCTATTACGAATATCCGTAGTACGATTTTAGTAATTCAGAATTGAAAAATTCCGAATTACTAAAATAATATGTAATTCGTAATTTTCCGAGTTTCGGAGCTACGAACGAAATTCATGATAGGACTGTGTATTATAAGTAACTGATTTAGCGTTAATAAAAGGCAAATGAAAAATAAGTATAAAAAATGAGAAAAATAGAACCGACCATGGCGGTTCTGTGATACATATATAAATGTTTTTCAAAAGCTATTTGATATTTTAACAAAAAATCTCAATACTATCATTTTTCAGACCAAAATATAACTTCTGTTATTAAACGTGGTTGTTTTTGTTTTGCGTAAGTATATTGTAACTTATATAGGTTAATGCAAACTTTCCAAATTTCGTAAAACGTGCAGACGTAAAACAAAATCGAAAAATTTGGAAAAAAAAATTTATTACATATAGAACATGATGTGTACTATGTATTCATTATTACATTAAAATTGTCAGCAGCATTTGATTTTTAAAAAAAATTACATTTGGCTTTTTCGTATTTCAAATAAAAAAAGTAATTTCCTAATAACTCATCAGAATTTCATAATTTATCGAAATAAGAGAAAAAATTAAAATTAATGGATGTAAATCAGAAAAAACTCCTTAAACAGAACATTTTAGATGTAAACAAAAAAAAGTCGTAAAACGAAAAGTCATTAAAAAAAATCCTGATTAGGTCGTTTTGATTAAATTCGAATTAAGTAGGGTTCTTACGGTAAAAGCTATTTTTAATTCTCTTAACGGACAGACTGAATCAACTCAGAATTCGACTCTCATCAAAAACATATATATGTATGTATATATACTTCTCTATATCTCAGACGACCTTTTCTTAGCGTCCCAAACGGAATAGTAAATTTATAACACTTTTCCTACATTTATTCATATGGATATAATATCAATTAACAAAATAACTCTCATTAACTGAATATAAATTAAATTTGCAAGTAAGCATTTGTTAAATTAATGTAATTTGACTTGTGCTTTATGTATGTCTCATTTTTTCTTTACAGGAAGTTTTTTTTAATATACCATAACAATAAAACATTCAATGGCAGCGACTAGCGCAGGTTCAACTACCGATCAACATAAGCAATTTATGCAACGACAACGGCAAGAGATAACTGCAAAGAACTGTTTTAAAAATTTAATTAGTACTCAATCTTTATCAGTAGCAACTGAAGTGGCTGCTGGTATAATGGCGCCGACATCTACTTCCCAAACCATAAATAATGGAACCCCCACTTTAGTTTTAGAATCTCAACAACAACTGCGATTACAAGAACATATTTCTCAACAATCACAACAACAGCAACACATTCAATATCAACAAATTCCATCAAATACTGTTGTGCTGCAACAAAATCAATTAATGCACCAACAATTACAATTACAACAACAGCGACAGCAACAAAATGTACAAGAACAGTTACAGCTTAGTGTACAAGTCCAACAAATTCAACAGCAACAGCATTTGCAGCAACTACAACCACAGCAACAGCAATTGCAACCACATCAACCAAAACAGCAGCAAACACAACAAAAACAGCAAGAAGCACAGCATCTTTTGTATCTGGAACAACAGCGACATCAACAGGAACAACAACAACAACAAGAACAACAAAATCAAGAGAGACAACAACAACAACACCAACGACAACATCCGCAGCATCAGCAACAACAGGAGCAACAACAATACCAGCAAACGCAACAACAACAACAACAGCAAACACAGCAACAACAACAACAACGTAAACATCAACAACAACTGCAACAACAACATCAATTATTTCCGCGGGCCGGAAATATAATGAATATTCATCAACAACAAATAAATCAATCAGAGCAGATTCGCATAATAGAGAACAATAATGTGTCTTCAAACGTTTGCTCAATAAATTCGATTTTAACAAATAATGTTGCAATAAAACAAATTTCTTCTTCAAATAATACTTTGGTCTCTGATTCATTGCCAATAGTGGTAACTAGCGCCATGGCTGGTCCAAAAACACATAATCAATTTAGTGCAGATATACCACAGCAGCAGCAAAATTCACAGAGTTTACTAAACCAATTGAATTCAATTATACCAAAACAGCAACAACAGCAAATCATAAGTAATTTATCAGCAAATTTAGCGCCAGGTTGGAGGCGGTTAATATCGAGCGCAGAAGTTGTTTATGTCAGGTAATTTATATATAATTTAACGTAAGGAATTTTGGCTGTCTGATGATTCAGTTCTTAGGTTTGTAACCGAAACAGAATAACAAAAAAAAATAAACCGACAGATCTGCGTAGGTTTTTTTTCAATTTTTATTTTTTTGAAACATCATATCCATTTCCATCATGGCACTTAAAATGATTCGTTATTCATTTATGTGGCGACCGCAGGTGGCGCTCAATGTTCTATTTACATGTTCCATTAACTTTCGCGCTAATAGCGTAAGAATTTTCAGCGTAGGTTAGCAGAAAAGAGCAAAAAGACAAAAATTTTTCTTCTTGATTTTTTTATAAGAAAATCTGTATTGCAATAAATCGATGAATATAATTTATATACACAGTTGGAATAAAATATCGTCAATAAACTGATGATGGTATGACATTATGTTGCATATTTAGTAATAGAAATTCGTTATTTCGATATGATCATTCCAACCTTATGTGTAATACTAAGATTACTGCTCTGGTTAGTATAAGGCCACCGCGTAGAGAGAGCAACTCTTATTTTCCTTTATGGTTTTTAAAAAAATGTATAGAGTTTATATGAAGGAAAAAAATTTTCATCGTTTTAAGACATTTGCATCTAAAAAAATTTTAAAAGATTTTTATATAAATAAATTTTGGAGTTTTATTTTGATTTTTGCAAAACAAAATTGCCAAAAGAGGAAAGTTTCCATTGAAAATAAATTTTCTTAAAAGTACGCTTTCTAAAATTTATAGAAATTCAACCAATACAGACCTTCCTCATTGCCATTTAGGCAATGAGGAAGGTCTGTATTGGTTGAATTTCTATCAAGGTTAGTGAGATGAATCACGAAAAAAAATCAAAATAAATTTTACATTGAAAAGTTTTAATAGGTTTCACCAAACTCTAAGCACTTTGAAAATATATTTAGCATTGAAAAGATCTTTATATTTAAGAAAATATTGGGTATTTTAAATGCTAATTGGGTATTATAAATGCTAAAGTTAATACAAAATTTATTTGACAAATTAAAACTGTAAAATCTGCAAAAATATGGTGTTTGTCAAAAAATGAACGTTAGAAAAATATTTTTAACATTTCAATTAGAAGTTTCAGTGAAGAACCTAAAAAGGAGCAATTGCTAATTTCTCTTATAATTACTTCTTCAATAGTTTTTTTTAAACTAAAAAATAATTACAATAACAAATAAATTGGGAAAAAACATTAGATCTATATCGCATTTGACTCGATTGAAGCAGTTCTTATTATGATTTAATATCCTAATCCTAATTTAAAATCTCTATAAGTACTATACATGAATACTAACGCATTTGTACATGATATATACAGTGCATAGCAATTAAATGATGTGACAAAAACTCGAACTGACAGGTTTTTCAATTTCAAAAACAAATCATTCTGGTCAACTATATCGTAAAATTAGTTTTTAAATTTTTACCGGAATTTTTTTCTTCTGATTTAATAGAGTAAACTTATGTCTCTTTAAGTTGAAGTTGTAAGGAACAATACCTGCTCTTCTGTTATGTAACGAATGGGTGTGATCTTAAATTATTCAAAACACTTTCGTTACATTATTTCACCAATAGATATTTGCCATGTACAAGAACATGTCAGTGTCAATGTTAGTTTTTTTTTAAACATTGCGAATGATGTTGTATACGTGACGAGTATATGTTAATAAGCATTCAAGCTTGTTTTTAGCACTTTTCCAAAAAGTTTTTGAAAATAAGTGCTTATTAGTTTCATTCTGTCCGTCCATCTGTCCGTCCGTGGACATGTTTACAAAACTTCTACACCCTTGAAGATAGAAAACTGAAATTTTATGTGTACACTTCGTTCTTTTTTTAGGCGGTAGATGCGTTCCAGGGAAATCCACATATAAAAAAATCGCACAAAAAAAGACACATTTATATGCAAAAAATTGCATAAATTATTTAAAAATAATAAGATTTTTTCATCAAATTTTAATAAATGGCACATATGTATGTTAATAACAAAAACAAAACTTAATATGTAAAAAAAAAACATAAAAAAAACTTCATTTAAAATCATATTAAGAGTGTTTTCGTCATTATTCGCTGTCTGATAATGTGCCCGTTTGTGGATTGGTGCAAGATCACTTTTACATGCTAATGCTTCTTAAGGAACTTCAGTGATTTTTTTTTCTGTGACAAGGTAGTCAGTAATCAAACGCTGTGATGGCTTGACTTTACCGGAAAGTTGAAAAAGTGAATCAGCAAAAAAATTAAATTTTCGAAATTCAAATAAATTTTTTTTCTTGCACAGCATAACTCTAAAACCGCATGGAAAGAGAACGAAGTGTATATAGATCTTTACTAGAAACTTATTTCCGTAGAACAATATTTTTACCTATCTCTCCCCTCTAAAATTTATACCTCCCTAAAAATCTACAAACGGCATTTTTTACCTGTTTATTGAAGTGAAATCATAAAATATCCATCAACCTAAATGGACGGGAGCGCGTATTGCTTGTCAAAATATTCTCATATTCGTACATTTTAAATAAGCGGAATACCACATTCTCATTATATAATATTAAATCTCACAGCAAAGGTGCAACATTCGCACATTAAAATATTTGTAGCAGAATATTTTGAATCTGGTGTTATGGAATATAAGTTATTAAATTCTATTTGTTAATAACAAAATATTTAAAAATATAAAAAATCTCTATTGAGTTCATATGCGTATGAAAAATATTTTAATATAGTTGTATTTTTCAGTCCAACTGGTGCATCCTTCCGAACACATCAACAAATCAAGGACTATTTATTAGCGCCTGGAACTTGCAAATGTGGACTTCCATGTCCACTAAGGCCGGAATATTTTTTCGATTTTAATTCACAGGTAAGCTTTGAAGGTAACATTAACATTTATTTACATGTTTTTGGTTTCTTTCTATTGATATTGTATAAATTTGATGTTTTATAATTTTTTGCCATGCTGCAAAATATACTTTTAATTTATGAGACAAATTGTTTTGATACTATAGTTTGCTTACCATTTGGTATTTATAAATTAATATTTCTTTAGTGAATTATCTTTTCAATTTTATATCTTTTATGTAAAAGAAGCTATTTAAAGTCCTTGGACTCTCACATTTCACAATTTAAACAACTATGAAAAGAGTCGGCCTGGTTAGGTTTATCCTCTCTTGTTATTATACACTTATTCTCCTTGGTTCGTCCACCCCCTTCATCTGGCGGCAATGTTTAATGGGAACACCAACCAGTAATCTCAAATCTAGACGACGAAATGCAACCAGCTCGCTTTTCGCAAAGCGTATACCCCTTGAACTGACGAAACTATTCTCTTTTCCTTCCTATTAAGGTAAAATATAAAGAAACCTTTCCTTTTAAATACGTTTAAAGTAAAAAAACTCAAATTCGTCTCTAAATAATTTGAAGAATAAGAATAAACATATGTATATAATAATCTATCAATAAAAACAGAAAACAATTTTTTATTATCTTTGTTAGGCAAAACATAAAACCATTTCGTGGGAGTATATCTGTTGAAATATATATAACTTCTTAAATTTTTTCTTAAATAAATTTCCAAAATAAACGTAAAAAGAAAATTACTTGTATATTAATTAAAATAAATTCAACAGTTATCAATTAGAAAAAAAATGTAAGTTAAAAAATTTCAACTTAATTTCATAGAATTGGGGATTATTTCGTCAGAGAAAATAAGGTAATTTATTAAAAATGTTTTGAAATATGCATATTAAACTCTGAAACATTGATGTTTAAAATATTTATAGTGCAAGTGTATTTTGTAAAGTGGAAAGTGTATTTTGTATTTTTTCATAAGAAAAAAATTCAATACATGTCAAAACACTGTGAAAGAAAATATAATTTAGCCTTAAAGAAAAAAAATTAGACAGAAGTTGTATCCCAAGTTGTATCCCAAGCAGTTGTTTTTACTTAATTTATTGTTGTGTATTTTCTCTTTCTTCTGTTCAATATGTAAGCAAGTTTCGAATATTAGTGGCAAACAACGTTATATTATATATACATAATATGTATAACGTAAAAGTAATTTCATCTTTATTTATAGATTTTTATTATATCTTTAGGTACCTAATACGTTATCAAAATCACCAGTAGAAAATGGATTGCAATCCTCACGGACATCGTTTTCATCAGCAATGTGTGCGCATCAAAGAAAGCTTTTTGACAACCAAAAAATTCTTTTTCAAAAAGGTAAGTTTCATAAAAGATATGTGTGTACATACAAATTTTAGATAAATTTGTTCGATGCTGATTAATATAATAAGGCTTTAATAAGATCCTTATTCCTTCAGTATGTCAGGAAGAATAATAATAAAGAAGCACTTTATTGCAACATAAAGGTTCATTTGCTCCTTTTGTCGATTTGAGTGCAAGTGTTTCGACTTTATTGTTTTAAATTAAAAATTAAAATCTGTAAATAAAAGGCAATTATATAGTATATATGTATGTAATTGCCTACTTTTTTAAATACGAAGTTAAAAAAAGACAAGATACTATTCTACTTTTTTTTCAAATTATATACTTTAGAAATTTATTGTCGGGAATTCAAGGCAGTTTATTTCATATTATTATCATCATATCATCAATTAAAATTTTACTATTCTTAACTCTTTTTATATTTATTAATATTGTATTCCTGCAATTTTGAATCAAAGGATACCGTTTTTGTTGCACTATATCTAAAAAATTATTTTCCTAAATCCCCTTACTATAATTGTTTGCAAACCAAACCAGCTACTTGATAAAGTGCAAAATGAGTTATATCAGACACATTATTAGAAGAAATTCGTCAAATATTGGGATGAAAACTCTATTTAAATACTGAAAAGTCTGAAGGTAGCACTAATAAGTGTGGACTAATGTACTCATTACCAACCGTATTGTGTATACAATAGGTAGGTTATGTGATGGCAACAAATTTTGCATATCGAGTTTTCGGTGGGAATCTACTTCTCCATAGTAGGGAAGTGTAAGTAAACTATTTTTAGCAACCTGTCGGTCTGTCGGACTGTCAGTCTGTGTGTGCACGCGTGTATCTCAAGTTCGACTGAACCGATTTTGATAAAATTTTATATGTAAGTTTATTTCGACAATGGCACGGATTGATCAATGAACTTTTGGGATATATCGGGCCTCGGGAACTGCACTTTTTAGCGGGTATGTTTTACATTTTTGACCATTTTAAAGAAAATATTCAACCGATTTGCTTGAAATTTCATATATAAGCTTCGCACGACAGTCCGCAAACCTCCTAACTTTTGGAAGAAATCAGGCGTCGGCAACTAGACGTTTACTGCGGGCCAAATATACATTTTCGCGTATAAAAAGAAATAATCAACCGATTTCATTGAAATTTAATATTTAAATTCTTCGTACTAAAGCATTTAACATATAAATTTTTTGGTAAGATCAGGGCTCGAAAACTGATCTGCGGGCCGATTTTACATTTTTCGCCATATCTACGAACGAATTAATAGAATTTCTTGGAATTTGATATTTGAGTTCTGGTTGTTACCAAAACTAACTGGCGAGCATTTCAGGGAAATCGGATAGTGCAAAGCGAAATTCTACTAAGAGCCAAATTTACATTTTTCTAGGTATGTTAACTATAAGCTTACTAATGTCCTAAAAATTGGAAAGAAGTATTTAACAGACATTTTTCTAATATTCTGTAACATTTTCACTTAACTAGACAACATACATTGCGGTCGGTTATGTGCTGATGACATCAAATTTTTTTTTGTTATATTAACAATTTTTCCTCACTCAAGAACAAGAGTTGAACGACTCATTGAGATGTTGTAAATTATATTCCTTTTATCATTGGTTATAAAAAACTTAGTTTTATTAATTGAAGTATAAAAATAAAAAACCTTTTCCAATTTTAGATCCAAACAACAAAAAACGAAAAATGGTTGATATGCCCGCAAACAACAACAGCATCAAGATATCAATTCCATCGGCGCAATGTAGTTCGGTTGCTCTCTACTCAAATGGCAATGTAATGCAAACAAGTCAGCTGGTAACTGGTCAACAACAACAAGAAACAAGACGGTTGCAAATAATGGAGCAACAAGCGACGCAATCGCACCAATCGGTAGGGGAAATTTTGGAGACAAATGACACGTCAAATGATCAGCAAAATAAACAAATAACAAATCAACAACAAGATTCAGTAATAAAAAGTGAAAATACTATCGGTAATAAACAAATTGGCGGTGTAACACTATCAAAAACACCTCCATGGCGAAAAAACTCTGTAGCACAGCAACAAAAGCAAAGATCCCAATCTCAGCAAATTTCAGAAATCGAAAATGTTGCTAGCCAAAATCAAACACTGTATTTGTCGACATCATCTACCACAACTTTAAATACGAACAATGAAAGTGTATCTACTGTATCACAACAAAATTCAACACCACCATGGCACGATAATAGTTTGGCTCTTAAAAATAATTCAACGGCAACAACATTATCTTCCAATAGCAAAAAGAAAGCCCCACCTAATTTCAAAGATGATCCGACAGGGTATATGAACCAACAAACAGCAATATTGCATAATTCTATAATGAATGTTGTACAAAGCTCTGACCTCAATGACGATATTGCATCAGCTTCCTTTCAAAACCGTCAATTGACTCAGGATCTATCTCAAGCAAACAAAGTTGACAAGAATCCAACAATAAACTCTAATAGAGAATCTGTGATGAATAAACAAAATCAAAGTAATGTATATATCAACAGTTCATCCCTACAATCAGAAAATACTATTGACCCATCTAAAACTAATATTTCAACATCAATTTCGCAAAATTTTGTAGAACAAAATAAAAAAACCAGTGGTCAATCAATTGGTACCTCGCAACAAATACGTAAAAACTATTCAGATGATTCGCCTGGTAAAATTATGAGTCAACTAAAGCAAATTGTTAATCACACTGGTCAACAGACTAACTCATCATCAAGTCGCGTATTTAACAAAATGTTAGCTAAAACAGCAGTTGGGAATATTGCAAATCAAAATACAGTTGGAAACCAAATTGTGGCACATTATCCTAGCGTTATGGTTCAAGTTGAACGAAGTTGTAATAATTCTTCTCCAGGACAGCAAAATATAGGAAATAATAATGTTACAAAAATTAATATGATTAATAAAACAAATCAACAAATCATTCAACAAAATTCAGAACAAAGGCAACAACAAACGGTTCAAATTCAGCCAGTGCAACAACTTCAAATCCACAAACAGCAAACTCACATAGGACAATCCCAATCACTTTCTGCAATAAACAATCAATCCAATCACAGTTTTGTTTTAAAACCAACTCAACAAAAAATTTTTAGTACAGGCGGGAAACAAATTATTGAGTATACCGAATATGTTGATGATTTGCAAAAAGTTCAATCTTCTAATGCACAACAAATTATTATTCTGCAATCCTCGCAGGAATCTCCAGTGTCCTCAAGCAGCGCCGGTAAGTATAAGAAATGGAATGGTTTTTCGATAATCATTAGTTTTGACCCTCTTAGGTATTATATCTTCCTTAAATCGGCTTACACCCGATACTAAATTCTCAGTTCCATCATCTTCAATATCACCAGCCCCATCGAACTCGTCGACATCTTCTTCAATATCCACTATAATTGATAAAGGTCCTCCTCAAGTTGGAGCAGTTTCCACGAGTCATGAAAGTCCTCGACATGTCGAATCTCCAGAATTCAGTTTATTACCAAGTAATAAAAGGATATCTTCTGCTAGTTCTAGTCCGATGTCATCGAACCGAGCCTCTTCTTCCCCAACTATAGTACAAATTCAAAAATCTTTTGCACCAACGACTTCAACTGTAAGTAGAAATACTATTACTTCGGTACAAGCAGGAAAAACGCAAACTACCACGACAACTGCAATATCTTCTACAATTAATAAGATTAACGGAGAACAACAGTCCCAAAAGTTATCACCAAGTGGACTAATATCAGCTACATCATTACAATTAAACCAAGCTGTAAATCAAGAACCTGGTAATCAACTAATTATGACATCAACGGGTCAAATTATAGTAATGCCTTCAAGTCCATCTAAACCTCAAAAAAACACAAGCTCAGGTAGTCAAATAATAATTAACAACTCCTTGACAAACGTAACACCAAATGCTGCAGTAAGTGCACCAAGCTTACGGCAACAGAACCTCGTAATAGCCCAAAGCTCTCCCAATGTCATGCAACCACAACAAATCTCTCCACCTTCTCATGCCACAAATAGTACAAGTTTGGTGATTCAGAATTCCAATCTTAGCCAACATTCTCAAAATTTATTACAAAGTCCAAGCAATCTATTAGCTTCACCGTCAAGTCAAACAACAACAAATTTTATAATGAATTCATCACCTCAACAAGTAATTCTCAATAATGGAAACATTATCCATCAATCAACTGGTCAAAATATAATTACATCACAGTCTAATTCAGGTACATCTACAAATTTGATAGCAAACAGTGGAGGAGCAGCTAAAATAATATCTAGTCCGACAGTTTTGACTAGTGCTGGACAAGTTATTTCCAACCCCGCATCAATTATATCTCCAAATAATGCCCCAATTATTGGCCAACAACATCAGCAAGTTGTAGTTAACACATTACCAAGTGGTAGTTACGTCATACAGCACCAACCTAATACAGTTCAACAAGCTGGTTATACAACAATGGATGGGCAAGTAGTTTCAATTCAAGATAATGGAACAGCAACATTTGTACAACAAAGCCAACCTGCTCAACAGCGACATATTATAATAACGTCACCCGATACTTCAAGACGAAAAAGTAAAAAACGAAAAGGAAATTCAACAAACTCTTCTCCAAATACAATTTCCAGTCTATCCCCGCAACAGTCACCTACTACAATTATTCAACAGCCACAAGTTGTACAAATTTCAGCTCCACAGCAATACCCAACTCAGCAATTTCAAATTAGCCCGAGCATTCAACAAATAGTCGTAAATAAACCTGCACAACCAACAACAACTCCACAACAACAAATTTTTATCCAAAATGGACAAATATTACAACCTGTAAATGTAATTGGTCAACAGCTACTAGTGCCAGCTGGAGCGAACCTTTTAGGACAACAGTTATTAGTTCCTGCTGATCCCACAGTTTTACAGATACAGAATATGGGTATGAGTGGCAGTATCATTACAACTCCACAAGGAGTGGTTTTGAGAGCACCCAGTCCACAGAATAAACAGTTTTTATCACCAACTGGGACAGGTCAACAATTTCTGGTTAACAGTAATGGCCAAATGAGTCCTATTAGCCAAATTTACAGTGCTCCAATGAGCTTAATGGTCCCAAATTCAGCAGGAACTACAGCAACATTTGTTCAACAAAGTCCTACAACTTCCATTGTACAGCAGCAACCTCGAGGTGAAATTGATTTACAACCACAACTTACGCAACAGCAACAAACGCCACATCTCCAACAACTTCAATCGCAACAGCAACCGGTTGTGACAAGTCAAATAACTCTAAATCAAAACCAAAATGTGATTGGCATGAACGAACAGCTAAACAGAATTAGTCCACCAGATACAACAACTCATAGCCCAAGAAGTCCTGAACGACCCCCTAGTCAAAAAAGTGGTGGTAGTGATATGGTATTTGAAATCATTATATTTGCTTTTAATACACAATGTTTTAAATATTATTAATTTTACACTATTTTTAGGTTCAATGTGTATCAAGCTCTGAGCCTGATTCAGTCGTTTCACCGTCAAATATTGATAGCTCTCAATCTCCTACACAAGCTGATTGCGATAGAGGTAATTGTGTTATTTTATGTAACTTAACTTAAATATAGCCTTACGACCTTTTTACTTTTAAATTTGATCACAATTATTATGTTATAATATATATCATTTATTTATTTGTACATTACATTGTTTATAAAGTGACACGAACAATTGTAACTCAACTAACATAATAATAAGTACGTAATTATACATATGTACCTAATTTTTCTTTTTATCAAGCGGTAGTAGATTACTTGTGTCTACAAATTAAAAAAGACCAGTAAATTTTTCGAAAACGGATTAAATATGCCAGATGACATTTCTCTGGTATATCACATTTCATTAGGCTGTTTTGGTTGTATCATCTGGTCTCATGTATAGTTTTTTTGGTTTTTCTAATTTTAACAATTTTCTTGATTTAAAAAAATTTAATGAAATGATACAAAGTTAACAATATAAAAGTTTTATCTAGTAACCATGAAATTAAAATTGCCAATTAAGCATTATTGATTGATTGACTGCCTTGATAAGTATAAAGCCACCGCATTAAAAAACTTTCCCGAATTGCTTTAATCGGATCAACTTCGATATGATTCTTTATTAACTAAATACTTTAGATTTTTAAACTTTAGACATTTCTTCATTTCTTCTTCAATATTTTCTTCAATATAAAGATGTTTAGAGAAAAATTTTCTTAGCTTAGAGTTTGGTAAATTTACCCTATGAGAATTTATTTTGATTTTTCTTTCATAATTTAACTAAAAATATTTTTATTATACATATAAAAATATTTTTAGGTATTTTTAGAAGTAAATAGCCTAAAACATAAAAGGGCGGTGATAATTTTTTTTCCTCATATGTATAAACACGCGACATTTTTAAAAAACTATAAAAGAAAAGTGAGAGTTGCACTCTTTACGCGATGGCCTTATACTTACCAGGTCAGTGATTGATTTATAAGTTTTTAGCTTGTAATTATTGTTGTCTCTGAATTCAAAAAAACGACGGCAAGAAATACACAGAAAAACTTGAGAAGAATTTTCTGATAAAAGGTATAACAAACTAACAAGTAATTATTATCACATTTATAAATAAATTTAAATTTTAAAATATAAATTTTAAATCACTTTAAAATTAATTTAAAAAAAGGAAAATAGATCATCTAAAATTTGCCATCTCAAAAAAAAAAATTGGACCATATCAAAAATCGACCAAATTAAGAAATAAAGCAATAAAAATAGTGAAACAGTATCCAGATAGGGAACGGAACATATGTTTACTAAAATACTTAGATCTTTGTAGCTATAAAAAGTCTCAGAGTCTTATTGTTCACACTAGTGTCTGAAATTTGGATGGAAGAAGATAGGAAACGAATAACGGGATTAAAAAAATTATAGAAAGTTCAATTTAACATACTTACTACTGATTTTAGCTTTCTTTATTTTCCAATGACTTCCCGAACTTAGGTAAGGAAGTAAGACAATTTTCGATGATATGAGTTCACAAAAACAATTACCTTAGATTAAACAAGCAAATTTTCTTACCTAAACAGTAAATATGACTGCTAAGGAAAAGTATTACAGAAGGAGTTAGCGTTCACTTTAAGATCTCACCCCAAAACTACAGTGGTCATAAAACGTTAGAATATAAAAAAAATAGTTAGGTTGTTGACACCAAGAAAACACAAAGAAAATAAATAAAAAAAAATCAAAATGATTGTTGTAGTATATGCTTCTTTTTAATTTTTAGTAAAGTAATTAAATTTGTTTGACTAAAATATAAAATAATAAATAAATTGTGGTACTGGATAACTATTTTATATTTCATATTTAAGTTTTTCAAATTTCATATCAATTATTTTTAGCATGTTTAAGATAATTTTTTTAGAACTTAACTTTTAGAAAATAAATCATATAATTTAAATTATAATTGTTTTTTTTTTTTCTTTTATTTTGGAAGGAGTGTCATATCAAAATGCGATTGATAATTATAAACCAAGTGAACCTAAAATGAGACGTGTCAAAACACCGCCTAATTTTAATATTCAAGATATCAAACCAGATTCTCATGGTAAGCTTTAATAAAAAAAAAGTAATTAACAGACTTAACTACTATACTAATAAAGCTATTTGAATATTTATGGTTCGTAACTGTACATTTAAAATTAGATATTTAATTTTTGTTTGCTACCTCTAACTTATTTGCATATTTAACGCTGGTTATGTTGACAAATAAAGATGTATATTTAATTTTGACTTTAATCTGACTTTTGTGGTAATAAATTATAGTTAAATATCATGCGCGATTTATACGTTACAATATTAAAACGTTCTTGTGTTGCAACATTCGAATCAAGCAAAGTTTACACTCTTGCTTGCATATAATGCAAGTTTTATTGACTTTCTTAATTTAAATTGATATTTTGTATATTAAATGTTGAAACAATTGATATGTGTATAATAAAACCTTAGGGAATGAATGATAACCAATTTAAAAAACTACTGCAGATTTTATTTTGGGAGTTTCGATTATTGAGTTTATACTAAAACTTAATTACTTATCAAAATTAAAATAAACTCCCACTTAAAGTTTAAAACTAAAAATTAAAATAAACTCCCACATTTTTTCAAAAACTGTAATAAGAAAAATTGACTCTACAATAATTGAAACGTGCGAGAATTGAAATGGGTCAAAAATTTATAAGGGCAACTTTTGAATATACGTACAATGTTTTGTGTGAGAGATACCTATACTCGTTTGCAATACATTGATGATAAACATTGTTAGCCTTTTAAATGATCCAATGAACCTTTTAATAACAGTAAAACAGGGACAAATGTAAAAACATGCATATGCGATCGGATGAATCGACTCAAAATATGATTTTCAGAAAGAGTTCATAAATGATTTAGCATTCTATCTAGAAAGTGGACTATGATGTTCGAAGTAAGATGTTTCTACGGTATTCTTTCTTTTTGATAAATTAAATATCCGCCTGTAAGGAAAAATGTAATTTGTCAGTAAATTGCAGGTGCTGTCTAAATTGAAATGCGGTCAGCTATGTTATTGTTAATATCTAAATAAGTTTTAATTTCGTTATTTATGCACAGCTCTTGTTGATTGCTTTTGCGTATGGTTTATTTGTACTTTAATTGAGCTTACACTTAAACAGTCATGTCATTTATCATCGCGAGCCATTTTAAGGTATCCCATTGTTTAGGGTCACACAATAAAAAAACTTAAACTACTAAATTATACTCAAATTTTCACTTTAATTGAAAATATAAAACATATAAATAATGCAGTCATACAAAAAAATATGAAATCATTTTTTAAAAAAATTTAATAGCAACGTTTTTCAGTTACTAAATCTTCGAAATTTAGTTGAATTTAATTTACAGTTGTAATTTTCAATATTGATTGAACACGTTGATCTGTTAATCTTGGTCTTTCGGCCGTTTTATTATTTTTTAATATCGAAAACAATTGTTCATGTTTGTGTGCTTCCGAACATGGCAAAAACAGGCTTAATTGATTTATAGGTAAACAATTACAAAATTTAGTAATTTCCACTTCCCTAAATGTTTGTCTTAATACAGATTCGCACAGCATTTCGATTTCAATTGTAAATTTCAACCAAGTGTTGTTTCAATATCAACAGAAAATGGATAAGTAAATACGTTAAATAAATTTTGACATCTATTAAAATCTAAAAATCTTCTTTCGAATTCGGTTTTTAATAATTTATTCTAATTAGAATATTCGGAAAATGTCGAATTTAATTAACTGGTCTACTGTTTACAAATATAAGAAAATTAAACTGGTTAAAATATATGTACTATAAATCAAATAAGTATATATCAATTATATTTTCAAATAAGTATATATCATACATGTTCAAACATATATATAAATCAAATTATGTTTATAAAACAGTCGCTTTCCACTTCTCGAAACTGTGTAAAAATTGTAATGCGGCTCGCGTATAAATATATAAATTTTTTTAAAAGATTTTTTCGATTTAATATACATACATGTCAGTACCTTATCCGATATTTATTAACCCTTATCTTTGAAAATTATCGCACTGAAAGAATTCGAATCTAATCTAAAGTAGTAAATAATTTAATTGAGCTTAAATTAATCATGACAAATTGATGGCAAAGATTAATTTAAAGTTAATTCACAATCAATTTTGATTTAATTGCTAAAAATTAAATCTGAAACTATTTATTTATTATGCACCAACCTTTTAAAATTAAGTTGTTTGATTTAAAAATAATTTAATTCTATTTAAAAAGTGTAATGTAAAGTACCAGTAAATACTTATTCGCAAAGAGAATATTTTTGCATGCTTTTTATTAAATCCATATCATGTGTATGTACAATTTTTGTTTTGTAATTTTAATTTCTAACAATTGGAATTGGCTAATTTTTAAAATTTTTTTATAAAATTATATTATATTTTATTTAGTATTTTAATAGAATTGAATTGTGTGTTTAAAATTTTCATTATTATGAATGGAATAAGACTTGCTTCTATAATTCAAAATCAAAAAAGAAATTTAACAAAAAATCAATAAAAAGTTGAATATAAATGTATATGTATATAATAAATATAGATATGTAAATTATGATCTTTATAAATTAAGATCTTGCTAAACATTAACTGCGTTATTCGAAGATATTAAGCTTTCAACCGGTTCGATTTGCTGAAACGTAGATTTCAAGAACTCTAAATAAAAATTTCAACAATCCTAAATGAAATGGGAAAAATTTAGCTCTAACTTGAATCTTAATATAAAGCATGTTCGATAAATCAAAACTACAGATGTGCAAAATCTTCAAAACTGTACAAGAAGTCCGTTCGAAAACCATAGCTTGTTTAAAATTCAAAGTTTCTTTCAAATGTTTCTTTCACATACTTATTTTGCACTAATATTATTATTTTATTGCAAATTGTAACTATATTAGATATTATATACATATAGATATATATAAGTCTTATTTTATGTAGATTTAATACAAATATACAAATGAATTTTAACGGAGTTAAATTTTTTATTGATTTAATCGGTTAGCATATCAAATAAATGTTTATTGTTACACATTTCAAACATTTACTAAAAGCGATAATCACTAGAATCACTATAAATTTCAGAAAATCAGAATTGTATTGTAATAGTGTAATATTTGTTCATACAAGAATTATAAAAGCAATCGTGTGCACATATTTTTATTGTATTAAGCAAGTTAATTTTTAACAGTAAAAAAAGGATTTTTTACACAACACATTATGAATACCATAAAAAAATTTATTAAGAGTTGGGTTTCGTTTAAATTAGTTTTTAAATAAGTAAGTCTTTTATTGTCATTTGTTCGAGACTATCTGAACCAACTTATGATTCAAAAACGGTATTTTTTAATATAGAGCTTAAAATATCAAGAATAAAAAAAGTAATATTCGAACTAAATATATCAAATAATATTAGTAGCCGCTCCAATTTGCTTTAAAAGTTGAATGGGCCGTTCATGTTGTACTAACTTTTTAATTTTTATTTTTTTTAAACTGTGAAATGGTAATAAATCATATTAAGAAAGAATATCGGAAATTTGTTTATAAAATATAAATTAAGATTGAAATGTGGATTGAGATTACGATAAGGTGATGGTAAACAAAAAGAGCTAAAAAAATATTTAAATTTTTATTTAAACACATAACAGCTTTAATTTTGTTTTTTATTTTATTGTGTGTAAATTTGGTTTATATTAATTAAATGTACCGAAATTTAAAATTTTGCAATATCAATTTGATATTATACTTAGAATAGTTATAATTTTATTATTAATCCCAAAATCATTTTTTATTTAAAGTTCATCATATAACTAAAACCAAAAAAAAATTCATACAAGATGCCTCATCTTAACATTAAATATTTACTGAGCAATTTCATGGAATACAATTACATAAAATATTGTACTATAGTTTACACATACATAATATATATTTTGTGTACATTATACATATATTACTATATGTGCATAATATGAAATAATAATTAAAAAAATGATTTTGTTTTGAATTTTTTTTTTCAATTTTATTAACTACGTTTCAATTAGAATCGCCAACAAAAATATCTGCATCTTCAATATCTTCAGCTACATCACCATCAACAGGGCTTCTGCCTCCAGTACCAAATTCACCAGTAAAACGTACACGTAGAACTGTAAATACCGAACAAGCAAATACAAACAATAACGAACATATTACTAAAAACTCTATTAGAAATAATTTAGTGAATATAAATAACAGAAATTTAAATAATCATAACTTAAATAGTACTTCAAGTAATAACAATGATACAATAACAACACGTTATTCAATTGGTGAATTAGTTTGGGGTGCTGCTAGAGGTTATCCGGGTTGGCCTGGTAAAATTGTAAATTCTCCTGATGGATTATGTACACCATCTGATTCAACTTGGGTACAGTGGTTTGGTGGTCGACCTACAGTTGAACTATGTACAATCAGTTCATTAAAAAGTTTATCTGAAGGTTTCGAGGCACATCATAAAGCCCAAAAGGATACGAGAAAGTGAGAAAATTATAAGAACAATAAACTAGATACCAAATACAATATCTGTATGTATATAGTAACATAACATATTTAAAACATGAATATGACATGTGTTTAATCCACTAATCAAAATACATTTAATAAAAAAACAAAGGAGGGGTTATTGCTAATTATTCTAGATTGCTGCCAAATTTTATTTGAATAGTTTGAAAATTTTTGAAAATTTATACTTAATTTCTTTTTGCAATAGCCTCTCAGACTATGAGTTGACGGAATTATTAACTTTAAGAATAAGTGGAAACTTCTTTATTTTTTTTTTCAAGGAAAAAAGAAAAATGTAAATTCACTTTTTAAAATGAAATTAGTTTATTTAATTATTTTCTGCATCGTCATTTAATTTCTTAGTCAAAATCTTATTGGCCAATTCTAAGGTTTTAAGTTTTATTTGTAGTTTTAGTTTAAAATAGCTGTAATGTTTTTAACAATCGCATCATTAATTTGTTTTATTTTATTGTTTAACTAAATAAATTAAAAGCTTTATTACAATAACAAGAAACATGCCCTCTTTTCGACTTCTATTCCCTGGATAATTCGTGTGAGAGAAGATAATTTAACCTTAAATGAAATGAGATACGGCTTTGTGGCTTTAAAGCTTTTTGTATCCAACCCCGAGTCTTTCTTCTGATCTTGTTTGCTAATAAATTTTGAATAACAATTTGATTAAATTTTTGCCGAAGCTTTTAATTTGACGCGATTGTCTTGGCTAAAAGAGTTTATTTTAGTTTTTAAAATATTGAATGTAATTATATCTACATTTATAATATTTCTTTTTTGCAATGAGGCCGGAGCCTTTTTAAGCAAATAAACAAGTAACTTTAGTTGAACGATGTGAAAAGTCATTTATTTTCGAAATATTTATTTTTATTATTATAATTTAATTTTGGAGAGAAACTTTTTTTTCCCTCATATTTTAATTTTATTCTTACAATGAAAATATAACTAAAGAATAAATTTTTTTATTTTATACAAAAGTGCTACAATATTAAGTAGTAATAAAAAACTGTTCATAAAACATTTTCCTTTATGCTTTGGTTCAATATGAACACGATTTTTGCTACCATCTACAAATTATTATTAACAAAATAGGTGGAAGCGGAGAATTTGATTAAAGTTTATTTTTATTTTGTTTTAATGTTTAATTTTTTTGCTTTCTTTATAGTTTCGATTTCTTCAGATTTTTGTTTAACCTAGATGTTGTAGAAAAGTAAATCAAATAAAGTTTTGACATTATGTAATATTAAAAAATACACAATTCATTCCAAGTATTTAACGATTTTGTCGTTACTCAAGTATTTTAATAAATTTTCTATATTAACATAGATGAATAAAATGCAATAAGAGTAACTATTTTTTCGTATCTTATTAACAGCAGAGGTAACATAATATGTTTCAAGAGGAGTTTACTATATAAATCTTAGTAATATTTTATATGCAAGTTTCTAACCAAATGGTCAAACTAAAATTTAAAATCTGTACTGTACACTAAACTATATTCAACATATTTTTTTCCGAATCCATTTGTCAGGGCTGAGCCTAAGCCCTCACTTCCGAAATTCCAAAAATTGATTTCCTAAAAAATTGTTGATTTCTAAAAAATTTTCATAACTACAATTACCTGCATGATCACGTTTGTTAAGTTTCAAATCAGTACAGTAATTCAATTTTAGTACAAAAGAGTCAAAAGGCCTTGAGAAATCTATTTTTATACCCTGCACTTCGTGAAGGGTATATTAACTTTGGTATGGAGTTTGTAACTACTTGAAGGAGTCATCTGCGGTATGGACATATATATATATTCTTGCTCAGCGTAAAATTCTGCGTCGATTTAGACATGTCCGTCCGTCCGTCCGTCCGTCCGTCCGTCCGTCCGTCCGTCCGTCCGTCCGTCCGTCCGATCGCACGATAACTCAAAAACGAATAGTGCTATCGACACCAAACTTTCACAAGTTGCTTCTTTTGTGCCAAGGACGAACCCTATTGTTATTGGACTAATTCGGACAACGGGTTCGGGTAGCTGCCATACAACTCAAGGAGTTTATTTTAAATATTTCGAAAACTAATAAAGCTATTAATATAAAATGTTGTACACATGTGTCCAATTATATTCTACACATGCTCTAAAAATTATAATGGAATAGCTGCACCGGTTCGGGTGGCTGCCATACAACTCCAACAGCAAATTTTTTATATTTGGCAAAATAATAAAGTCAGATTCGTGAAACTTGGTAGTCATGTGTCCAATTATAGGTCAAATGTATTTCTGAAGTTTTAGAAGAATTGCTTGACAGGTTCGGGTACCTGCCATACAACTCCAGAAGCTAATTTTAAATATTTGGAAAAACAATAAAATGAGATTCATGAAACTTGGCAGTTGTGTGTCCGATTGTAGATCAGATATATTTGTGAAGTTTTAGTGGAATTGCTTGACAGGTTCGGGTACTTGCCATACAACTCCAAAAGCTTATTTTAAATATTTGGAAAAATAATAAAGTCAGATTCATGAAACTTGGCAGTTGTATGTCGAGTTATAGGTCAGATATATTTCTGAAGTTTTGGTGGGATTGCTTGGCAAGTTCGAGTAGCTCCCATACAAGTCTAAAAGTTTATTCTTAATATTTGGAAAAATAATAAAGTCAGATTCATGAGACTTGGCAGTCGTGTGTCCAATTATAGGTCAGACATATTTCTAAAGTTTTGGTGGGATTGCTTGGCAGGTTCGAGTAGCTCCCATACAAGCCTAAAAGCTTATTCTTAATATTTGGAAAAATAATAAAGTCAGATTAATGAAACTTAGCAGTTGTGTGTCCGATTGTAGATCAGATATATTTGTGAGGTTTTAGTGGAATTGCTTGACAGGTTCGGGTACTTGCCATACAACTCCAAAAGCTTATTTTAAATATTTGGAAAAATAATAAAGTCAGATTCATGAAACTTGGCACATGTATGTCGAGTTACAGGTCAGATATATTTCTGAAGTTTTGGTGGAATTGCTTGACAAGTTCGAGTAGATACCATACAAGCCTAAAAGCTTATTCTTAATATTTGGAAAAATAATAAAGTCAGATTCATGAAATTTGGCAGTTGTGTGTCCGATTGTAGATCAGATATATGAAGTTTTGATGGAATTGCTTGACAGGTTCAGGTACTTGCCATACAACTCCTAAAGCTAATTTTAAATATTTGGAAAAATTATAAAGTCAGATTCATGAAACTTGGCAGTCGGATGTCCAATTATAGGTCAGACATATCCGTGAAGTTTCTATAGAATGACTTCACGGGTTCGTGTAATTGCTACATAATAACGAAAGGTGCAGGGTATAATTCAATCGGTTTATACCGACTGAAACGTTTTTACTTGTTGTACTGTAACTTTTGTACCGAAATGCTTTCAAAAATTCTGTTTTTAGAAACCATCGCAGAAGTTTTCGAAAAACTTCCCAAAGTTTTAGTAAGGATGCACAGTACAGATTTTATGTATACATATTATTTGAAATATTCAATTACAAGATAAATTGTAAAAATATATTTCTGCACTATGACTAAATTGTAGCAGTTTGCTTTTTAGTAGCAGTCTTATGGTATGACAGAGAGCAAGGCGCAAATCGTCTTCTAGTCGTTTTTTTTCTCAAAGAAAAATTTGTAATTAATATACTTTGCAACAAAATGTCAAATTTAGGTTTGACTAATTGGAAATATTTTCAACTACAATACTTTCACTACAATTCTACTCAACATACATATTTATACCATTGTCTAAAAGAATTATCTTTAAGCGATAGACATAACGTTGATAACAAATTGTTAAAATAAAAAGTTCTTTAAATACTTTATTTTGATATTGTTACCTTAATTTGCTTTTAGTTAATGAAATATTCAAATTGGTATAAATAGATTAATACAATTTAGATAAATAAGGTAAAAAGTTATATTAAAATATTGCGCTATATTGAAAATAATATAAATAAATTTTGTAATTTTAAATAAAAAAGGTAAGATGACGCTCAGAATTGAAGGAAATTAAAATATTTTATATTATTATTCAATAACTACTAAAATTATAGTTGCAGAAACTAACCATGTAGTTTTTCATATTATTTGTCACCGTTTCTTTTGAGCTTTCGTTTCCCGATTTATGAAACTAGTACGCTACCACCAAGTACCGATTTCAGTGGATATGTATATTTTGTCTCTTATTTTAGATAAACAGTTACAACTGATTGTTTCGAGAAGTTTATTGCAATAAAGCAGTGCTACTAACATGTCGATTGACTGTAAATCTTTCAAAACCAAAAGCCCGAATCTGACAACACTTGAAGAGTAATTGTAAATTAGGAATTCACTTACTTTCAGATTTATTTTCTCATCTTCGATATTATTTGGCATATTGTAAATACATATACATATACAAAATACACTTGCAAATTTTAATGTAGGTTCTTTGCATGTTTTGTTGTGTATCTTAATTATTTCGGACTGATTATATTAAGTATATATTACCTTAAAAAATTGGAAACAGTAAACAACTTTGAAACACCTATTTTGTTAATAACAAAAAAATATTTGAAAATTTATTTAAAAAAATATATATTATGTATATAGTTTTAGAAATTTTGGGAAAACCAAGTGTATTTTATTATTACTAATAATATTGTAGTAAACTTATAGAGGTCATATCTGCAGCTGCATATCTAGTCGTTACAAATTTTTACAAAAAAAAAAATTTACTTAGTAATTTTCTGGTTTTTATTTTAGAAGCCGAAAACTTAATCCTCAATTAGACCGAGCTATTCAAGATGCTCTTGATGAATTAGATTGCATTTCAACAACTAATCAGATGCCATTACCATCAATCAGCCCAAATTCAACTGCAACAGCCAAAAATACAAAACATACGCGTTCAACGAAATGTAGTGTAAATGTTAATTCCGCTCCATCTCAACATCAGCAACATCCACATAACTTGGAACAACAACAAATGCAACAACAAAGCTCTACTGCAAATGCCGTTTATCAAAGAAGTAAACTTATAAAAATTGCCCCAGCGCCAGTACCATCTTCGATTTGCAGTATCGGCCACGCCAGCTTAGCAAATCAACAGTATTCGAATAAAGGATCATCGAAAACATTGTCACAACAAACTGTTCAACACGATCCACAAGCAACTAATACCATGACGAAATGACCTTTGGAGAGTACTCTTTCAACGCTTGTTCAAACAATAGGCATGCGAGCTAATGAAGGGGTCAATTTTAATAATCATAACATTGGATTAACTGGTAACAACAATAACAACTATACCTTTGGGGATAATTCTTCACCATCTTTGTCAAAGTCTTCTGCAAGAAAAACAACTACAGCTGCAATAGCTTCATTTAGCGAATTATTAAAACAACACGCTGCAACTAATGAGCCTACATTGTCTGATGGCATTGGAACAACAGCAAGTACTCTCGTTGCAGCTGGTTCATCAATGCAAACATTTACTCTAGTCATTCGAAATTCTTAAACAAAAAAAAACAGTTTACACTAAAATAAATTTGATGTTCTAAATGTAAAATATCGGGTCGTTTTAAATGTGATGAAAATTAAAAATGCTTATGTGACCTAATGGCAATTGCCAATTTTTTTGAAGACCCAACGCCAATTCCACATAAAGACAAATATCAGTTACATATGATAATATGGTTTGACACAAAATAAGCAACTAATCATTTTGGAAATGTCATCCACTATTGTAGGTAAAAAACGTAATAAGTTGCTACTATTGAATTTTTTAGGATCTAGAAAAAACAAATTACATGCATATATATGTATATTTTTAATATTTATGTCATTTCCTTTTATATATTTTTTTTCAAACTTCAAGGATTTTTTTTGTTTTTATAATAAGAAATATAAAAACTTGTTAAAAATTAAAAATTTTAGAGCTAATATAATGAATAATGATAATTAAATTGTAAATAAGTTTTAAAAATTTATGAAATATGTATATCTATATATTTAAGAATTATATAACGAATTAAGAATTATATAAGAATTATATAGATGTTAAGGGAAAATTTGAAAGCGTACTATTTATTATTTTGTTTACCTTACTTTAAAATTTATTTTAAGACGGTTTAATAATCGAAAGATTTTTTTTGTTTTAAAATGCATCACATACAATATTTGTAAAAAAGTTTTTATTTTATTTCTTTATTTTTTCTTTGATTTCTTAAACATTCAATAAAAAATACGACAATAAACTATTGAATTATAATTGCTTTTTTATTTTATTTGTGCTTCAATTTAATTAATTATTAAATCAAGGTAAAATCAAAAAATATAAAATTCCGGGAGAAGAAGTATTGGGTTTATAGTTCGCTAAAAATAAGAAGTTAAAGTAGATATACTCGTACTTTGAGTAGGTGTACTTGTGTGTACTTGCTCTGAAGTCAAATATTTAACTTTAACACGGGGTTTTTGAAAATACTTATAACTATGAAAATAATAAATTGAATGTAACGTAACGCAGTAAATTTCTTAAAAAGCAAACTTATTCGTAGAATACTTCTAGAAAAAGTTCGAGCATTTTGAGGTACATAGGTTTTTTAACATATATATCTTTCATTACGAATATTTTTCTCTTTGATTTTTGTTTTTAGATAATAAGGTGTGATACTAAGATATATCTTAAATAAGTGCAAATTTTCATAGTGTTAGTAGGTTTGAAAGTTATAAACTAGGCAAATACTTAATGTTCTTAAAAGAGTAGAAAAATAAAAGACAGGGTGAATTCTTTATTCCTCAAAATTCACAAGAAGTATTTTAATCATTTTAAAACATCCATTTTTTGAGTTTACTTTAATTCCCACATTTTTAACTTTTTTTATATTTTTACTCTCGTCATTTTGGAAATAATAACAAACTTTTCTTATAAAAAGAAAACACCTATAGAATTGTTTATACCCAAATAAAAGCAAAATTTATTTTACAAAAGTAACTTAAATTTTAATTCATATAAAAAATTGATTTTTCTTTTATAAAAAGAGTTGCTTTTTTTTAACGTTAAAAAAAAAATTAGAAACTTTTTACTTTGTAAGATGTTGGTGAAAAGTTTTAAAAAACTTTGACATCGAATACTTATTTTCTGTAAAAATGAAATTAGAATTATATGTATGTACCTACAAATATATTGGAAGAGCCGTAAATTTTATTTTAACTATATTTTTGATATTTACATACTTTTGACGATAAATTAAGTAAGCAACTATAGAAAACACTGCTATATATCAAATAAAGGTATGGAACTGGTAACTCTTTTTATTTATTTCCTAATTGATCACTTTTTCATTCAATGTATATTTTCCTCGTTTTATATTTTTTTCTAATAAAATTCGAAATGTGTATTTATTTCGCTTTTATTTTCTCAAAGTATATTCTTTCAAAATATATATGTTAGCAAAGATAATGCTTTTGGGCATATACACAAGTACGTAGCGCCAAGGGAGATATTAAAATCAACCCACTTTCGGTTAAATTGTGTAGCGTAGGAAGTACTTTTAATTTTTTATAAAGCTTATTAAAAAAATTTCATTTTTGAAAATACTTCAACAGTACTAATAAAAATAATTCTGTTGAACAAATGGTCAATATATACATCTCCAAAATTAGTTAATTATACATATATAAAATCTATTCAATTTTTGTAAGCTTTAATATATACGTACATATATGCAACTATTTAACGATTGCATAACAACGGCATTCATTCATACATATATGCATACCTATATCTTCTTTATCAATAATTTTTTAGAATTTCCATAATACACTTAGGTTAGAAAAACTGCACATGTTAAACTTGAACTATCTTGACAAGTTATTATAAATATTAAATACTTAAACTTATTATTATTGAAATATCCTTTTATTAAAATTGTACATACTTTAAAAAATAAATTTTAATTGTTATTTCCTAACATTGAAAATAAGTATTTATAAGATATAATAAATGAAAAAATTTATTATTTACACATAAACGCAATTATAAGCTTATAATTTCCTAAACTGGAAAGCCATTAGGTGTAAAATAAAATAATTTATATTTACATTTCCTACAATTTGTATATATTAGTAAATGGACATTAAATCAAAACAAGTAATGTATATTTGTTGTTTAGTTTTTAACATTTAAATATATAAAAAAAAGTAAAATATTTAAAGCAATTCAATAACATATTGGTTTTACATAATAAGAGTAACAATAATTTATAAAAAGAGAACTAAAAACTTTAAATAAAAAGCTATGAATAATATAAAAAATAATATATTTATCTTTTAATACATTCTAGTGTAAAAAGGGTTTATGAAGTTATGTTTGAATTCATGTAAATTCGCAACATTCAAATATTTACATATGTACATGTGAAACAAATTGTGCAATCAGAAAAGAAACGACAATTAAAAAAATTGGAAAAGATCCGTAATTATTTTTAACGGTATAAAAAGAAGCGATAATAATTTTCCGCTTTTGATTGTGTTGTTAAAAATAGATCGTTGTTCAAATTGTACGTAAGTAGGTGGTTTTGAGGTTGAAAACTTATTAAAAATCTGTACGGATTCTGTCTATACATATTGAACAATTACATAAATTTCTGAAATGGAAGAACATATTATGTAGATTTATCCAATATGAACAAAAATTCAAAAAGTAAAGTTGACATAAAATCTTATTTTTGGTAGTCGCCCTTCGTATACGTTACGTCGTACGGAAAGCGAATTATAAAAAAGCATAAAAGTTATACATAATATATCTGATTAAGGTAAGTTAGGCCATATTTTATACACTTTAAAACGTAAAGTATACAAGAATTTGATCGCTATCTTCAAAATCTTTTCAAAATACCTGGTACCTCTAAAAAATAGTAAAAAAAGTGTTACATTATGATAAACTCGAATCAAAGATGTAAAATAAACATTAATATAATTAGTTCGTTTTTATCACATACTTGCAATTTTTGTTTCTTTAGCTCTTCCTTACACTTCAATCGGCTCAACTTCGATATAATTCATATGATTTCCTCAATTTATGTTTTTCGTTAATATTTTTTTTATTTTGTCGTATATTATAAAAGAAATGAACAATTAGAGGCATATTTAGTTTATAATATTTATAATATTACCTTAATATAGTAATATTAAAACATGTTTTTTAAATTAAAATATGTTTTTCAGCTTCACTTGGTTCTACAACCACATAAATTAGAACCAATTGCAACAACAATTCCGTTTTCTAATTTTAATAAGAAGAAAGAACAAAAGACAAGGGAATGCAAAAGTGGTCAAGGAAAAGCAAATTTTGATAATTTTTTTATATGAAAATGGCTTTATTTTTGAAAAAGGTCGTGGGTTTTGTAGTCTTGAAATATGCTATATTTCGCAATATTTCTTGCTTGAATGGGTGTTTTCAACCATTCCTATGAAATTAAAGTAATATTTCTGTAATTTTCAGTAGTAATATTTGTGTAATATTTATGGAAAAATGGTATTATGGTAATATTTTTAGTAATTTTTCCATTCAATTTATCGACCAAGAACGGACTAAGTGTATGTGAACCTTTTACTTCCCGTACGATCATTTCAATCTCACAATTATTTTATAAATAATCTTCATTAATATTTATAATCTTCATATTCCATGATATTAATAACTTCCATTTAAAATGGAAAGCAATTCTGAAGATTTTTGTGTTGATGACATAAATATGATGGTATTATTGTATTTTATTCATTAAGACCTGAAAATGGTTTTTTATAAAGAAAAATCAAGGACCGCAAATCTAATAAGACTTCTTCAATCTTCAACTTTCTCAAAAAATATGGAAGACGCATTTTAAAGAAAGTGGTTTTGTACTCATTTCAATATGGTCTACGAAATGATTGTAATTAAATTGAAACTATTAGGATTTCCAGAAAATTCTATGGATTAAATAGACTCTTAAGATACTCCTTTGGAGAAAAGATAAAGTTCTTTTTAAAGTTGCCATTGGCAAACGTTGGGCAAAATCTAATGTTTCGCAAGATCATTTATTTCCATAGCTCTTCACTATTGTAGTTATAATGTTTCTTCGCTATTGTGGTTAATGATGTTTTTTTCCCTTTAAATAGCAGTGAAGTCTTAATTTACGCTTATGAAGTGAGAACTTTCAAAAAGATTAGTTTTTTAAAAGAATCAGTTTGTCCTCAAGAAGACTAATAATTCTTATAAGTGTTGTACTTGCAATAACCTATAAGTTAATGTGAATAAATGTGAGCTATTTACAGGATGTTTTAAGATTCGTACTCTGTATAGAATAAAGTGAAACTAATTAAGCCAATCTGACTTTATCATCTTTAACATTTTAAACAGAATCGTCATCAACTTTAATGTAAGCTCTCGTTCACCTGGCTTATTTCTAGTTCTTTTTCATAGAACAAATTATGAGAACTACACTTACTATGCTTACAAGATTATTGATAAATCGTTTTTAATATTATATTAGTGAATATTTCGAATGTATTTATGCAACAAAAAATTACTTAAATAAAATTCTTAATATTCATTGAGTTTTCGTCATAAAACTAAAGTATTTATTATAATAATCATTATTATCGATTATATTTTATACAATGTTCATATAATTTTTCGTTTTTTTTCTGCTTATATTATTATAAACATAATAATTTACATTGTTTTTTAATATGCACGTATTTATTTAAGTCAAACACAACACATAATAATTGTTTTCACTTCATTATTTAAATTTAATTCTATATAGCAAAGTTTTTTTATTATAAAATTCTAAACAAGTTGATATATAAATTCTAAACAAGACATAAAGTTTTGATGATAAGCAATAATGCCAAATTAGTTCGGAAATTAATTTCACTAAAATACATTTATAATTAAATCCCTTTTTATATTTGACATAAATAAGTCAAGAGTAAATTATATTTAAGTAATTTTCTTTAAATTTGTAATTTCTCATTTCACATATGTTATTATTAACACTCTAAATAGAATTTTTGAAATTTAAATTAGTCTCGCAATGATTTAGTAGAAATTACATAATTTATTTTTTGATAAACAAATATAAAATTGAAAAGATTTTTTTTATTTGAAAATAAAAACTAGATTTGTTACCAACTTAACTAAATTTTATTATCAGGCATTAAAATGCATGTATATGTATATATAAAAATATTTTCTTTTTATTATTTCAAAAAAATTTGAATTTTTCCAGTTTATTTCCCTTTACAAATTGTCAACGCAGCAGCATATTCCAAAAGCCTTTCATTTAGACTTAAGACGAAACATGTACATAATATATGAACGAATCTTTATAGTATTAAACTAACTACATACATAAGTTGCATTTGACAAAAATTTTCCTTAAAGTATTTAAGCTAAAACTTTCCTAAAATTGAAATGATATTAATATGATTAAAATAAACAAAAAAAGAACTTAAAAGAAATTTTTAGTTCGAATTAAATTTACATATGTAATTGTAATATACGTTCTTAAACTAAGGAAAACAATCAATTTTCTTCATAATTTTTTTTAATTTCACTCCATGTCAATAATCTGATTTTCAATATCTTTCAATGAACTCAAACTTAAATAAAGTCAAAATAGTGAGTTTTGAAATTCTTTTGACAAAAAATTGCTTAATAATTTAGAGTCTTCAAAATCAAAATTTATTTGAACTTTTGAAATTATGATTTCTTAAATCCAAAATAATTAATTTTAAAATTTAATAATTTGATTTAGTTTAGATATATTTTAAGAATATAACCAAATTCATTAATTTTTTTCTAAACTGAAATGAAAATTTAATCATTCTTTCATATGAATTTTGTATTTAATTTAAAGTTTAAACTAAATGAATTTAAAATATAATAATCGAGTAAATATAATTTGCTAAACATGATTAAAAAAATAAATTTAGTTAAAGAAAAAAAAATCAGATTTTTGTTAACAAAAAAAACGTCCGTAGAACTATTTATGTATGTATATTTTCAAGCGTTTTGGTTTTTTAATTTATAAAAATAAAAATTTAAAGAAACCCTGATTACTGCTTTTTTTGTTTAAGTATATGTATATCTCCCAACACACAGCTAATACAAAAAAAAATAATTTTACGATTTGGCTATTCCTAATCAATTACAAAGTCATACACATTATGGTACATAATCTTTCAAATAAGTAAGACACAAGAGACACATATTCATTTTTTCCTATGACTTCACATTTTTTCGATTGCAACACATTTTCCAGACTTAACTGGCATACGAATATATTAAATAATTTTGTAAAATAAAACTTGAGTAAATATATATACATATATATACAAGCAGTTATGTATATATTATGTATATACAATAAGTATACATACATAGAACAAGATGTATTTTATTGTCCTGATTAAAATAATCTAATTGAGTAAGGTCAAATTTGTTATTTTAAATCATCAGATAATAGCAAATACACAAAAGAAAGTAATTAATTTCCAAAATTATAATTGATATTTCAAACATTAAGACGTCTTTTTATCCTTCCTTGAATTTAAAATTTTGTATTTGTGTAATGAAAATATGTATATTTTTGTGAATAGATTGATTGATATATGTATATGAACGAAAGTATAGTATTCAAATTTTTGAAAATTCTGATGCGGAATTACATACCTACTTCTAAATAAACGTTTGAGTTTAAATATTTCAGAAACATTTTAATTCCTCATATTTTCTCTTGGTGTAATTTTCCTTTTATGTGATTAAAATAAATTAAGCCAGTTCAATAATTATTCATGCTATTTTTTTAGTTTTTTCCGTAAGGTGAAAATAAAAACAATTAAATCACAAAAAATTGTAAATTTTTTTCTAAAATTAAAGACTGAAACTAAATTGCCATTACTTTATTAGATTAGGCCAAATGGCCATTTTTAACAAGAACTTAAATTATAATTTAAGTGAACTAGTCGGAAAAATAATAGATTTAAGAAATTGAAAGTTGAGTAATTAGAATTATTATACCATTCTATTATTTAAAGGATTTGCACTCGTATATTCAATTCTTTTCCATTCTGTATACATATTTTATATTATCTACAGTATTTTGCTATTAAATTTGTGTGATTTTACTTTGTATATCTTTCTACTAAAAATCACGTCTAAGCAGTAATTTTTAAGTGGTATCATAATATATATGTCATTATTGTTTATAATTATTTTAAAGTACATACACAGTATACTATACAATGTTATTATTTATTTTTGTGTGTTTTTTTGTAAGAAATGTCATTTGAAATTAATTAACAATAACCAAATCGTATTGACTCTCATCTAGATAGGCTGTGAGACCTTTCTCTGCTGCTACTGCCTGACAGTAATTTAGCTGCATTTGGGTCACCTACGCGCTGTGATGGAGGCAATTTCTCGAAAAAAGGATGACGTAGTGCTTCGCCTTAAAATAAAATTTAAAATTAGTCATTGCCAATCGCTTAAATATGTAGATGTTTTCTTACTTAATGTTACTCTCTGGCTAGGTTCATACTCTAACATTTTTTTAATAAGATCAAATAATTGTACATGATCTTCACTATCTGATAATAAATATCTACTCAATGGCTTACAATGATCACGCACATAACGTCCAGCCGATGATTTTTCATCCCAATCCAATTTGCCATGATAGAAATATTTTGTTTTTGTTTTTCTGCAAAATAACATTATTTTTAGATTTTGTTATGATACGGAAACGATTTTATAATGTTATATATTGTATTACCGTGCCATACGATACGGTATTTGGCCAAGAATTCTTTCCATCATCGCTAAGTGCTCTCGATTATCATGAGTTTGGAATAAAGTCATTCCCAAGTATAGTTCGAAAAGAATACATCTAGTACCAAATTAAGACATACATAATATTTTTTTTCAGTTTAAGAGACATTATTTACCCAATTGACCAAACATCGCATGGTTGAGACCATCCTAATTCCAGAATAACTTCTGGCGCACGATAGTGACGTGTCGATACAATTGTGCTATGATGTTCATGATCAAACGTTGCACTGCCAAAATCAATTAAACGAACGTCAGTGCTCTTCACACGTCTTACTTCTCGGCTCTTTAATTAACGAGAATTTAAAAATATTTATGAAATAGTACGAGATATGTATTTATTAAACGTTTTACCTTTTTATGATTAAAATGTGTTGTATATTCGGAGTCAACAAATAAAATATTTTCGGGTTTTAAATCTGTATGGGTTAATCTATTATCGTGCAAAAATTTAACCGAATAACAAAGTTGGTAACCCATGTGTCTGACTTGCTCCAATGGATATGGTTCATAATTGTTTTCACGCTAAAACAAAAATTATTTTCAATATAAAAACCCAAAGTTTTGACTTATAATAGATTATATAATTTACCAAAAAATCGAAAACACTAAGCCCAAGCATTTCGAATGCAATACACATATGTCCGTGATAGTCGAACCAGTCAATCATTCTTACACACAAACTGAAAATATAAAAAAATATATGTATGTATTTGAAAAAAATTTGTTATATTCAAACAAAGAATATGTATCGTAAATTTCTTATAAATCATTTTTCTATCGAATTTGATGAAAAATAAAAATCAAAATGAATTCGAACCTAAAAGCTAGAAATAGAACTGAAAAATGAAGACCGTTATTTATGGATCAAACTTCGTAGCCATCATATTATTGTAAATTTTTAACAATAAGAAAAAGTAGTCTCCAAATGCATTTATGAAGAGAAAATATGTTCCAATATTTCATAAACATTATACAGATGTATAGTACAATACAATCAGTGTCAAAAAACATCAGTACAGAAGTTACAAATAAAAAAAAAAAAACTAGATTTTCCTTTTCTTTATACGTTTTAAAAATTATGTATGCATTTTAGCAAGTGAGTTTTTGCTGACGATGTCAATAAATACGCTTTTCTTCTATAAACAATCGAAAAATAAATAAATTTTCTGTTTACTATTGGTTTAAAGAAAGGAGCCGTGATTGGTTTTTAAATGAATTTAAAAAATTAGTTTTCAATGGAATTTGTTTTCATTTTAATTGAAAAATACATATAGTTACGACTAGGAAATTTTTAAATTAAAATACTATTTTACAATTATTAATAAAAAAAAAACTTACTGTTCAGATTTCGGATCCTTTTGTGCAATTTTTTCCAAAGCGTTAATTTCTAGTTTAGCAGCTTCACGATACTTTTCCACATTTTTGATTATTTTCAAAGCCATGCAATGCTCTCTAGGATAAAAAAAAACGTACAAAAAACCAGTTAAAACCAGTTCTACTCTAGTGAAAATCGAATTAATTATAAAACAGTACAAACTTAATTCTAACTAACTTCTAAATATATAATATAATAACTTCATATTTTTTTCTGTAATTTTTAATTACATTACAATTATAAATTTAAATTATTAATTTTTATTTTTACATACAATTTTATTTAAAAAAAAATTTTTTTGCCTGTTAATGGAAAAATAAAAAAAAAATATGTATAAATGTAAAAAATATAAAAAATATTATTTTCCATTTCTTATAATTTAAGTATAAGGTATTTGTTTTGGATTATTTTACTGTCTAACAAGGTAAAAATATTAACAGATGTTTTTTACCTTTCCATATCTTTGACTTTCACAACACGACCGAATGTACCCTCTCCCAGGGTAGCCATAATTTTATCTGCAAATGTAATGGAACGATAGTTAAATTAAAAATGTTTTTGCAAATTTAAATTTTCAAAAAATTACTTAAAATTTCTTTTTATGTAGCCAGAAAATAAACAAATTAAAAAAAAAATTCATAAAAAAAAAAACAAAGAATTTTTTTATTGGTAAGAAAAATCTTGGTTTTTTTTCTGTCATTATTTTCCATTAATTAAATTTTATGTTTATTATTAAATTATTGAAAATTATTTATTTTAAAAGTTTTCATTTAACAATTTATGGTATAAATAGGTACTATATCTCGCAAATTAAATTGATTTGGAGCAAACGACAAGGTTTTTGCGAAAACAAAAAAAAATATTTTATTTGGCTTTATATTATATTGTATTTAATTAAAATAATTTTTTAGGAATCTTATTCATTGCCAATAAGAGACAAGAATCGAGGCTATTTTTCGACTGTGAATTTATATTAAAATTCAAGGATACATATTGATTGCGTATTAAATGTGCAAATGAGGAATTAACAAGTAATAAAGTTCTTAATAAAAATATTATTGAAATACTTAAAATTAATAGGAAATAAGTAACAAATTCTAATTTAAAACCGCAAACATAAAACAAGATTGAGAATGTTTTAAACGAATTAAATTTAAAAACTTAATAAGACTTAGAATGAATTTCAAAAAGCCAAATGTTCCGATATAGTACTTTAAAAGTTCCGCGAGTATTATATAATTAATTAAATGAAAGCTTTCAAATTTGAATATGCACAAAAAAATAATTTTTTAATCATTAATAAATTTAAATATTAATAAATTGAAAAAATCATTTTTCTGAATAAATTTGTGTTCATTCTTTAACTTTAATTATTTTTCTTTAAAAGAAATTTGATTTTTTTTTTTCATTTTGTTAAATCTTAATTAGAAATTTTTGTGAGAAAAAAAATTGTCACGAACATCTATTATGAAGGATGTCACCGGTGTGATATATTAAATGGCCATCAGGATCATCTTGAATGACAGGTTTTGGTTGCTGTTTATCCACATGGTTTTGATGCCATTTATTATTTGATTGATTGACGACCAATAGTTCGCACATTTTATACAATATTCGTTAGTTCGATTTAGATTAACAATTAACCCATTTGTCATATAAAATTTTTATCAGCAAATGTTTTTAAGAGTTTCATACAGATGTATTAATCATATATGTTCGATGTTTTGCCATATTATTTGCCGTATCACACCGGAGGGTTTCCATATAACGTGAGTTTTATCATCATTATCACCACACATCATCATCATTATTGGTTGACACAATCAAAATAGTTTAATCCATCACCATCATTTCACCACGGTTGTTAGATAACATCACACATCATATAAATTCATCATCATCATCATCATAGGAAAAACACGAGAAAAATACGGTATCGTTTTTCGATAAGATAATTAGGTTCGGACAAAATTTTTTAATGTTTTTTTTAGCATAGTTTTAAATTTAAAATTTCAAAAATTTTTTTTTATTGCAACGAATATGCATATGTGTATTAGTAAATAAATTTATTTTTTATTGAAAATATAAAGAAAAATAAATTTACAGATGTAAGTATACATAAAAAAAAAAATTATTGATAAATATTAAAGGCGTATAATAAGGAATTCACGTTTCAAATTCAAATTGATAGCAATTGAAGTAGGTAAATAAAAAATAAATAAAAATATAAAATATCAAAAATTTGTACAGATGAAATTGTAACTTAGTTTTATTTTGTACTCATAATATTCCAAATATTTCTTTTCAAAATTGAAATTTTGAAAAAAAGGAAATTCGCATCTTATGTGTAACTAGTAAAATTAAATTTTCTTACTGTATATTGCAATAAAAAAAAATAAGTATGCTTGTTTATAATATAGTATAAAAGTTTAAGCTATAAAATTTTTTGTTAATTAATATTACGTTAAATAAAAAAAAATTGAGTAATTACCTATTTTTTTTATTTTCTTGTTAAAATCGTTAATTTTTCACAGTAAAACAAAAAAGAAAAAGAGAAAACGAACACAAAACAAAAACGATATTTTTCGACAGTTGGTTTTGTTATTCGGTAGGCAGTTGCAGATTTTGTTAATTCATCCTTTAAATTAAAAAATTATAATCGCAATTTTTAAAAATCTTTCCAAAAAGGTTATTTAATAATTTAAAATTACTAGAAAAATAAAAATGCAAAAAGTAACAAAATGCAAAAAAAACTAATATTTAGTACGTTTCAAACATCTTTGCATTTATATTTGTTAAATGCAGCACAATTACAAAATTTAAAATCAAACCTTAATACTAAACATCTTAAAAAATATGAATGTAAATAAAACAAAAATAAATGAACATTCTCTAATAGAAATTCTTACAAAAGTTGATAGCGTTTTTGGAATGCGTGATCTATTGAACAATGCAGATGCAGATGATGACTTAGCTAAATTATAAGAACCAGATGAACTATTATTTCCTCCTCTTGATGGCATATATTGACTGTTACTATACAAATATGGATTATTGTATTTATTAGAAGTAGATGGCGGTAACAGGGGATAATCTCTATAATAACTGCTCAATCCAGTATTGGATGAAGTTGACTCATAATTATAATAGTTATCAATAGGATGAGCAGCATTAGAAATACCTGCTGCTCCTCTACTATTGTTATTAGTACCATAATAATCATAATAGTCACTTTTATTGTTTCTACTATTATAATTACTTTTACTATTATTTAATAAATCACTGTAAAGGCTGTTATTATAACGGTTATTACTTTTATTTTGTGTTGATGGTAATATGTTACTGTGATTTACTGCGCGACCAGTTGCACGTTCAATTAGTGATAGTGTTGGCGGTGTTTTGTATTTATTATAGCGATTGTAGTTTGTTGTATTATTAATAAGAGAATTTTTACGTGGTATATTTGGATTAGTAACGTTTGATGAAACGAAATCAGATATTGAAGATGTTGTAGGTGATACAAATGAAGAATTTCCAATTCTATTTGAATTTGTTCCAGATGTGGAATTAGAACATGGCGAAGTTAATAGAGACAAGTTATTATTACTAGATTTTAAATTTTTACTAGCACCATTACTACTTGAAACATCTATGCTTTTGGAAATTGAATCATTTTTATCACCACTGTTCGATACTTCAGTTTCATCTGATATTATAGATGTTGTTTCAGTAGCTGCTGTGCTAGTATTATCTGGCATCGTCGAAATATCGACATTGATTTCGCTTGTTTCAGATTCATTTTCATTAATTTCATTAGTTACTTTATTTTTTTTTCCTTTTGTAATTTTATCCTCTCTTATGCTGGAGCTTGTTGAACTAGAGGATGTTGTTGATGTGCTGGAATCTCTTTGGTTTTTTTTTTTGGATTCCTTAGCAGCCAACGATTTGGTAATTTGATCTGAAACCGAATCCAAAACTTTATCATTTACTTGTTCATCATCTTCATTATCATGTCTCTTTGATTTTTTATTTATTCGTTTTTGTTCTTTTAACTTACAATGTTTCTCTTCAAAAGCTTTCGCTGCGGCTTCGTTATTATCTGCTCGTAGAACAGCACAAATTGCTTCAACATCAGCTGATGATCTGTCATCGTCATCAAATAATAATGGATCCATCATGCCTGCTATATTTTGTGTTCTTGAACGTTGGGCTGTACGATTTCTATTAATTTCACCTAAATCATTACCAATTGAATCGTTCTGATTATATCTGTTAGTTCTATGGTCACTATAATCCATATTGCGTCTATAATTTTTCAATTGGCGCCGACGACTTGCATTATTTGTTTCGTAAGAATCATTTGGTTCTGTGTACACCAAATCAGGGTCATAACGAGCTTTAAAAGTATTCTCCTTGCCACCTCGACCTAACTCGCGATCATACATATCTCCCGTATCACCACCAAACTCTCTTACATTATAACGACTAGAAGTACTGGACCCACTAATTGTATCATAAGGATCTCTGTGTCTAGAAATACCACCACCACTATTTGAATTTAAAGTTTCTAAGACTTCATATCCGCGAGCGTATGGATCATATGCCATATTCCTTTGATATGCTGTGCTTCCAGAACTAGCGTAACCACTATCTGATGAATCATAAATCTTATTTTTCGCTTTGACACCTATGCGATAAGGAGTGCGTTCCTTTTTACCACTATTAGTATTATGTGTACCTAGATATGATGTTGTAGCTGATTTGGATAACGGATTAATCACTCCTGTTACATGTTCATCATCGTCCGGTTCAAGTGTTTTGTCATGATCCAGCCTTTGTTCATTACGATGGCGTCGACGTGCAAACCTATCCAAAATATCTGAATATTTTGATTCCAAACGAGAAATTGTTGATTGTGCAACTGGAGTTTTATCTCGATCATCATCCCTTTTCTACAAATTTGTGAATAAGCAAAAAGAGAAAAGTTATTTTTGTATCACATACATGAATTGAGACTTTTAAGATATTTTGTAACAATGTTAATGAATATACGGTATCAAGTAAAAAGCTATCATTCATACATTATGATGCTCCAATAATCCTATCATTTGCCTAGTTTCATTTTATAGTTTTTTCTTCTTTCATGTTTTGATATAAAATAAATTTATTGTAAAACTATGAATAGCTGTTTTTATGTACCAATCTTTGAAGAAAGCGTGAATCAACCAATTCAATGTTTACCTGTTTTTACTGTAAGCACATCAAGCAAATATATACAAAAAAATTTCTTTAAAAGCAAACCTCGAACACGATAATTTATCTGTTTAAAACACGAATTTTTTCTTAATTTTTTTGTTTTGCTATGAAAGTTTTTTTTTGTAAAACAAAAGTCTTTACTATGTGAATACATATAAAAATGAACGATAGAATTTTCGGCATTTTCACAATTGCGAAACAAAAAGCGAATTAAAATTTTAAAATTAAAAATAAATTTTGTGTCAAGTTTCATTAAACTTTTGACTCTGAATGAACATTTTCGTATCTATGTATTTACCTACATGCAAATATGAATAATTATAATACATATATACATGTGTATACCTATATTAAATTGAATACATTAGTTTGAAAAATACTCAGGGGTAATGCTATTTATTCAAAACGGGTTTCGATAAAGTGGAATCAATACTATTCGTCAAGATGACAAAGTAAAGAGTGCCTAAATGAAATTTGATCAAAGAAAATTATTTATAACTTTGCATTCAATTGAACGCACGTACATATACATAACTATGTGCAAATTAATAGCGGTACGCAAAATTTTTTCAAGCTAAATTTTTCAACTTGTTGCAAGACTGAAATATTTTAAGTTTTTTTTTGCTATATTTAAATGAAGTTATTAGTATAAAAACAAAAATGTATACTACTAAACATGTGTGTTTTTAATTAAATCGAAATTTTTTAATCCAGAATTTTTCACCATACTGCTATTATTTTACACGTTACTGTATATACACATTACGTACATATATGAATATATAAGCAAAAATAATATTTCTTTAAAAGTAATTTACTGTCTTTGTATTTTTTCATTCCATTCTACATTCACTTTAAATTTTTTAAATTTTACTTTTTTTTTTAAATTGTTTTTAAGTTTTTTAATATTTGACAATCACAGTGACAAATATTAAATTTTAATGAAAATGCGTAGCAACTTATGAATGACGGAATCTATTTGGATTATGCGTAATATAACCTAACAAAATATTTTACTTGATATCTTATATTATTAACTTTGGAGGAACCGTCGTTTTTGTTAAATATACATACATAATATGTACGAATTACATTTTATGGTTACAAAATTTTTGATTTTTGCCAGATGTTAATACTAACTCTTTCGTTTTCATCTTTTTTTCCAAATGTTCGCATCAACGGCCTGTAGTACGAGCTAACTGGACTTAAATTACTTCTTAAACGATCAAATGCTGTTGGTTTATTTGTAGTTCCAGCTGTAAAACTACCATAACCTCGTCTTAGTTTTGTTGACATATCTTCGTTATTGCTTTCTATTCTCTTTGATTGATTATTATTGTCTTTAGCACCTTTTGTTTTTGTGTTTATTTTAGACGGGCTTGTTTCCAGACTGCGTTTTAATGTAGTAAAAGCATTCGTTTTTTAAAATATTTCAAGTTAATTTTGTGATGATTTTGCCCAATATTTGTTTATTTTTAACAAAAATTAGTTTAAAGAAAAAAAAATATTACACTACTTTAAATAACTATAGTCGAAAATTAAATTCTTTCTTTGATATTAATAAAAAAAAAAAAATTAAATGAAAAAATTAGTTTATTTTTAAAACTTTTTTTTATAAAAATTGAAGAGCGACTGAACTTTTTTTATGCTTCGATTTTCTTTCGCGGAAAATTAATAGCGACAATCTACTCACTTTTTTATTTTTAACAAAATCTTCTTTGTATTTCCAAACTTTCTTATTTAAATTTTACGTTGCGAAAATTTTCAGAAAAGTATTAAAATGAAAAGCTGAATTGAAATAAAAAGCTTTCAAAAAGAAAAAATCATATTTTTTATTAACTCTCGAACGTCGGGTACGGATCACGTTTAACAAAAATTTCGACGCACGTACATATATGTACGTATATTTTTCAATACTTAAAAATTGAACAAAAAATAAAATTGCCAATTTTTTATTTTAAATATTGGTATGTTTGTATATACATATGTGTACGTAAAAATATGTGTCAGTAAGATTTAAAAGTAAACTACGCTCTTAAAATTTATTATGATATTAAATCTGAGAAGAACTTTATCCCAAGCGGTAAATTCAAGCGAAAATTAAACTTCTGAAATGAAAATCAAGCCTTTTACGAAAAGATATTTAGAATCATTTAAAGGTGTAGTTAGCTTAAAGACGCTGAGGTTTGTTGAAAGTGTGTATTATGTATTTAAATATCTTTATCGGATTGGGAGGTTAATTTTAATTTTTTTTTATTAAATTTTCAATTACATATTATGTATATATACATATGTACATATTATGTTCTTATATTGAAAAATGTTTTCCATTTCTATTTAGATTTGTCAATGAACCTTATTGCGTGATCACAAAACCTAGTTTCGATTTTGTTTTTCCTTCTCTTTCATTTCGTTCTTTTCATTCCAACACTTCTATATTTACAATTTAATTGTATATAAACAAAATGTCTACATACATTATGATGTACATGTAATTAAAGAGAAAGTTTTATTTGTGTTTAAATTGAAGAAGTGTTTGTTTTTGTTGAGAAAAGGAAAAATATATTTTTAGAAAAGTATTTATACAAATTTACAGCTTAAAATTTCCATAATTTATTTTAAGAAATTAATTAACGATTCCGTTATACCTTATTTTTGAATTGAATATCCTCATATACTGAGCGACATATATTTAAATAAATTTATAATTAATATAGAATTTAAAGTAGAAAAATTGCATCAAACGGGTGCTGCTCTTAATGGAATGGGAAAATGAAAAGTTTTTTTAAAGTTATCAAATTGGCATTTGCGATTATTTTGCACGAAAGAAATCATTTTAATAAATAGATAGAGAAAAAACTAATAACAAAAAATTAATTGTAAGGTAAAGAATCAAAATTTATTAATAACTAAGGATTTGAATACACCAATTTTCAGCATTAATTTGAATAGCTGCAGTGTAAATAGCTATTTCAAATTTTGCTGAATTTTTAGTACTAACTATAACTCTTACACAAAAGACTAATTCGAAGACAACTATACAAAACGATATCAGACGCTACTAAAAGTTGTGCAAAGTAATATTAAAATTGTTAATTAAAATGCATATCGAGAAACGCACTTCTTCATAGTAGGAAGTGTAAATAAATTATTTTTAGTAACCTGTCCGCCTGTCTGTCTGTATGTGCACAGACAGACATGTCTGGCTGTCTGTTTTGCGCATTTAAAGAGATATAATCAACCACTTTCCGCAAAATTTAATATTTAAGTTTGGAAAGTTAAAACAATAAATCTATAATTTTTTAAAAAGATCAGGGCTCGGAAACCGATCTGGGTGTCGATTTTACATTTTATCTACCATATCGATTTTACCATATCTACGAAACAGATTATTGGAATTTCTTAAAATATGATATTTGAGTTCTGGTATTACCGAAACAAACTGGCGAGCATTTCGGGGAATTCGGAAGTTTTTCATAACGCGTAAATTTGACATTTGTTTTATTCTATTTTGAGTTTTTATTTTTTTTTATGTGTACATTATTCATAAGCAAATATGTATTTTTATTCAATATCTGTAACATTAGACTCGATTTACTTGTTATAATTTCCAGAAAAACGTCATTCGAAAGATAGATAAACAAATTGTTCGGAACCAGACAACTCGATGTGGCGCTAAGGCCAATGCAGCTGTCACAAACTATCATCATACAAAATTGGCGAACAAGGAAATCCAGCTTTACATTTGCTTATTTTTTTAGTTATTTGTTTTGTTAATCAAAACGTTTATAATGTAAGTAGTTGTAGCGCACATATATTTCTTAAATTATTTTGCAAAATTCTTAATTTTCCTAAAACTCAAGTTTCTTCTAGCGATTATAATATTATGTACTTAGGAAAAAAATAACTTTGAATAATTATATACTTAATATGCACTATTAAATTATTTTTGCACTTCTCAATCAAATTAATTAATCCATTAATCAAGACTCTTCTTTTTAAACTTTTTTTATTATAACGTATATTCATTTATAAAAGTAGCCTAGTGAAAAATCTAGTATAAAGACACCGTTTAAAAAAAAAAAGTGAAAAAATTTTTAAAAATTGGATTGTTAAATCGCACTGGAGTACCCCAAATTTCTAATACAAATCTTATCAGAAATCCATTATAACGAAGATTTAAATGATGGTATATTACAGGTTGGTACAGTACAACATTTAAATATAAATTTTGAACATGCGTTTATATATTTTCATATGAATCTCCATATCTACAAATATATTTTCAAGACCACGGTTCTGATTTTGATATTGATAAACTAAAAAATTAAAACTAATTTTTGTTACTATACTTATTACCAACCGCATTGCATAAAATAAGGAAGATGTGATGGCATCCAATTTGGCATGTCGAATTTTCGGCGGAACTGCGCTTCTCTAAGATAGGAGAAATAAACTATTTTACTAAACCGTAAATAAACTATTTTTAGGAGATGCCGGCCTACACCGATTTAGATGAAAGTTTGTATATGAGTTTGCCTTGACTATGTCACGGATTAGTTAAGTTTTGGAATAAGTCAGACATCCGGAAATTTATGGGACAAATTTACATTTTAGTGCACATAAAAAAAAAACTACCAATAAAACCTTAAAGTTTAATGTTTGAATTCAGGATGGTTAAACGAAGAATTTATAAATTTTTTTTTCGGAATATCAGAGCTCGGACACTGAAGTTTTATTCGGGATGGATTTTACATTCTTTATTATACCTACGGAACTAATTGATGGATTTTCTTAAAATTTAATATTTGAATTTTGTTTGCTACCGGAAATAACTGACGAACATTTTACGAAATTCGAATGGCATAAATTGAACCTCTATATAAAGTTAGTCTAAACCTGTTGAACGGTTTAAATCTTTGCATAATAAAAATCTTGAGGGTTGGACTTTCAGGGAAGCAAAAGAACACTTATGAAAACACTTGCACATGTTTTTACGAAAGCAATAATTTCATCAATCTCGAAAATTTCAACTTGTTCTTATCAAAAACAGCTAAAATTTAAAATTTTTAGTTGTAATATTATATTAATATTTTTGCAACTTTTAATTAGAATAAAAACCCTCCATATTTTTATAAATATAAATACTAAATGAATAAAACAAGATCAAAGAAGCATGCTAGAATTCAAAGTTTAATGTCCAAGTTTTGATCTTCGTTCCAACAGGATACTATTGTACACCACTTTTAAATTATTGGTTTAAAAATGAAAATGCAATCATTGTGTTTTATACGAATATATGTACATACATATTTATGTAAACGCAAGGGAACGTAAATTTCACAAAATGGAAGGCAAACAAGATTAACGAAATAATAAAACAAAGGAAAGACAAATATACGAACACCAGAATAACGCAGTAGTGTAAAATAATTTATAGCTTTCAATATTTTTTTGTTTGAGGAAATTCATTTATTCAGACCTTGAACTCAAAATGAAGAAAAATGAAATACATATGTATATTACAACAGATTGCACAATTAGGTGGAAAAAAAATTTTTGAAATTTATAACACAAAATTCTACATTTAAAATAGTTTATAAAACTAACACTAAAATTAAAAACGGAAATAAATAACTCTAAATAAAAAATTATGAATATTGCGTTTACTAAATGAAAATAAAATAGATTTGCGCTAAATTACATACATACACATATACATATATGCACACATATTAACATACGTATAGTTGAAAAAATATTTATTGAATTAAAATTGTAATTAATTAGAAATAAGGCAAAAGCAGGGAGGATTGAATTAAACTATCTTCATATAATTTGTGAAAATAACGAAAAGAACCAAAAAAATAAATACATTCATAATTAAGTACGTACCTACATCAATAATAATATATAATATATGAAATGTTACGTAAGCTGCTTAAAAGCGATGTAATGTAGAAAATAAGAATAAACATTAGAATAAATTTATTAGGTTTTGGCACAGTTTTGCTTTTTTTTGATTTACATATAATTTGAATACTTGAAATACTTGCATTTTGTATGTACGAGCAGTTACTGTTTTAATTAAAATCTATAGTTTATACACTTGTCTCTTTTTCTATTAAGAAAACTAATATAAGATATTTTTCAAAAGTAAAAACAATTCTTTTTTTTTGGCAAGAGTTAATAAAATATTTTACAGAGTCATTATTTAAAAGAAAATTGGAAAACAAAAAATTTGAGTTCGTATTTATTTTAAGTTAAAAATTTGTTTTATCAGTCGAAGTATTCAAAGAATTTAAAGTATTCAAAGTGAGTATTGGAAATACAAAATTTCATATTTTACATATCTAAAAAATTTTTAATTATGTAAAATATAAAAAAGTTTTAAAATTGTTTATAACAATAGATATAATGGCTCGCGGCTAAATACTCCTTGAGTGCAAGGAGTTAAGCAGAAATCTTGAAGTCTTTTGTGGTGAATTTGAAATAATGTTTTAATTTTTATTTCTGCAATAAAAACAGTGTCATTTGTGGCTTCAATTTATACGATACAAGGCGATAACTTTATAATAAACCATAATACTTAATGAATTATACTGTGCCTACATATTCTCTCATGCACATAACATTTAACAAGAGCGCATATGCTTTTAATAATGCAAAATTTTAGGATATAGCAAGCAACAAAAAATTCATAAATTTCAATAACTAATATACTTATTACAAAAACTTGAATATTATTCTTCTCACTTCTAGTTTTCTAAATTTATTACATTTTAAAATTAATGTATTTAATTAACTTTTTAAAATTTTTTAAAAATTTATAAAAATTATTTTACATTTAAAAATTTACATTTATGTATGATTAAACTAAAAAAATTATAGAAGACGTTGTACATTTAAGCTGTTTTTTTTTTCTTTTTTGTGGAAGAGAGAAAGACAAAACATAAAGAAAAGGAAAAGAAATAAAATTCTCTCGAGGGGAAATAAATTCTTCACCTGAATCATATGTTAAAAATAATCACATTTTTTTCATTGTAAGAGAAGACTGAATCAATTGAAATAAATCTATAAATAAATTCACGGCATTTTTTAAAATTCTACGCTGCACAAGATACAATTGCAGCACCTACCAAAATTGAACACGGATTTTAAATTTCAGTTTCATGATTGCAAAGTGTACCAACTTTATTCGATGATCACTGTAAGAACTAGAAAAAATGTAGGTGTAGTATCCTACAATACGAAACTACAAATGCATAAATAATTATAATCTAGCTCTTTTAATTTTTTTTTTTTGTAGCTTGAAATGCAAGAAGACAGATTTTTAGAAACTTTTGAATATGTACAGGTGTACATATTTCAACATTTTTTCGTGTTTACGTTATTCATTATACCTATGAATTTGTCAAAAACAATGCTTTATTTCAAATCGACATTATGTTTATGAAAATTCTAAAGTATTGTAAAGCCTTACATTTAGAAAACGAATTAAATTTAGAGAACATTTCAAAACAAAGATTAGATTTCTCATACATTTAGAAATGGAGGCACAATCTTGTTTACTTTTCACTCATAGAGTACAAAAGTTCAATTAAAATGTAAACTGTGTACAAAAGGCCACGTCAAGGAGAAAAATTTATTTTAAGTAAAACTCACAATTTGCACTTATTGTTTACGCTTAGAAATTTAAATTCAATGTTGTTTCTTAATATTTTTAATAGTATATTTTTGTAAATCTAATTCTTTTTTTAAGTTATTTTAATTTCATATGGAAAAGTACATATGCACATATGTATGTATGTGATTTAATCCATAATTACGTGTATATATTATAACGCATAAAAAATCACTATGAAAACCGTAACAACCAACATTGTTTTCTTTTCCTTTTATTCATATTTTTCATTTGATTGAAAAAGAAAGAAAATTAATTTGAATATATACATATATTTAATTTTCTTAAATAACATGTAAAAATAGTTTATTCAAAAAACATTTTACATCATTATTTGATCTGAAATCTACACATATTGATTTTTATATGTGCGTGTACATGAGATAACTACTTTTGTATTAAAAAAAAATTTAAAAGAGAAAAAAAAACTACGCATTATAGGGTTAAATCAAACATGGGGAAAACACAAATAAAAAAGTTCTTTTTTTCACCAACATAAAGTTTTTTTTTTATAATTTTTTCATTCAATTCTCTTTTTTATGATTAAAATTTTATTTTTATGGTTTTTATTTTTTTTACCGATTAGATCGTTTTTCGGGACGTTCACTGGGATTGCGACGAAATCTCTGCAACAGGTTATTGCAACTATCGGATAACAACTGTGTTACGCTAGCTGTAGAACTTCTTATGTAGCGATTTCGCCGTGACGTCGATGCTGGCTGTTGAGTAGTGAATCCGTCTGTTGTTTGCAAAGATGTGGTTGACGACGATGTAGATAATGATGTAGCTATTGAATTTTCTGTTTTTAATTCAGATGTTGAATTATTGCGGTTATTTTTATTATTTGTTTGTGAATTATTATTACTCTTTGAAGACAGTGTTAGTGAAACAGCATCCATAATATAACCGTTCTTATATTATGTTTATATTACGTTTATTTTTAATTTCTTTTCTGTATTTGTTGTCGCAACACTCTGTTTTGCTCAAAATTTCTTTAAATGTATGTCTTTAAGTAAATATGTATACGCGTGTACTTTATTTTCCAATACATTACCGTAATTAAAGAAAAACATAATTTTTAAAAAGTTTTAACACTTGACTTCTGGCAACTGTGTACAATATATGTGAATTTTAATGGTAATAAAAAGTATATGAATAGATAATTTTTGCTTTTCGAATTGGTTTAATATATGTACATACATACATACATACGTAAAAACATATCTATATATATGTATATATTTATATACGGTTGTTTCTATATCATAACTTTAATGAAATTTGCAAAAAAAACTTGTATAATCCGTATCAATTTCTTTTAAACAAAAAAAGACATATATGTATATACAATATGTATATATTTTTATATACATACATACATATGTGTGGGATGTTTGTAGTAGTTCAATGGAGTAACAATGTGCTGAAACTTTCTGAAAGCTAAAGTTAAAAACAAGTTACGAATCATCGAAAACCATATTGCTGAGCCAAAAATATTTTTTTATACATTTCACGTTTTGCTGATAGCTAAATTATTTTAATTAACTTTCAAGTAGACGAAAATTGATCTTTCTTTTATGTACGTATATGTAAACAAGTCGTTAGATGAGAGAATAATTGCAATCGATCAAAAATGCATTAACATTTTATATAAAGTAAGCACAAGGATTGATAATTAATGCAGTATTTACATTTAATTGTTTTCTCAGGTTACCTCAACGTAAACAGATTCTAGATTTTATTTAAAAGAAAATAAAATGCTAATATTTTATGAATTTATAAATTTTTATAAAATTTTACTTGCTTAATATTGATACATAATATGTACGTATATTTAACAACTATTTCAGATTTTCATACTTTGAATAAGGGTATGTGATTACTATATTGAAAGTGTATTTTATTTATAGTAATCCAGTAATGAATAAAAATACATAATACCCTTTATATGACCCTTTCATTGTGCCTATTTTTAATTACAATTGTACTAATAATTTAGGATATTTTTAATGAAAATGAAGCATGTTGAGAATATATGTTGTACTCGGTAATTGGTCAAATTAACATGTTGAACAATATTACCCACAATTTTTACTGGTCGTTTAAATTTTTTTTTTTTCCACCTTCTACTTTTTATTTTTTATACCCAATGATATTTATGTTGTTCTTTGGCGACATATATTTTACCAGTTATTACCATTAATACTTGTGTTTATATTTCTTTATTGTTTTAAATTTATCGTATGAGCCAGGTTTATTTTTGACTTCTAATTGCTCTTATTTATATTTACCATATAAAAGAAATTTTATTTCAGTTCAGTTGTTGAGAAACATGTTTATATATATATATATATATATATATATATATATATATATATATATATATATATATATATATATATATATATATATACGTATATTATGTACATGCATATGTATGTATATGTATATATGAATACATTGAATTATTTGCCAGAATCGTTTTTAATGTCAAATTTATTCTCCTATTTTTAATCTTAATTATATGTGTGCATATACTTATATCATTTCCGAAAATGAAAAAAGCAAAAAACCAAACTATGTAAGTAGCTATGTAGACACAATTTCTATAATTTTATTTTTCACAGTTTCATTTTTGTATTGTATAAAAAAAACTTAAAATAAATAGGTAAACAAAAATAGAAATTTAAACGTTTTGGTGGCAGATTTTTCCACTAAAAGAAAGAACCTACAGTAAAGTTTTTTTTAATAAAGGAAAAATTACGTCAAGAAAATTATAATTATGTCACTTTACGAGCAAAAAATATCAGAAACAATATTAATGCAAATTCTGGATTAACATTTTATTAACTAACGACTCACTTTTTCAATACACGTTAAAATTGAAAATTCATTTCATATCTCACTTAAAAAATATTTCACTTCTTTACATTGAAAATTCTTACAAATTTTTTTATGCTAACTCTTACAAAAACTATCTGTTTTATAAGCACCTTCATTACATTTTACTTAGTATTTTTATTATATTGAAAAACTCTAATAAAAAAGATAAATCAAGATTTTCAGGAATTTTGATTTTATTTTTGATTATAAATTTTTCTTATTTAGAAAGATAAATACACGCGTGTATTTAGATTTAAAAATAAAAATGAAAAGTTTAAAGCAATGATATTTTTATTTATTTTTCTATATTCGAATTTCTGAGCACTAAACACAATGAATATATTTTCATGGGTATGTATGTGTCAAATTTGTTAAAAAGTAAACTATGAAAATGTGTAATTATATTTTAACTAGCACGTAAATTTTTTGCAAGACTTATGAATTCAACCTACACTTTATATATTAAATAATATAAAAAAACTAATATAAAACTTTTTTTTGTGCAGGGAAAAGTTGTATTATATTCGCATCAGTTTTCGAAAATTCGAAATCAGAATGTTATATTTTTGATATTTTGCTTTGATTTAATAAAAATTTTTGTTATTAATTTTTTTTTTTTATTTTTTTTGCAAAGTTTTACCATCTCTAATTTTCTCTGCACGTTTACAATTATTTTTATTTACTTAGCGTTTTAATAAAGCTTTTTAAGCTTTTGTGTGTATTCATGTATGCGTGTATGTGCTCAGCCGTTACCACTGATAACAACCCATTTTTATATTTGTGATACCTGCACAATGTTTCGGATTTTTTTTTTTTAAATTATAAATTTTGTTGTAGAAACTAGAGGTAAGCTATCACAGCTCGAGAATTAAAAATAAAGGGATATTGCGTGAAATTTTTGAAATATTTCATTTGAAGTTGTTGTTTTTAAAAGAGCTGACATTTGAAGATTTTGATTTATCGAACGTGCTTTATATCAAGATCTAAGTTAGGGCTAAATTTTCCTAAGAACCTTAAAAACCATAAACCATCCTTAGATTGCAGTTTACATAACCATATAGAGCAAAGGTTTCTTTCAATAATTCCAAAAATTCTTTAACTTTCGTTTAAATTCTTTAAATTTTAACTATTAACTTAAAAACATTATGAAATGACAAATCTTGACCTTAAAATTGTACTAATACAAGAATTTTTGAAGCTATTTTATGTTTAAAGTATTCCATATTTCTTATCTGAACAACAGTCACACCAGTTCATAACAATTCGCAAAGGAAATAACAGCAGCACTTGCCGAGAAATGGGAGCGAAAAGAGTTAATGATCAGATATTCAGATCTTTATTTTCTCGATAAATTGAACTTGGAGAGCTTAAAATAGATTTATAAAGCAACATATATAATATTTATGTATGCATTTTATATTAATGCGATAAGTATGTACATACACGCATGCACAATAGTATGTGTATCACCCATGCCAGAATTTATTCTTTTTTTTATTTATTCTTACTTAATATAAATAAATAAAAGACCTTTACACACTTATAACGTAATTCTATTTACTTTGTTGCAAAAATATCAAAATTTTTATAAAAAGTATGAAATAGCCCGCATACATATAAATTTTAAACATCACCTCATTAGTTCAAGGCATGACATTGTGAGAGTAAAAAGTTCATAAAATTTTATTTCATATGAAAAAGTGGATTTAAAAACAGCATTCATTATCTTTTTTAGTTTAAAATTAATTCCATGGTTTAGAAGTTAAAACAAAAATAAATTGACCTGATAGATATAAGATAATCTTCCCAAATTTATAGTAATATAACCAAAATAAAATTTAAATTTTGGAATGAATATTTCTCTTTCCGCCTTCAGATAAAGCTTGCAAGACCATGCCAGCAAAATTGTCAATGTTAAATCTTAAAGTCAAAAGCAAAAGAGAAAAAAAGAATTTTGAAATTTTTTCAAAGTTATTAGAACTAGTTAAAACAATAAGTATACATACTTATGTATACAAACATACCACTTAAATGCATTTGTATGTTTTTGCTCTGCCAGTTATTAAAAAATACATTTATAAATTATTTGTGATTATGTGATGCGCATACATTTTTATATAAGATAAACAAAAATTCACATATCACATTCAAAAATATTTTCTCTCAATAGTTAAGTGTAACAATTATTATAAAACAAAAACAACTCCTTTTTGCTTAAGAGAGAACTTTTAAGCAAAAACATTCATGAACTCTAAAAATACTTATAGAGTTTATAGATGATAAGATTAGTTGTACTGCACACCAGCTAGACATAGAATAAATTCTCACCATGAAAAAAGAAACGATTATTAATATTCAGCAATCGACTTATTAATTTTGGCAATATTAAAATCATCTATAAATAGAATGTGTGGAACAAAAATCAGCTTGCTCTTGTTTTGTCTTTACTGTCAAATTCAAAAGTTTCTGGCTGTTTTATTTAGCAAGAAAAAATATTTAAATGAGAAAACACACAGTATACATACTTATGTATACGAGTATGCATACACACCGAGTGTTTGTTTAGACTTTAAAAGAAACATGTACATTGTGTATTTTTTAACTAGACAAAAGCATTGCCGTCGTGTCCCCCAGTTCATCTGTCAAAATAAGAAATTCAAGATGTGTTATTGGCAATAACACATCTTGAATTTCTTATTTTAATGAAATGGAAAACTGTACATAGAAATTTTGCTTTACTAAACTTTAAAAATTATTAAAAACTAATAATTTTACAAAAATTATTAAAAACAATTCTTCTACCTTGTTTGAATTTATTATAAATTTGAAAAGGAATTTATGTTCACTTTATAAATATTTGAGTTCTCTTACAGCATTACTTTAGAACTTTATTAACAAAAAATTTTTCAATTGTTGAAATTTTTCCGAAATATAATTTTTTCTTTATGTATGTGAATATTTAGGATTTCATATAAGTACCTAAAAAAAAATTTATTAACAAATTTGTCCGCGTTAACTAAAAGTGCCTACTTATAAAAAAAATTTTAAACAAATGGCTTGATAGACCTTTCGCACAAAGCTGATCACCAGCTCCACCGTTTGACAACCGAGTGCTTTTAGAAACACAATTTTTAAATGCAAAAAAAAACGAAATAATTACTAATTAAAACAATCTAGTTTTATCTGAAATTATTTAGCTGATAAAACTGGACCATAATTTAAAAGTAAAGTTATCAATTGCTTTGATTTGACCAATTTTTTGACATTCTTAAAATTTTACACGTATATTCAAACATATACATACATATAGTATTCAAAGTTTTAACTGCTGTCAGATTTTGGACAACATTCTTAGAAATTAATGACACCCCAAAACTGTTTCAAAAATGTAAAAATAAACTACAATTACTTTTTAATATTTCAAAAATTCCTCAAACATCTTCATCTACATTTTTTATACATTTTTGTCCTCTAATGTACTATATAGAAGAAAATAACATGTTTACTGCACTATCATAAAAAAAAATATTAAATAAAAAAATATTAAAACCATAACATATAAAAGAAATGAGTTTTTGCGATAGTCACAAAACATCCAAATTTTCTTAATTAAGTCATCTGAGAAGTCATTACCAACTTATAATTTTTACAAACTGTATTTTTTTCTCATTATTCAAATTATTAATTAAAATTATTCAACAGTTGCATATTGCGTTTCCATACTTAAATAGCGCAAATTTTTCCAGGTATACTTACTTGAATTGAATAATAATTCATTTTTCTTTTTTTTAAGTATTATGTAAGAATTTCTATTTTAGTTATTCTATATTATTTAAAATTTGCAATGAGCGAAATTTACACACAAAAAAATAAATAAATACAAGAATTATTATAAAAAATCCCAAATTTGCACAACTCAACAGCAAAACCACAGCAAGCATTTAAAGCAAAACTTTAATTAAAATTAATAAAGTATTTTCTACCTCATAAAAAATTTCGATATTAGATGATTTAGTTAAATTATTACACGCGGACGACAATGATGACATACTTTGACCAACATAACACATAGATGAAGATTGAGACAGAGGATTCACCAATTTTTGATTATTTGAGTTATTTAATTTATACTGTGGTTGTGGTCCAGGCCCTTGATATTGAATATTATTGAACATGACCCCTTTTTCGGTATTGTTTGTTAAGTTTCCTGTCATATGGGTGGCTGATTGTGTTTTGAATATTTGTTGAGGAGGTGCCTGTTGTTGTGGTAATTGTACCGGTTGTTGATGAAACATTTGTTGTAATTGTTGGCTTTTGGGACTACTCATAGAGGTGCCTGACATATCAAATTCAGGTACCCTATTTTTAGTTAATTGCTTATTTGAAAAACTTCGCGTTACTTGAAACGGAACTTGCTGATTTCTATTGCTATAAGTTTGATGTTGATGAGACTTATGACATTGAATATTGGAAGAATTTGATATTTTGTGTGGGTGTATTTGAGAGTTCTGTTGTTGGTGTTGTTTTTGGTAATATAGTGGATCAAATGCCTTTAATACATCAGTTCGGACATTTTCATCAATGTAATCACTGTTACTGAGGCTTTTGTTATTTAATGGGACATATTGATTTGTGTTAATATTAGTATCACAATTTGTTAACGGTTGAAATCCAAGCTTTGGAGATACAGTTATATTACTAGTATTATCCTTGTGATTGTTTAAGCAAAGTTCTTGGTTAGCCGATATTGAAGTATTCAAAATTGATGGCGACTCTATTAAATTTCCAATTCTGTTATTAAAATTAATAAGTCCATTATTTTGATCGCTTTGTTTATTTGAATTAGTTTTTACTGTCACATATTGTGATTGAGCATGCTGCATTAAATTTTCTTTATTAAGATAATTATTGCGTTTATCATCCACATCAAAGCTATTTATACCATTATTTTTCGCGTTTTTGCAGTAGTCAATGTTATTACTATTATTATTAAGTAATGGTAAAAAATGCTGCTTAATGTTTTGATTTTCGCAGCCTGGTGTTGATGCAATTTGATTACGATGGTCATTATAATTAATTGGCTCTTTGTTTGAGTTGCATTTAAAAGTTGAAAGATTTTGTTGTTCTATTACATCGTTATCATATTTAATTTCACTAACACTTTTTACATGGTTTTTGCTACAATTAAAAGAACTCCAACCTGGCAATGGTTTTTTCAATATTTGCATTTGCTGTTGATACGACGAAGGTTTATCAAAAATTGGTGTAAATGATTGAACATCAGACGTACTATTCGATTTTGTAATTGGGTAAGCAGCTTTCGTGTATGATGGTGAATTTTGTTGATGTTGATTAGTGTGAGTTAAATTTCCACAACATCCACTTTCAATAACAAATTTTTTAGATTGCTTTTGCTGAATTGTTGTAGGAGTTGCTAAATGCGTAGTTGGAGCATAGATATGTGTTTTAGGTACGTTTATGCCTACGGCAGATTTTCCAGAAGTTACTTTCAAAATATCATTCAAACATTTTTCAACATTATTATCACCTTGTCTTTTGAATGTTATCACATCACTTTTTGTACGTTGTAAATTATTTATTTTTGGTTCAAAAACTTGTTGATGATTTTTATCTGGATTAACACAATGACTAACCTGATCTTTATACTGAAAATTTTCATTGCAAGAGTTTGCATTTGTTTGTCCAGGTAAATGTACTTTTACTGAAGGTTGAAGTAGTTCAGAACTTTGAGGTATTGTTGGTTTGTATATTGATCCGGCATAAGATGATAAATTTTGCTTCGAAGCTGATTTAGCGAGCCCAAATTGCTGGTATATTGGCTTCTTTATTTGGTTAAGGTCAGATAAATTTTTTATTGATTTAGTTACCGGTTTTGACGACAATGAATTTATATGATCTTGATTTTGTAACGATTGTAATTTAGAAAATGGTTTATATTGATTTGAGTTTTCAAGAACACAGGACGCTGAGCTACTTTTCAATAAACCTCTACCAAAATAACTTTCACCCAAATTAGGTTTTGTGTTTTCAACATTTGTTTCAATTAACTGAAAGTTTTTATTTTTATTGTGCTGTTCCGAAAATTTTTGAGTATTTGAAATAGATTGAATGTTTTGGGATTGTTGATTGGTAGATTTGGGTATTTGCATAAAATCTTGCTGAAAGAACTTTTCCCTTTCTACTTGAATTTTGCTTCTTTGGGTTGATATCGAATGTTCTGGTTGAGAAGGTAGCTGAGGCATTTGTATTTGATTTCCTTGCGCGGGATACATTAAACTGTTGTTTAAAGTAGTTGGAACACTTGCTAAAGAAACGCTTTTATTTAAATTCGTATTTAGCAATCCCGGTATTTTGTCTACTCCTGGAACAGATTCTTTTATTTCCGTACCGTTTGGTCCATTCATTTCTCTAAAACCTCTAATATGAGAACCGTCAATATCATTTTGAGTCATAGATCCCTTTTGAAAACTATTTGAGATTTGAGTTGTGAGATTGTTAGGAAGTGACCTTGGTTGGTCGTTAACAATTATATTGTATAACTCTTCTTTGCTTGTAGCTTGCTGTATGCGGTTATCAATATGCGATAAAGACAGATTTTTCTGCAATTTAAATGGTTTTAAAGTATTTTCTTGTCTTGCTCTTGGTATGACAGGAGCGAAAGCCCCTTGGCCCTCAATACTTTTAAAAACTGGTATCTTACTTTCTTCTACAGATGGCGAAAATTCATTTTTCAAGTTCGTATTTTGCTGAGTATTACCGGATACAATTTTATTGTAATTCCATTTAAAAGAATTGCTTCGCGATAAATTGGCTGAATTTTTTTCATTCCAAAAGTCACTCATTATTTGTTTACCACGTAATAAACATGAATTTGACGAGCTTTTTTTTAACGGCTGTTGTTGTTGCTGGTGCATAGAATTTTCTCTTTCGTTAAACGGCTGAGTTCTTTGTTGTAGTAAAAAGTTACCTATTTCCGGATGGTCAAATGCATTTTTGTTAGAACTGTTTATAACGCTGGAACTCGAAATGCTTCGTGATAATTTTGAATTTGATTGTGGTTTCTGAGTTTCAAGATGTACATCAATAGTTTCCGTACTATTATTTTTAAAAGGTTTATTACTAGCAGCAAGTTTTTTTGTCAATTGCGAGAATATTGATGGATAGGCTGTACGATAAACAGGCTCATTATTAATGTTATTACTGTTATTTTTACTGCAATCTTTATTTTCTGGTTTACTACTATTAATTTTATAATTTTTTGGAACTGGTTGCTGCTGAAAAAATAATGAATTTGATATTCCAGTGACTGGCAGCTGCCTTTCCGGTTGTTGATGCTGTTGATGGAATGACTGCAATAAAGAAAATTGAGTATCGTCATTCTTATTTGATGTACCACGATTTAGAACACTTTGAAGAGAACAAGATTTGGAAAGGGGTAATTTTCTACATGAATTTTGTTGCTGTTGAGCAGCCGCAGCTTGCTGTAATTGAATATCCTTGTTTATACTCTGTATCTCATCATACAGTTCTTCGCAATTTTTGAACTCTTTATTAATTTTTTTATTTAACTCGCTATAATCAGGTAGACTTTTTAAGTAATTTGTCATTTTTTCAATTTCAGAGTCGTATAAGTCGTTTTCATTTTGTTTCTCATTATTTTTTCCGCTTAATTTTTTAACTCCACAATTATCGTATATTAAGCATGTTGGGGAACTAGTTGAACATGTTGTCGTTAGTGGAAATTCTGTACTAACATTAGTTGTACTAGAAGATGTGGCGGCACGACACTGAATTGGAGAAAGTGGGATTCGATTTTGTTGCAGTAATTTTTCTATTTCCATTATATCGGGTGGTTTAGGTGATGGTAAAGAACTACTTAATACTTTCATTGACTGTGTATTCAACGTTTTTGACGAATTTTCTTCTGCAGGAAAGCACTTGTTAGGTGGGTTGTGTCTCCTCGCTGATTTGTAATTTACATCAGATTTATTTATTGCTTCACTGGTGTTTAATGTTAAATTGTTTTGATTAATAATTTTGGAAAGTAATTTTTGCTTTGCTTTTGGACTAGATTTAGCATTTTTTGTGTAATCGATATGATAATTTGATAGACTAAATGCAGCGTCTTTGGAAATTGATTCTGATATAGTATTTTGAGTTTCATTATTTACAGGAGATGAACATGATGACGAGTCCGATGATAATGACAAACTTGAACTTGGTGAGATCATTCTCGTTTTGCGTGTGAAATTAATTGGAATATTTTTAATATCTGGTTTACGATTAGATGATTTTGATTCTGTGTCGAAATTCTCATTAGCTATTTTCAAATAAGAATTGGAACTAACATGTTTAGTTTCATAAGAGGTTTTTGAATTTGTTATAATATTATCACTTAAATTTTTTTTTTGTTCATAAACTTTGTTGTTTACAGCAAGACTTTTATCTATAGGTGATGAATTGGAAGAGAATTCCCCTGACAAATTTGCCAATATATGAGATCTTATTGACTTTCCGGCGTTTTTATTATCGTCAATACTCCTACTTAAGTTTTCCGAAGAGAGATAATTTAATTTAAAATTCTGCAAAATTATTTTTTTTAATCAAAAGAAAAAAGTTAAAAATGCATACATACACAATATAAAAGGTAAATAAATATGTATTTTTCATTTCAGAAGTAAATGTAATAATGTCTTAAAACTTATATATATATATATATAAATATATATATATATATATATAAATGATGTTAGATGGATAGGATGATCAATAAAGCAGAACATATATTATCATTTAAATAAGTAAATTTTAAAGATAAATTAGTGCTTAAATTTAATTTATGAAATTGTGGAACAATAAAAATAAAACACTGACTGATGAAAAGTTAAAAGGACATTATGTGTAAGTTTCACTAAGAATATTTAAGACTATTTTATTTTTTTTTCATTCAATAACAGAAAACAAATCGAGCGAAAACAAAATTAATTTTACTAAAGAATTATAACCAACTCGAAGTTTTGAAAATATTTAAAGAATTATATATGAATATCGAAAAATTTATATCGAATTATATATGAATATCGAAAAGCTATATTTTCAATGAAATTTAACTAAGTATCTTTATAGTCTCTTTAATTACATATTGAAATGAAGGAAAACTAATATAACTTGACTAAAAACTAGACAACATTAATTACTTTAGTATACAATACTAAATCATCTAGAATACTTATATTTTTTTCAATTTTAATGACTCCAATTTTCTTGTGGTTTCAATTTATAAAAAAAAAGTTTTCGGTTACCAAAATACACAAACATTTGTTAAATCTACTAAATTTGATAAAAACCTTGCTTTGTTCAGCAGCCATTAAAGCTGCGATTTGTTTTTTTAACACATCCGGAGGAATTTTACAATTTTTTGGAACTACTAGTTTTTTTATAATTATTATTTTGTCCCCTTCCACTTTTTCAATGGTAACTAATTTTGGTTTAGGTGGGGACAGAACTTTTGCACTTGGGAATGCTGGTTTGCCATGACTAACCGGAGCATTTGCTTTAATTGATGCCACTGATGATTGCTGTTGTTCTTGGTTACCACTCATTGCACCTTTCACCACAGTCATATCGGACATAAGCCGTGGATCATAAGTAGAATGAAGAGATTTTGGTGGAAGTTTAGTATTTTGATAATTACTAGTAGAAACATTAGGTGATGTTTTACTAGTAGTACAAGTGGATTGAGCAGTAGACACTTTTGTCTTAGCAGGTTTTGGTTTAATGGAATTATTATCAGGTTTTGAACGTACAATTGAAAAGTGATACAATGGTTTGTCGTCATCTATAATATTTTTAATAGGTGGAGGCTTACGCTCAACCTTACGTAATACAACGCCCAACATTGGATTATTTTTTATTTGAATTCTTGATCGCGGAGGTGTGACTTTTTTTAAGGTAACGCCTACTTTTTCACCAAGTTGTGGTGTTTTGACCCGTTTTCTTTGACCTAATTGCTGGTTTTCTCGTTGGTCAGGTATACTTGGAAGAGATAAATTTTTTTGAAGCGCATATTTTGCTGAACTTGATTCATCACCTTGTGCTAAAGGCGAAAATTCTCTTGTATCACCGATTAAAACAATTTGACTAGCATTAACAGGAATATCTAAAGTGCTAGCTGATTTATTCAGATTATTACGTTTTTGTGCTGCTACAAAATTGTCTTTATTTTGTTTATTTAAAGTTACGCATAAATCAGTTTTAGAATTATTTTGTTGGATTGTTTTGTTATCCGCTATACTAAGAAAATCAGTAGCGTCAGCTGGATCAATAAAAGTTTCATTTCTTATTAAATTTTTTTCATTGCCGATATTTAGTTCATTAACTTCTGTATCATAACAAGCCATTTCATCTTTACTTAATTGTCTTTCAAGACTCTGGCACAAATTATTTTGAAACTCAAATTTTTTTTCCATTGTGTGGACAATATTTTCTTGCATTCGCAAGAAATCCTTTTCAATTGTATCTAAAACAATGTCACCATTGATAATAATTCCATCGGAATCAGTTAGTTTCTTAAATTTCTCTAATTGAGGTACCGGTAATGGAATTTCCGTTCTCATTGTTATTAAATCTGCATTTTCGGACCCTTCATTATTTGTAATTGTTGTAGTTGCCAAAGTTTCAATTTCGATATTATCAGTAGAATATGAGTCTGATGTGCTTTTGGCATTACTTCTTGTGAAACTTTTTACATCATTTATATTGTTATCATATTTATTATTGTTAATCTTATTATTCATATTACTTTCGTTTGTATAGTGATTATTATTATTGTTAGTGATACTTTTTTTAGTATTATCAATATTAGTATTTATATTATTGTCAGGAATATTAACGACAGTAGAGTCTTCAAGTGAAGGTGAGTAATTTACTGATAATGTGTGTGAATCTTCTTCCGACGGAAGTTTTTTTGGCGCAGCTTGTATGACTAACCTAGCCGGACTTTTACACGAGAAAAGAGGATTATTTCGTGGTACCATTAGTAGATCGGTTTCTGCTGTAGAATCAAAAAGTTTGATTTCTGGTGATTGTGATTTGTTATTCTTATTTCTATTGTTATTGTTACTGTTATTGTTATTAGAAGCAGATGCATTTTGAGTCGATAAAGTGATGTTATGATTAAAAGATGATTTGATTGCCTCCATTTCGCTAAGTATTTTTTTCTTTTTAAACTTGTATAGTAAAGTTGTTTTTTAATTCGTAATATAATTTGTTGCAATTTTTTTTAATACACTTTAGTTATTTAAATAGTTTTTAATAAAAAGTGCTTGCTATTTTTGTTTATATACATATGAATTTGAAATATTTATTTAAAAGTATAATCAAATATAGAATTTCACTGTTTATTAAATAAATTGTTTAAGAAAAAAAATATTTTAAGTAAAGCTGATTACAAACGGAAATCGAAAGAACAATTGTTTCAAAATAGCGATTATATAGTAATTATTTAAATATCTAACTAAAAAACTTTTCATATTACAAAAAATATCGACATTACTTATTTTTTTAAAAAAATTGATGATGTAGAATATACATATTGACCATGACCTTCATTGATATCGTTTTGTGATTAACTAAAATGTTTGTGATTCTTTTTCCAATTATTGTGAAAAAAACGATTTTAAATACCCCGTGTAATAAATGGCAACAAGACAAAATTTAATTTTAGTATAATTGTAAGAACACAGCAATTTTATTAAAAAAGAAATTAAAAGAGAAACGTTACATTTTCTTTCTGATATTTCAAGATAATCTAAAATTAAATTAGCAAGATTTTTTGGGTAAATAGTTTTTGTATTTGTAATTTTTTTATATTTTATAGAACAACAAAATCTATAGTATTGATCAAATTAAAAATTTTAATTTCAGAATTGAAAATATCTAATATACAAAATACACTTTTCTTAAGCTCATAAATTGATTTACCGTTGGAGACAAAATTTAAAAGGCAATTGCAATAATTTTGAATTAAGTATGAGATTTTAGTTAATTGTTTGCTATTATCATCTTGCGTTAAAGATTTTTAAAATTCAATTGGAAAAATTCAATCTATTTTTAGTTTTTGAAGAGAATAATTATTTTCATTTTATTTAAGAGAATTTTTCACTCTATATAATTGTGCTTAAATATTTTGTACATACTTATAATTAAAATATTTTAAAAATAATCTACTGAGGAAGTAAATTTAATTTGATATAAAATAATAACATAGTCAATGATAATCAATGAAAAAAGCATACGTCCCAAAATCAAACCAAACTATTGACAATTTCTTAACTTTTACAATACATTTTTCACCGGATTAACAATATTAATTCAAAAATGAGTCCCAATCAAAACAACGCTGAAATGTCACAAGAACAACGTGAGAAGGAAGCAAAATATTTGGAATTGCTCAAGAAACGTCAAAACTTGCCAGGACCGTCAATTTTAAATTTGATCAGGTTTGTTTCAAAACCGGCACTCAGTGTCCAACAACATACTGGAACCTTCTTTAACACCAGAGTTCAGAATTTATACGCATCCTTTGGACAACCTAAAAGCACATTCCTAATACCATCTGGGAAATTCATATACAACTTAATGGCAAATTTGCTTGCAGATGGCAGCGAGGGCTATACTTTATATGCAATTACACCCTTTATAAACAACATCATTGATCCTCCTCGCAAAGACACTTTTCCGACACTGAATGCAGGTGCTTTTGTGTCCTTAGGGTACAAAGGCTTAGTGTTGTTGAATTTGTTTTATTTAGGGATAAAATGGATTACTCATGGAATACTGTTCGTTGGAAACAGAGAAAACATGGAAGTATGCACGATTACTTGAGCCAACTGCCCTTAGTTTTTTGAGCAATAGGCAAAACTGGCTGTTAACATGCATCTTTGTCTCCTGCAGGGTCAGTGACTCAGAACGTTAACCTAAGCAAAAAAATTCGCAGATTATATCAAAACTCATAAGACCGAATAAGGGAGGCCGCGGGTTAAACAATAAAAATAAAGAGATTGTTGCATTACGTGCCAGAGATGCAGGAAACCAGCAACAACAACTCCAACAGCAGAAAGAAAATATCGAAACACTGGGACAAGATGACGTAAGAAGGTTATTCAACTTCTAAATAAAGCCTACATACAAATGTTGCTGTACAACATAATTTAAAATAATATAAAAGTACAAACTTTAAATATAAAAACTGACACAATATATGTAAGTATTTCTCATTTAAATTTTTTTCCTTTTTTATTTTTTAATTTGTAAATTTTTGTGTATAAAAATAAGTACTATTAAAGGGAAATAAAACTAAATATAAAAATACGCAGAATTTTACACAGAAAATTCAAATTTATTCACACAGTCAAAAGATTTGTTTTTGAAGAAGTTTATTCCTATCTTTAATATACAATGGTTCACAAAAGCAGTCGAACAAGTATTTTGTTTTATTTAAAATTAAAATATAGAAACTTCTTTCTATATTATATAAAATGAGTTAACTAAGGCAAAGTATCGCCCGCCATTTTATTTTTGCAGAAATTTTGAATTTCATATTGAATTGAAAATTCAAATTTCATATTCGAATTCAAAAAAATATTCGATTGTTTTTATAAATTTTCAGAATGCTGTATTACAAGTTGATGGTAACTTTCAATAGTTTCACACTTTTCAGGCATAAAACGGGTAAGTGTTAAAATAAGTTGTTAAACGATAAGATTATATGTGAGTTCATTTTTAGGCATAGAAACATTGAACTTCCAGTTTTCTTTTTTTTTAAAGAAAAACTTGTTTATTCAATGTTAGATTAATTATTGCAACTAAGTACTCTCTTTAATCTTTATATTTTCGTTTTTTCAAAAGCGTAATTAATTGGACACAATAGAAAAAATTTCTTTAATCAAGTTTGATTGTGCATTGCTTTCAAGCATGCGATTTTACCTGACATATGGGTGCCAGAAAATACGGTAAATTTTGTCCATTTATTTTGTGAGGATAATTTTGGAAAAAAATTTAGTAATATTTTGTGCTTTGTCGTTATGTTTAAATGTTTTTCACATTTTGATTATCTTTGAATTACGTTAACAACCAAAAAGTGTATGAAATTCAACAATGCCATAAAATCTATAAGCAAAGAATTTTAATTTCAAGTACCTACCTACATAAAGTAAATATTTGCCCAATTTTCGTGAGCCACTGTACCTATAGAAATTTATTTTCTATTTTATGTTTTTATTTTACGTTCCTATTTTGTTTTATATAAAATAATTGTGGAATATCTCTTTATTAGTTTCAAAAATAAACTAACGGCTGATCCAGTTATTAAACACACAGTGAAACAAAATCAAAAAGAGAATACATGACCTTGATCTGTTTTATTCAATAAATTATTTGTTTTATGAAAATTGAAATACAAAAACAAATAATTTTTTTTAAATTCCCTCAAAAATACTTTAAATTTAAAAAGTGTACCAAGTTTTTTATTAACTTAAATTAAAAGAGGAAGAAATAAAAATTTTACAAAAAGAAAACAAAGAAAATATCGGTTCCTTTAACTTTGATGTATGTATGTATACCTAACATACTTATTTTCTTTATAAAATTGGTCCACTTATAATTATATCCCATAAATATGTTAAAATGTTCACAAAAAATTCATTTCCCAGATTGTATACATTTTAAACAGATTGTATACATGTGATAAATTCCGTAGTAATATAATTAAAAAATTTAAAAAAAAATTTAATTTAATTTTGAATCTCATTAATTGACCGAAAAATAAATATGAGCACTAACGATTTTCGAAAATTATTCATTACATGTCGTTATCAAAATATTTTAGGATATCATTGTTAAAATTTTTGTCTACAAAGCAAATTACACCGCTCATGGTGAACTAAAGTGCGTAAAGTACTTTTTATCAAGAAATTCTTGAATTTTAATATTCACGTTCTGCTTGCAATATTTGTTAAATTGTAAAGGCAAAATTGTTCGCTCACCAAATGTTTGGAAATGTAATTTTTTTTATTCAATTTTAAATTATCTGATTCCTATGATTATTGAATAATATACATATTACCGTCTATATATACATATTAAAGTCTATATAATACACATACTTATATACATATTATAGTCTGAATTTTCCCTATAATTGAGTTTATTTGTTTGCGATCAGTTGCATACATTTAATTATACCTATATGAAAATAACTACTTACATATACATGTAATTAGTAATTCGAAAATCAGCTTGTAAAACTTAAAATATTTTTTATTTCTCAAACCTTCAGTTGCAGATGATAGTTAGCAAATTTATTAATGATTTAAATATTCTTGAAATTAAGTTATATGTAGAAAAATATTGCTCATTTCAAATTTGCCAAAGCTAAAAGTAAATGCTTTTTCCATAGAAGAATGTGCAATAATACTATTTGTAATAGTATAACACTAGAGTAGAATCCACTTAAAATCACATCGAAAAATTTATTGAACTTATTAATTTTAATCGTGGTCTGAAATTAAACTAGATCGATTTATTTTCCACTGTAGGAAAATAAGAGCTTGTTTTCATTGAGTGGTCCATTAAAAAATCGATAGTTCTCTCTTATTTTACATAACTCTTCTTAGAAATACGAGTACATTTTTATTATTTCATAGTTTTACATCTAGAAAGACCTAATTCAACTTAGAACATCCCTAATTCAACTTAGAAAATTTACTTTTTTTAGAAATTCTAGAAATTTCTACAAAACTGCAATGATTAGGTATTTATTTTGTGTTCTTGATTTTTTTTAAGTTGTAATGAATTCAATAGTGAGTTTTTCTTAAATATTCAGTGCAATATTCCATTTTGTTTTAACCACTTACATAATGTCAATAAAAGCAATATACTTATGTAACTTGATTGCAAAATCTTTAAAAATAAATCCAATTACTTACCTCTAATATAATGAAAAATTATAAATTTTATCAAAAATTGTACAAAAATTTTCAAACTAAAAATAAATTGACTTTACAATTTTCTTAAATTGAATTTAATATCACATAAACCCAAAGGAATAATGATGGTGTCTTTGATCTATACAAAGGATGAATTTTAATCCTACATACATATCTTAAATATTTTAGAAATATTGTTAAGGTTAAATTGGGTATTTCCAAAACGAGAATAGATCATTTTAGACGAGTTATGTAATTAAAAAATCTGTGGTTATTGAAATAGAGATAGTATGCATATTCAAAACTACATAAATAATATTTTGTAACAGTATTTTTCTGTAAATAAGCTTGTTTTGATGTTATCAGATGTAATTTTAAGCGGATTTACTATGATGTAAACTGTGTAAGAATGAAACACATATTTTCATTTATACTTATTTTAATTCTGCAACTTTTTGTATGTTTATCTACATATTTATTATATACATAATACTCTTGATATCTTTTCCAAAAGCGAAAATCTATGAGTCATTATACACTATTTTTCCACTACTTTATTTATATTTTTTTTCATTTTATGTTCATATGTATGTATATGTATGTAAAAAATAGGGTATTTTACATGTCGTATGTTGTGTTGCAGAAAAAGTTTTCGAAATTTCTAAATTCACTAAGAATTACTTGATATTTCTAAAAATAAAAATTATTATAATTTTGTTTATGTATCTTTTAAATATTTTCTTTTTTTTCCATTTTCTATTTTGAATTTTGGCTTTTTAGAGTTTATTTTTGTTTTTAATTTTTTTCATTTGGGTTTCAATCTTCAAGCACAAATACATGTGAAAATATAAATTATTAACACTTATCATTTTTATTTCATTTTTAATATACTTTACTTCAATATATAGTTTATATAAATTTTAGCGAAATTTTTCGTTTTACAAAAACAAGAAAAATTTCAAAAAAAAAAATCAAAGCGAAAAACTTAATTACAATTCTCTTTCCAATTTACGTCACTTCACTTGTAAAATCTTTTTTTTTGGTAACACCGGCATCTCATTCATTAAATATTAGTTTGCTTGATTTTTTTGTTTTAATTTTTTCTTTGTAACTGTATAACTATTAATAAGATTTTCTATTCCGAATTAAAAATTCTAAGTACAGCAACTTAATATAATAAAAAAGTTATAGCGTATAAAATTTTCATCACTGTTATAATCAACAATATGTTTCGTTTAACCCATTCATTGCAATATGCCTTTTAAAACTATAAAGGACAACCAACATCCACATCTAATATTTTATTTAGAATTTTTTTAAAAATTTCAACAAACACTTTTTTAAAATTTGGACAGTTTTGTGTTAATGTTATAAAAGAAGCTGGAAAAAGTTTTTTGTAAAGTTAATCCCGTAATTTTTTAATACCACATTTACCTCACTATAAAATGGATTTTACCACATTCACTTTTTTTTAAAAACTCCAAAATATTACATATGTACCTACATTACTACTTTTCGAAATTATCAGTACTAAATAAATTGTGATGTACAATTAAGTATTTTGACAAAAAAATTACAAAAATATATGTATGTTGGTCATTTTCAAATTATACTTTTAAAGCCACTTGTTTTCTTATGTATTATATAAGTATGTACAAACACAAATATGTATATATATATATATGTGGGTAGAAAAATATGTAGATTAAGTGTAAAATAATTATTATCTTTATATTTTAACTTTTTTATGCAATTTACTTTTAATAAATTAAAATATTTTTTAAATAAATTCACTATGTACCTATGTGTATTTGAGAAAGGAAAATAGAAAATAGAATCATCTTTATATCCACGGCTGTACGGCGACGGTACAAAAATTAAATCAAATTCGCAATTTATATTTTTAAAAAACAAAAAAAAATAAACGAACAATTAGAAAAGATCTCGTAAAGTTCGCCGTTCGCGGCCATAATGTGACATTAAGGCGAAAAAGAACATTGCTACTACTGCGAAGAATACATAAGTACGTATATCTAATTTTAATAATGTATAAATAATATGGAATAACAAGAAAAAAGCAGAATTGTCAAAAACATAAAACTAAAATAAATTTTTTTGCTTTAGAGGAATAAAAGAAATAAAAAAAAAATTATACTGTATAAACGTACAAAGTTTCCTTTTCGTATATTAGCGCGACACCGAACACCCGACAAATAATGAAGATCTTTCTTAAATATTCGTGACTGCACATACTTTTCCTTATCTTTTAATGTATGTGTGTTTTTTCAGACACGTCGCTACTAGTGTAATGGTTGTATGTAGTTTAATTTTTACAATCAAAAATAAAACTCTCTTTGATTATTTTTACAGCTTAATTTTTTTTTAATTTTGTATAGGAATTTTTATTTTCTGTCATTTTTTTGTAATTTCGTTCTTTTCTACTCTCGCTGTAAAAATTTTCAAATGTTTTCTTTCTCGTTAATTTGGTTTTTTATTTCTGCTTGTATAACTTTGTTTTCATGCCCTACTACTGCTATGCTACAAAATAATCTTTTTGGACTTAAGAAAAATAGAATATGCATTCAATTTTATATAAATGCATATGTACATATGTATGTACGTATGCACATAATGTGTAAAACATGTAGGAAGTTATTTTTTAGAAATTTTTATTTTTTTGAAATAAATAGTACCGATAAAGTAATATTTCAAGTCTCCGACAAGACTTTCTAGCTGAAAACTTCCGATAAAGCTTTTTCTATTCCGTTTTTGTTTTATGTATGTATGTATATATGTATGTATGTAAAGAAGTATGTGCTGAACATATTTCAATATTTTGTAAAAGATTTGTAAATACTAGTCTTCCCCTGGAAATTCATATTGGAGAGATTTAATCTGTTAGTTCCTTTAAAAAACTATGATGTCATAAAGTGTTTAACTAAAAGAAACAATGTATTCTGAATGTATAAGAATCAATTTTAAGTTTATGTGGTGTATTTCAATTTTTTTTGTATTTCAATCAAGTTGATGAGATTAATAAAAAAAACCTTTTCTACCCTTAAGTATATAACTTAACATAATTTGCAAAATTTTACAAAATGAAGCTTTTGATTACATAAATCAAACATAGTAATGATAAATGTTAACTGTGTGACAAACAATTTGAATTCAATTTCGAAAACAACAAACTTTTAAGCGTAACTGTAAAGTAATTGAAAATTGAATTTATTAAAAATATTATGTACAAATAAAGGTAAATATATAAAAAGACGTAATGTTTAATTTAAAATATATTTTAAAATTAAAAGACAGATAACTTTTTCGTTTACGTAATTTAAGACAAAATTTTTAACATACAATAGTATATAAAAATATTCTATATAATAGTATATAAATATAGTATACAAAAATAATATAAAATAAATAGTATATAAAAAGTATATGAATAAGAATGTAATATCGTTACTATTTTTAAGGAAAACACTGCCTATTATCAATATGAATATAGTTTTTAGTTTTTAATTAAATTTTAATTAATATAAATTAATTTTATAAAATTTTAATTAATTTAAATTAATATACAATTCATTATAATACAATATTTATTATGAAAATTTGGACATAGTTCATAACACGAACTTCACCAAACGAACAAATAAATGTCATTTTGAAAAATTGCCTGTACGAATTCATTGGTTGCAATTTTTCAAAATATGAACACAAACCACACAAACAAAGACCATGGGTTTGCTTTTTAGTGCTTAAAAGAGCCCTTTGTTAGCATAGTTCGTATCAGTGTTTTAACTCTTGCTGCAATAGAAACATTGCAAATTTTTCGATAAATTTATTAAAAAAAAAAAATGTTGTTAATGCTAAAGGGAACAGGTTGTAAATACAAAAGGAGATCTGGTGGAAAATGATATCAAAAAAGGTATTGCCTATTAATTACTAAAAGCTTACTTGTTCTTCAGAATAACTTTTAAAAAGTATTAATCTGATATTTTCCATAATTTTTATTGAGAATTTTTTCAATTTAATTAAAGCGTTTTGCCTTTTATTTTTATTATTTCATTTGTAATATAAAATCACAACTAGAACTTAAACAAAATTCCAATATTTTCGTAAATCTTTTTAGTATTAACTTCTACAAAAAAATATTAACAATTTATTTTTCTGAAACTTAGCGTTGTTGCAACAAAACATTTTTTTCGTTACTAATATAATTTTATTTTATTTAAGGTGATTAACTGATTAAATAATTCAGGGTAGTTTTATTTTTGAAATCAAAAAAATTTTTATACATAGGTATGTATAAACAAATTAACATATTATAAACAGTCGTGTATATACATATATCATTGGTCTTTATGCATTTAAAAATATACATATATAAATTTACACATTATAATACATATATGAAAATATAAATCATGTTATAAATAAAAAATACGCTATAATGTTTCAAACCCTCAAAATTTTAACTTACTTATTATTTTTTTTTATGAAACTTGTTCTTTGAACAGTTTTTACTAAAAATTAATTGTGTAAATGAGAAGTTAGTGAGAATGAACATTTTTAAATTATAAACATAATAACAAAACAAATTTAGCATAAAAATTGTAAAATAAATTGGTCTTTTGTTAGTTTATTTATGTATACTTACATTTGTATAAAACAGTAGTATTCTAATGTACTACAAAACATTATTTTAATATTAAATATTAATATCAAGATATTGTGATGCACTTAATAATAATATCATAATGCACTTAAAATGGTGATTGCAAACTGCCTGCCATACCAATGTCGAAAACATTTTTCCGCTAAGTTTTATCTTTCATTCCATTTTTTTTAATTTAATAGTTACACATATCAATGCCATCCTTTGAAATTCAACTAGTTTATATCAATTTTTTGAGTACCGTTCTAATGTTTTATTTTTAAAATAAAGTAGCTAATGTAGTTTCTTTTCTAATTGTTGAAATAAGATTTTGATCAAATGTACAAAAATATAATCGATTTTGGGAATATGCAATCGACTTTTAATACATTTGTAATTATCTATGTTAAAATGATTTAATAAAATATACATAGGTATATTTAAAATTTTTTGGTAAATGTATTTAAAAATGAACTAAGTTGATTTACTATCTATATATAACATATTCTAACATATGTATATATAAATAGACAAAAAATTTCATATGCAACCTAATATCGTCGATTTAAACTTATCGAATCAACTCGAAGCAAACATAAAATTTTGGTTTTATGGGAGGCTTTATTTTATATTTTTATAGGATATAAAATGAAAATTTTTTACCTTGGCTGGTGACGCTATCCTATTATCAACACCTCGTTCTTTTGATCGATGACGATGCCTCCTTCTTGAACTGCTGTCCTCGTGCGATTCATCATGACGATAACGATGTTTATGACCCCGCCTACTTGAAGTGGGTGATTTATTGTAATGTGGTGAACGCTTTGTTCTTTCACGTTTCCTTCTTGTTGTTGGTTCGTAGCTAAAAGTGAAAAATAAAAAAAATCAGAATAATTTTAATAATTAACAAATTTCATTCAAAAATGTAGGATTCCTAAACTATTTTGCAAGAAAATATTGAAGGCAATCTAAAAACTAAATACATACATACATACATTCGAATTGTTTTTTGCGAATTGAAATGTTTGTTAAGGTAAGTGAAAATTGGTCCATATGTAATTTTATCAAGAGACCGAAACGATATATGTATACTAGGGTGAAATCCAGAAATTTGCTTTTTTTTTATCATTTAGTGCTTTCAGACCTTTTAAAACATTTCACAAAATCTAAAAGTTCTGCTACTTATTTAAGGGCATGATACATCAATTTGTTGTACAGTTTAGAATGTACAGAGCTCTTTATTCAATTCGTAGCTTTTTTCCGTCATATGTAGGCTATTTTGAACTTATTCTCATTTTAAAAGAATTGAGTTTATAGCATAGATTGCATAATTTTTTGCTTCAAAAATCCTTTATTTGAAAAAGTCAGTTATTAAATAGATGAGATCATATATACCATACCTGATATAACACGTATTCATGTATAAAATCTTTCAGTATATTACAATTGACAAATATATGTAGTTGAGAAATATTGCTGAAAATATAAAATATTGTCACTAATGTAGGTAGCAAAATTTTTAAAAAATCAAGATATGCCCACCACATTTTTCAATATAATTAAAATTTCAATACAATCTTTGAATCAAGGAGGTTAGAGCATGAATTAAATTCAAACTTTTTTTTCTCAAAAGCCACATAACATAAAACAACTGACTATAACTTATTACACATAATTATTCTACACACTCATGTATTTTATTATACAAAACAAACGGAAATAGATACATATGTACATATGTGCACACTTAATGTGTGTATGAAATAAGAAAAAAATTTTTTTGTTAAATATTTTAATTATTTTCGCCACACAAAGGATAATATTACACTTTTCAAATGATGGAATCACAATTAATGTAGCAGAATTAAACAATATGTCTATAATTATTTAATATAAATATTCCTTAATCTTAATTTATTTTCGATACTTAAATAATAATGTTATTTTTAAAAGGGAACATACACTATGAAATTCGTAGAATCGAAAACTTCTAAATCACTTTCAGAATAATTATCTAGTAACATGATTAACCAACATTTCCCAAAATAATAGAACGAATAACGCCAACTCATTGCTTAGTTTTGTAAAACTAAAAAACAATAAAAAAGTACTTTAACAAATCTATTTTGAAAATAACAAAATATTTAGATGCTATCGCAATATTCAAAATAATTTTGGTATTACTTTATTATATTATCAATTATTAATTTATTATATTATCAAGTTTTTTTTCGGTTACCTTTTGATAATTATGTAGATAGGGAAACGAAGTACTGAAAGCTGTGGCGGCTTCTGAAAATATAAAAGAACCGAGAAAAGTACTTCTATCTATATATTACAAAGCCCGTTAAGACGTGATGATTTTATTCAAATATTCATTTTAAGTATTTAAATTTATAGCCGAGAAAAACAAGTGGTCCTAAATAAGAACTTAAATTGAACTGTGAAATATTTTTGCATATTACAGATGAAATTATGAAGTAAGGGATAAAATATGTATGTACATATGCAATTTAGAATTATAAAAATGTGATGTGTTTTAAAACCAACACAAGTAAAAACTTTAATACATTAGCAGTGCACCCAAACGCCGCCTTTTGATTTTAAAATAATCTCCGTTAGCTATTTATTCTACACAAAGAAAAATTGCTGTTCGACAACACAAGAAAAAAATATAAGACTGTATATAAGACTGTATAATTATTTTATATGTAATTCGACTCTGCGTTTACATTACACCAGCAAAGAGCAGAAATATTCAAAAACGGGAGCCATTTTCAAAAAAAATGTAGTCAATCATATTATGAAAAATTAATTTTGTTTTTATTAAAATAAAAACAATACAATTTTTACCTTAACTTCATTTAATTTCGACATTTTTGATACAATCGATTGTTTACATCATTTTGTTTCTTTCTTGCCTACACGACTCTTATTACATACTATCTATTTCTTAATGAAGATGGAATATTTTGAGAAGGGTAGAAGTGGCAAGCAAACGAGAACTAACGGCTGTGAACGAGTCGATTTACTTTTAGATATACTTTTGTTTGTACATAAATAAATTTTTGTGAAACAAATACAATGTATATAATGATATATTTTGACAGTGTCCCAAATCAGTATGCACTTTCAAAACTGTTTTATTTCCAAAGCAATAATAATGTCGATAGTTGGGATTGAAACTTATTCGCTGTTATCATTGCTGCGACAGCGAGAATCGTACAAGACGTTGCAGAAATGTCGTTGTTGCAATTCAGTTACATTGGCAGCGACAGCGAAAACGGCAATAACATACACATACAACATACTACATATTCATACAACTTACTGTCTTACTTTCCACTGTAAACTAGTCAGAAACTATGAAGATAAATTTCATAAGAATTTAAGGGGAGAAGTGGTTTAAACTTTTTCCCGCTATTCTAGTTTTTGTAAAAACTTTGAGAATATGAAATTTTCTAAGAAATCATTTAATATATGCAGAATTGACCAATGAAATGATACATATGCCATAATGTACATACATACATATATATATCTGTTAACTAAATTTTTAAATAAAATTAACGGTAAGCCAAGTACCGTTGGGAAAGAGTATCGTTAGCAACACAAAAAAATCGGTAAAAATTATAAAATAGATTAATTCTTTAAGTAAAATATAAATAGATAGTGAGCAAAACATTTGAATTACAAAAAAAAAGAATTAAATAAAATTAGGTATAAAATTAAAAATACTTATTGGAATGAATAGATACAAAGTCAAACCTTGATGTTTTGATAATGATAAAAATAGATTTTGAAAATTTAGTGTCTAAAAAGTTAAATTGAAAAAAATGTTCAGTTTTTTAAGTTAGAAAAATTAAATAATTTATTTTAAAAATTGATCCAAACTGCGTGCGGTATCAGTGTTATCCTATGAGTTCAGCTTTTCTTCCTCGGTCTCGAACAAACGGTTTTTAAGATTCTGAAGGTATGGATATCCTTCTTTCAGACATTGCTTTATTTAGCTTGGGAATAATCACAAACATCCGAAATGTACGTTATTTCAAATCGATTTTGCAAAGCTTTTCTCAACCAAATGGTAAATCGATTCGAAATCAATTTTGTTTTGATTTTAAGAATACAAGAAACCTGTGAGAAATACGAATTTGTTGATTCAGCAAATGTGCAAACTATTCGTAGATGGAGAAACGAAGTAATCAAAGACAGGAGTTCAATACAAATGCTTTTATAAATTTCTTTCGTTTCTTTAACGTCTAGGCCTGCATTTGGATCGAGGTCTTGTTATTAGTAGGTAAACCCATTTAGAGATTGTTGTATACGAAAAATAAAAATGTTGCTTATATGAATAAATTAAAGTAATACGAGTATATTGTGTACGTTTAAATTGTTGTTGAAAAATAAGAATCTTGTTTATATAAGGCAAATTAAAATATCTCTTTTATGCATATTATGTGAGGTTGAATATTTCTTGGGCGATGTGTAATTTTAATGGAAAACTTGCTTGTGTACATATGTATATTATGCAGGAGACAATATAAATTATATGTGTACAAGCCTAGGGTTTTCTATCAGAATATGATATCTACATTTTTGACAAAAAAAATGTTATGAATGCAGTATTAGTTACAATTTTAAGCGCTTTCTAGTGCAAGAAAAAAAATTAATTTTTATAGTAGTTTAAAAAAACATCCTTGAAGAACAATATAAGTAAAAATTAGATACCAACTCTTATTCACTTCTAAGAACCAGTACCCCGATCATATCCAATTTAAATAGGGTTCTGGCATTTACTATAGTAAATCATTTGTAAAAATTAGGTGAACTTAGCTCAGTTAGTTTTTGAGTTATCGTCAGGACGGACGGGCAGACAAAACTAAATCGAATCAGAATTCGACGCTGATCAAAAACATACACTTGAGTCTATATCTCAGACCGTTTTTTTAACGTTACAAAAGGAAAGGCAAATTTATTAGACCTTCCAACATACGTTAGTACGGCTACAATTAAAACAAAAAATTTTTAATTTCGATTAAGCTTTGGAAATTTTAATACATGAAATACGGTCCAATATTCACTTTTTTTAATCAATTTGTTTTTAGAAATAAATTTTATGAAAAAATAATTAACTTTATTAGCTATTGATTTAAAATTATAAATTATTTACTTCTCGGCTTACATTTAAAAAACTTTGCATCAATACAAAATCATAAAAAAAGTTGATGCACAAGTCTCAAATGGGCTCTTAAATATCGGATGGACGGACAGGTTCCGATTTTGAATAAAATTGTATACTTTGTTGGGTTGCAAACGTTTTCTTCACGGCGTTGCACAGGTTGTAATAATGTAAATATTAATATTCAATTAAAGATTATTTAAAAAAAAATAAAATTATCAAAGATTTCGAAGTTTATAATAACGTAAGTTGAATTTTCAATTATTTGTATCATTCGTTCGGCCTTAATATTTTGATTAAATCAAACGTTCCACGATTTTGATTATATTTCAACAAAATTTTTTAACCAACATAATAGCGAAAATATACTTATTTTTAGAATTTATTTATTAATTACAAATTACACCTATTAAGTTATTTAATAATATTTTAAACTACTTTTTATTTTTTTTCCTGAATACATTCAACCCACAACGCAAAATCAAATAAAAAAAATTCGAACTACAATGAAAATAACTTAATAAAACAGAAAAAAATTATTAGTTCGTCTTTTTTTTTTTCATTATTTTAAACTAAATAAATTAAAATTAATGTCATAAAATCTATTTATATAAACCTGTTTTATAAAAAGTCGTTTAAACATCTAAAAATACTTATATTCTACAATTCATTCATTTAAATTC